TTAACATATTTGACCCCTGTGACCTTGAATATGGGTGAAGGTCATTTATTTGAACAAACTTTGTAGCCCTTCATCTCAGAGGGTTACTGGCCAAATATAATCACCCTGTGCATTTTGGTTATTCAGAAGAAGTTGTTTAAGGTTTTTAACATATTTAACCCCTGTGACCTTGAATATGGGTGAAGGTCATTCATTTGAACAAACTTTGTAGCCCTTCATCTCAGCATGCTTCTGGCCAAAAATCATCACCCTGTGCATTTTGGTTATTCAGAAGAAGTTGTTAACATATTTGACCCCTGTGACCTTGAATATGGGTGAAGGTCATTTATTTGAACAAACTTTGTAGCCCTTCATCTCAGAGGGTTACTGGCCAAATATCATCACCCTGGGCATTTTGGTTATTCAGAAGAAGTTGTTTAAAGTTTTTAACATATTTGACCCCTGTAACCTTGAATATGGGTGAAGGTCATTCATTTGAAAAAACTTTGTAGCCCTTCATCTCAGCATGCTACTGGTCAAATATCATCACCCTGGGCATTTTGGTTATTCAGAAGAAGTTGTTTAAAGGTTTTTTTAAGACAATTGACCCCTGTGACCTTGAATATAATTAAAGGTCATTCATTTGAACAACCTTGGTAGCCCTTCACCAAAGCATGCTTCTGGCCAAATATCGACACCCTAGGCCTTTCGGTTATTAAGAAGAAGTCGTTTATAGTGAAATATTGACGCCGGACGACGGACGGACGACGGACGCCGCGCCACGGCATAAGCTCACTTGGCACTTCGTGCCAGGTGAGCTAAAAATATACTGTAGCTCATTTTAATTTAGTAAACTGAGTCTAGTTCTTTTCCAAGAAATGATTATTTTTCAGCACTTTTTAAGCACTGACCTCAATTTCAGCAACAGCAATCATGATAATTTGAGGTGTAACATTATACCAATAAAACAGCGTAATTCAATCCAGGACTTGTTACTGTATCAATACATGGTGCTGCTGAACATTGTGTGTCAGAACCAGCGGTCTCAGTTGAAACTACATTTATGATCAGTTCAGTGTTCATATTCAATGAACAAGTATTATATGAATGGGTTTTTTCAAAGACAATGTTATGAATGAGCTCCTACCCACCCACCTTGACATTTGTATCTGTTCACCCAGTTTGTTTTAAAGTTAACCTAACAATGTGTTACAGTAAGTGTTGTGTATATCACCATTTACAGTAAGTGTTGTGTTTATCACAATTTACAGTAAGTCTTGTGTATATCACCATTTACAGTCAGTGTTGTGTATATCACCATTTATAGTCAGTGTTGTGTATATCACCATTTACAGTAAGTGCTGTGTATATCACCATTTAAAGTAAGTGTTGTGTATATCACCATTTACAGTAAATGCTGTGTATATAACCATTTACAGTAAGTGTTGTGTATATCACCATCTACAGTAAGTGCTGTGTATATCACCATTTACAGTCAGTGTTGTGTATATCACCATTTACAGTAAGTGTTGCGTATATCACCATTTACAGTAACTGTTGTGCATATCACCATTTACAGTAACTGTTGTGTATATCACAATTTACAGTAACTGTTGTGTATATTACCATTTACAGTAACTGTTGTGTATATCACCATTTACAGTAAGTGTTGAGTTTATCACAATTTACAGTAAGTGTTGTGTATATCACCATTTACAGCAAGTGCTGTGTATATCACCATTTACAGTAAGTGCTGTGTATATCACCATTTAAAGTAAGTGTTGTGTATATCACCATTTACAGTAACTGTTGTGGATATCACCATTTACAGTAAGTGTTGTGTATATCTCCATTTACAGTAAGTGTTGTGTATATCACCATTGACAGTCAGTGTTGTGTATATCACCATTTACAGTAAGTGCTGTGTATACCACCATTTACAGTAAGTGTTGTGTATATCACCATCTACAGTAAGTGCTGTGTATATCACCATTTACAGTCAGTGTTGTGTATATCACCATTTACAGTAAGTGCTGTGTATATCACCATTTAAAGTAAGTGTTGTGTATATCACCATTTACAGCAAGTGCTGTGTATATCACCATTTACAGTAAGTGCTGTGTATACCACCATTTACAGTAAGTGTTGTGTATATCACCATCTACAGTAAGTGCTGTGTATATCACCATTTACAGTCAGTGTTGTGTATATCACCATTTATAGTCAGTGTTGTGTATATCACCATTTACAGTAAGTGTTGAGTTTATCACAATTTACAGTAAGTGTTGTGTATATCACCATTTATAGTCAGTGTTGTGTATATCACCATTTACAGTAAGTGTTGCATATATCGCCATTTACAGTAACTGTTGTGTATATCACCATTTACAGTAGCTGTTGTGTATATCACCATTTACAGTAACTGTTGTTTATATCACCATTTACAGTAACTGTTGTGTATATCACTATTTACAGTAACTGTTGTGTATATCACCATTTACAGTAGCTGTTGTGTATATCACCATTTACAGTAACTGTTGTGGATATCACCATTTACAGTAAGTGTTGTGTATATCCCCATTTACAGTAAGTGTTGTGTATATCACCATTGACAGTCAGTGTTGTGTATATCACCATTTACAGTAAGTGCTGTGTATATCACCATTTACAGTAAGTGTTGTGTATATAACCATTTACAGTAAATGCTGTGTATATCACCATTTACAGTATGTGTTGTGTATATCACCATTTACAGTAAATGCTGTGTATATAACCATTTACAGTAAGTGTTGTGTATATCACCATTGACAGTCAGTGTTGTGTATATCACCATTTACAGTCAGTGTTGTGTATATCACCATTTATAGTCAGTGTTGTGTATATCACCATTTACAGTAAGTGTTGCATATATCACCATTTACAGTAACTGTTGTGTATATCACAATTTACAGTAACTGTTGTGTATATCACCGTTTAAAGTAACTGTTGTGTATATCACCATTTACAGTAACTGTTGTGTATACCACCATTTACAGTAACTGTTGTGTATATCACCAATGACAGTAACTGTTGTGTATATTACCATTTACAGTAACTGTTGTGTATATCACCATTTACAGTAACTGTTGTGTATATCACCATTTACAGTAAGTGTTGTGTATATCACCATTTACAGTAAGTGTTGTGTTTATCACAATTTACAGTAAGTGTTGTGTATATCACCATTTACAGTCAGTGTTGTGTATATCACCATTTATTGGGTCAAAACAGTAATATTAATGTTAGTTTCCCGAATACCACTGGATCCTTGCAAACATATGTTTGTAGGATACAAATAACTTTATCTGGGACAAGGAAGTTATTCTAACAGTGTAGGCAATATGACTACCATATGTCTACCATATATTGCTATATATAGTTTCTTAACAACCTTTAAAGGGACGTAACTCTGACCACCTTGTTAGGAACACGAACAGCTTCCTGATCAAATTCTGAAATATATTGGTAAACAAGACTAGACAGAGAAATTCTATATAATGTGTTACTCTGCGGATATGGTCTCCCTCGGATTTTCAAGGGCCGACGGAAGTGCACCGGACACTGCAAGAGCCGAGTGCTTTACGGAAACAATCAGTTGAACGCTGGATGGAATTAGAAGCATTTCAAATCAGTATAGAATTGTTCCCCTTCAGGGATTCAAGTAGACCTATTTTACTACCAAAATTGGTCAGGTTTCCTTTTAAATAAATGAAAAATTCACCACCAAAACAAATTGATCACCTAACACAGGTGAAAGTTTCCCCAAAGTAGGGAAAACAAGTGCTATTACAAAATAAAAACTGATGAAATCATTACATTACTCACGATACTTATCATAAGGAATATATCTACTATTCTAAATAAATCATTAAAAAAAAACCAAAAAAAACCAAGTTGATAAAGAGTAATATTTATTCATATATGCAAAAAAGTGAGTAGAATTGATTTTTCGGAAATAAATTCTGACAAAAGAAATGAAATTGTAACTTGAGTAACAAGAGCACCAGAACAATATACGCCCGTTGAATGCCATATATCGTTATTGTTACTGAAATAAACAAAGGGCAATAACTTTTGCAAAAATCGTTGAATCAAAATTCTTTTAAGGGAGACACAACTTCATATCATGATTATAATGTATACCCAGTTTCAAAGAGATCCGTTGAAAAATGTAGGAGAAGATTGTTGGACAAAAATTAAATACTGAAATAAACAAAGGGCAATAACTTTTGGAAAACTTGTTGAATCAAAATTCTTTCAAGGGAGACACAACTTCATATCATGATTATAATGTATACCAAGTTTCAAAGAGATTGATCAAAAAATGTATGAGGAGATTGCCGGACAAACAAAAGTGTACGCCGGACGGACGGCCAGCCGACATATCTTAAACTTTGTACACTGTATGTTTTATGGCTGTTTTTGACAGCAAAATTTACAACAAATATTTGTTACAAATATTGAAAACCATTCGGACCACATCTTTGAGTTGAAGCAAATTGATGTGTTGGAAGTCAGATACTGTGTAAAGTAATACCTGTCTTTACCTGTATAGATTGTAAGTAATATCTGTCTTTACCTGTATAGATTGTAAAGTAATATCTGTCTTTACCTGTATAGATTGTAAAGCAATATCTGTCTTTACCTGTATAGATTGTAAAGTAATATCTGTCTTTACCTGTAGGGATTGTAAAGTAATACCTGTCTTTACCTGTATAGATTGTAAAGTAATATATGTCTTTACCTGTATAGATTGTAAAGTAATATCTGTCTTTACCTGTATAGATTGTAAAGCAATATCTGTCTTTACCTGTATAGATTGTAAAGTAATACCTGTCTTTACCTGTAAAGATTGTAAGTAATATCTGTCTTTACCTGTATAGATTGTAAAGTAATATCTGTCTTTACCTGTAAAGATTATAAGTAATATCTGTCTTTACCTGTATAGATTGTAAAGTAATATCTGTCTTTACCTGTATAGATTGTAAGTAATATCTGTCCTTACCTGTATAGATTCCATGTCTGCAAAATTGAAGTCAGTCACAGGAAGAGGTTTTCCATTTCTTGTCCATCTGTGAAGAAAGAAAACTTGGTAAACATTTTCTCCCGACATGAAAAAATTCACACATCGACACATTCAGGTACAGCTACTCATTTCGCAGACAAACTTCATTTTAAATGAATCAAAGGTGACATTTCTGTATACAAGAGGCCCATGGGCCTTAACGGTCACCTGACATCCGATTCAAATGAGGACTGTCATCCAGGGGCCAATTCATACTTTTCGTCGGTCCGAGTGACCTTGCTGCATCATCCATTAATTTTTCCTTGTGAACACAATAACTTCAATAAATATAAACCGATTTTGATGAAATTTTGTATGCAGCTTTGTATCAATGAGATCTTGGACGAGTTTGAATACCGAACCAATTTGACCATAACTTACATAGTTATTCCCCTTGGTAATTCTATTATTGTTGGACCCTGTGAACACGATAACTGAAATAAATGGGTGTGACTCCAATTTTCACCCAAGGGGTCTGTTTTGAACAAACTTGGTTACTGTATGTCTTCTGCTCTTGGTTAAAAGAAACAGGTAAAAGCGTAAACAATGATTTATTAAATAAGGCACAAAATTTTAATAGCACCTTGTTAGTAGCAAAAATGCATCATGAATGAAAATAATTACCGGACAAAGTTTCATTGAACTCCGTCAACATTTATTCAAGTTATCGTGTTAACAAGGTCCAATAATAATATTATTACAAAGGGCAATAACTCTGTAAGTTACTGTCAAATAATTCCCTGTTTCGAACTCATCCAAGATCTTATTGATATAAGGCTACATACAGAGTTTCATCAAACTTGGTTGATATTTACTCAAGTTATCGTGAACACAAGGTCCAATACAAAATAGTGTAATAATATTATTACAAAGGGTAATAACTCTGTAAGTTACTGTCGTATAATTCCCATTTTCGAACTCGTCCAGGATCTTATTGATATATGGCTGCATATAAAGTTTCATCAAACTCGGTTAACATTTACTCAAGTTATCGTGTTCACAAGGTCCAATAATAATATTATTACAAAGGGCAATAACTCTGTAGGTTACCGTCGAATAATTCCCATTTTCGAACTCGTCCAAGATCTTATTGATATATGGCTGCATAAAGTTTCATCAAACTCAGTTAACATTTACTCAAGTTAAAAGTTTAAAAGTTAACGCACGACGCACGACGACAGACAAAAGACTATCACAATAGGTTACCATGACCTACATAGTCAGGTAACCTAATAAAAGTAGGACAGGAAATAAAATATAAGCATACAACACTGTCATCCCAAGATACATATAAAATAAATATAGGATCTTGCATGAGTTTCCATTTCATGAGATTTATGAAACGAGTCTAAGAATTTTTCAATTTAGCAAGCCTGTGGCGAGCTAAAATGAAAAATTTGTTATGAAATTTCATATGAAATGAAAACGAGTGTAAGATCCTTTTTATCACATAATCAAGATTTGTGGCATTTATTTGTGTAAAACGACAATTTTCATGCAACCTTAAATGCAAAAAAGCCGCCATTTTGACTCCAGTGCGAAAGTCTGTGACGTCATGTATTTGTCCTAGGCGTGACATCACAATTGAAATAATTGAAACTAGCAACCAATCACAGGGCTGATAAGTCATATTACATTGGTTAATACGCAAAAATATATAACATGGGTATATTCACTGGATAGTGGATAACACAGTATAGTGTGTGATAAATGCTTGTAAAAACCCAAATTCAAGCTATGACATTCCAACTTCCCAACCTTCATAAGTATAGGAAGGTAAAACTCTAAAAATCATACTTGTTTCAGCATTACTTTCGAGCTTTACTTGTATGGAATATTTGTATCAGTTCTTGTGAAAGATACATCAATCAATATAGGCAGGCAGATGCTGCAGGGTTCACCATAATACAACCTTTGTGGACAGGGTATAAAGTCATGTCCTACCAGGTTTATGTTTCAATGATAAAGCTTGTAGTCAAGGGAAAAGTGTTCTGTCCTCTTCTTTATTATTATACATATATTTCTTTAATCAAATATCACACACTCAAAATGAAAGAACTTTTCTGGGTTAAGGTCTATCTGGTCTATGAAAATTTTAGTAGTTCTAAATTGTCTGTGGTGAGTAAATTCCACATTCTAAGACTGGGAAATCCCTCAGCAGTTATTGTTAGCTAATCATCAAACTCTTTCCCTGCCATCAGTCCCCTGTGACGACCCTAGACAAGGATAATGGGACCCAGAACAGTGAGTTATCAGATTGTAGCCAGATTAGTGTTCAGTGTCACAGTCAGACAAATGTTACGGGAACAAATTGGTCTACCAGTATGTGGTGTTTGTTTTAAGGATACACACCCCATCAATCTACACCGACAATGTTACTGGGACAGATTGGTCTACCAGCATGTGGTGTTTGTTTTAAGGATACACACCCCATCAATCTACACCTCCAATGTTACTGGGACAGATTGGTCTACCAGTATGTGGTATTTGTTTTAAGGATACACACCCCATCAATCTACACTGACAATGTTACTGATACAGATTGGTCTACCAGTATGTGGTACTTGTTTTAAGGATACACACCCCATCAATCTACACCTCTAATGTTACTGGGACAGATACATGAGTATATATGCAGGATGATTGGTTATAAGCAGAGCAGAATTAGACAAAAGGACCAATCACAACAGCATTCACATCCCCACATTTCATCATCATCATTAGATTAAGATATGGAGCAGTATACCTTAAACTTAATAGAAAGTGCCCTCAACCAACCTAATAGTGGTTGACATTCAGAACTATACAGACTCAACGATTTGTCAGCAGAGTAATTGTAGACAGAATTACTGACACTGAGGGACAGAGAACTGGGGAATACGGAGAACCCATACTTATATGGCAGATGACCTGAATACGGAGAGGATCTATAGGAGAGCACCGCTGTTTGTGGAGAATTTCTTCATCAGAAAGCAAAAACTACTGGATTGAGAACATCTTTGTATGGGAACACCTGAGGTATAATAACCCCTACTAGATTGAGAACATCTTTGTATGGGAACACCTGAGGTATGATAACCCCTACTGGATTGAGAACATCTTTGTATGGGAATACCTGAGGTATAATAACCCCTACTGGATTGAGAACATCTGTGAATGGGAACACCTGAGGTATAATAACCCCTACTGGATTGAGAACATCTTTGTATGGGAACACCTGAGGTATAATAACCCCCCTACTGGATTGAGAACATCTTTGTATCGGAACACCTGAGGAATAATAACCCCTACTGGATTGAGAACATCTTTGTATGGGAACAACTGAGGTATAATAACCCCTACTGGACTGAGAACATCTTTGTATGGGAACACCTGAGGTATAATAACCCCTACTGGATTGAAAACATCTTTGTATGGGAACACCTGAGGTATAATATCCCCTACTGGATTGAGAACATCTTTGTATGGGAACACCTGAGGTATAATAACCCTGCTTATGGAAAACATCTCCAAATGCTCAACATCTCTATACTATTGCAGGTTCAACATACAGAAAAAAACCTCTATTCAGAGAACCCCTGTACAAAAGGACACATGTAGGAGAAGAACCCAGGTGTCTCGAGTACATCTTTACACAGAAATACCTGTCTAAGACCATTATCTGGAGTATTCCTGTAACACCTGTATCTGGAGTAATCCTGTAACACCTGTATCTGGAGTAATCCTGTAACACCTGTATCTGGAGAATTCCTGTAACACCTGTCTAACACCTGTATCTGGAGTAATCCTGTAACACTTGTATCTGGAGTAAATCTGTAACACCTGTCTAACACCTGTATCTGGAGTAGTCCTGTAACACCTGTCTAACACCTGTATCTGGAATAATCCTGTAACACCTGTATCTGGAGTAAATCTGTAACACCTGTATCTGGAGTAATCCTGTAACACCTGTCTAACACCTGTATCTGGAGTAATCCTGTAACACCTGTATAACACCTGTATCTGGAGTAATCCTGTAACACCTGTCTAACACCTGTATCTGGAGTAATACTGTAACACCTGTATCTGGAGAATTCCTGTAACACCTGTCTAACACCTGTATCTGGAGTAATCCTGTAACACCTGTATCTGAAGTAATTATGTAACACCTGTCTAACACCTGTATCTGGAGTAGTCCTGTAACACCTGTATCTGGAGTAATCCTGTAACACCTGTATCTGAAGTAATTATGTAACACCTGTCTAACACCTGTATCTGGAGTAATCCTGTAACACCTGTATCTGGAGTAATCCTGTAACACCTGTATCTGGAGTAATCCTGTAACACCTGTCTAACACCTGTATCTGATTAACATCTCTTACACATGGTGATGTAACCTGAGACAATACCTTTATACAGATATTTTAACCTGTGTAACAACACTTGTTTCTAGAGAACATCTTTGTACAGAAACACCTGTCTAATGAGAACATATCATTATATGGAAAACATTAAGAACCATTGTTTCTTAAGAACACCAGACTTAAGTTTTCTGTGAAGAACACCTGTTGTTTAGTTACCTGCCAGCTGAAAAATCCCTCTGTAGCAGGTCATGCTTTTGAAAAAAGAATCAAACATGTTCTGTTATAACTCGGGTAAAGATGCAAAGCCTACTGGGATTATGGTAAGTTACATAATGCATATCAATCTGATAATTATAGCAATAAGATTAGTGGAACTGCCACTGACAGTAAAATGTAAACATAACTAAGCCTGGCCTTTAGAAACCAAATTCTAAGAATCATCTGCAATGTTTGAAAAATAACATCTTCAAATATTTTTGTCAAGGGATTATCTAGTTAATTATTAACCCTTTGAGTGCTAGTCACAACTATAGTTGCACATTCTATAAAACGGTATTTTATATGGTCAACAGCTAATCGTGTTGATTAAAATTTAATCAAACATATCAAATAACCAATTTCTATTGGTATTAATGTGTTTTAATATTAACACAAGTAATATTTTTACTAAAATTGTGACTTATGAAGTTATATCTAAATTTGAACTGCAGTGAAAATTAAATTTTCTTAATTAATTCAGCACTGATTGGTTACCGTAGGTTAAACAAGAGGCCCAATGGGCCTGCATCACTTCCTATGCATTCTTGTAAAAAAACAAATTGTTCAAAGTAATTAAATGTTAGAATCAAAAAAATAACATCAGCACTAGCTTTAGTACTCAGGAAAGTTGAACTTATCCTGATTGTGTTACAATGAGAAAACTTCACTAGCTAGCAAGCTGTTTTTCTTTCTTGTTAACTGTTTTGAATGCTTTTTTTTACATGGATTGCCTCCCTTTGTTCATCATATGGTTCAAACCTACTGGAAGGGTCATAACTTGCATACAACTTAACCAAGTATCCCCATTTAACAATATACAAATGTTCATGATTCTAATCCCACAAAAGGATCAAAGTCCAGAAGATTTTGTCTTAAACACCTGTGGGACCTGTTGCAGTCAGAATTCAGGTTCAAATGCGCCGATGTATTAACATGTACATGAACTATTATAAAATATTACAGCATTCCTTTTTTACAATATGTGCATCTTCATATGATTCTCAGCACACATGCCAATCTCAAAAGAATTTATAGTGATCGCAAGGTTTTGCAAACAGAAGGACATATAGATCGAATGATAACATAATACAGTCAACTTCTGGTAGGAGAATAAGAAGTAACATATTTTCACACATAAGCAAATTAGGAGTTGAGGTTCAGCATAGAAGCCAAGGCATGAGAATAGTTTCATTAATAAAGACGCAGTATTTTAAAGCAGAAACAGAAAATAAGGTCAGGTCACAAGGAGAGAGGTGAGTGATATAAGGAAAAGGGTGAGTTGTGCTAAGGATAACCAAGAAAATAGTGGGGATTTACATATAGGTCTATCAGGAATAGGGTAAGGTTAGGTCTACCTGGAATAGGGTAATGTAAGGTCTACCAGGAATAGGGTGAGGTTAGGTCTATCAGGAATAGGGTAAGGTAAGGTCTACCAGGAATAGAGTGTGGTTAGGTCTACCCGGAATATAGTGTGGTTAGGTCTACCAGGAATATAGTGTGGTTAGGTCTACCAGGAATAGAGTGTGGTTAAGTCTAACAGGAATATAGTGTGGTTAGGTCTACCAAGAATAGAGTGTGGTTAGGTCTACCAGGAATAGAGTGTGGTTAGTCTACCAGGATTATAGTGTGGTAAGGTCTACCAGGAATAGAGTGTGGTTAGGTCTACCAGGGATAGGGTAAGGTTAGGTCTACCTGGAATATAGTGTGGTTAGGTCTACCAGGAATAGAGTGTGGTAAGGTCTACCAGAAATAGAGTGTGGTTAGGTCTACCAGGAATAGAGTGTGGTTAAGTCTACCAGGAATAGGACGAGGTTAGGTCTACCAGGAATAGGACGAGGTTAGGTCTACCAGGAATAGGGTGTGGTTAGGTCTGCCAGGAATAGGGTGATGTTAGGTCTATCAGGCATATGGTAAGGTTAGGTCTCCCAGGAATAGGGTGAGGTTAGGTCTAACAGGAATATAGTGTGGATAGGTCTACCAAGAATAGAGTGTGGTTAGGTCTACAAGGAATAGGGTGAAGTTAGGTCTATCAGGAATAGGGTAAGGTTAGGTCAACAAGGAATAGGACGAGGTTAGGTCTACCAGGAATAGGGTAAGGTTAGGTCTCCCAGGAATAGGGTGAGGTTAGGTTTACCAGGAATAGGGTGAGGTTAGGTCTATCAGGAATAGGATGTGGTTAGGTCTACCAGAAATAGAGTGTGGTAAGGTCTACCAGGAGTAAGGTCTACCAGAAATAGAGTGTGGTTAGGTCTTTAATCAAAAGGGTGAGTTTAGGTCTACCAGGAATAGAGTATGGTAAGGTCTTCCAGGAATAAAGTATGGTATGAAAAGGGTGAGGTTATGTCTACTATGAATAGGGTAAGCCAGGAATAGAGTGGTTAGGTCTTTGATCAAAAGGGTGAGTTTAGGTCTACCAGGAATAGAGTGGGAGTGTGGTAAGGTCTACCAGAAATAGAGTGTGGTAAGGTCTACCAGAAATAGAGTGTGGTAAGGTCTACCAGGAATAGAATGTGGTTAGGTCTACCAGGAATAGTGTGGTTAGGTCTACCAGGAATAGAGTGTGGTTAGATCTAGCAGGAATAGAGTGTGGTTAGGTATACCACGAATAGAGTGGGGTTAGTCTACCAGGATTATAGTGTGGTAAGGTCTACCAGGAATAGGGTGTGGTTAGGCCTACCAGGAATAGGGTGTGGTTAGGCCTACCAGGAATAGGGTAAGGTTAGGTCAACAAGGAATAGGACGAGGTTAGGTCTCCCAGGAATAGGGTGAGGTTAGGTTTACCAGGAATAGGGTGAGGTTAGGTCTATCAGGAATAGGATGTGGTTAGGTCTACCAGGAATATAGTGTGGTTAGGTCTGCCAGGAATAGAGTGTGGTAAGGTCTACCAGGAATAGAATGTGGTTAGGTCTACCAGGTATAGGGTGTGGTTAGGTCTACCAGGGATAGGGAAAGGTTAGGTCTACCTGGAATATAGTGTGGTTAGGTCTACCCGGAATAGGGAGTGGTAAGGTCTACCAGAAATAGAGTGTGGTTAGGTCTTTAATCAAAAGGGTGAGTTTAGGTCTACCAGGAATAGAGTGTGGCAAGGTCTACCAGGAATAGGGTGTGGTTAGGTCTATCAGGAATAGGGTGTGGTTAGGTCTATCAGGAATAGGGTAAGGTTAGGTCAACAAGGAATAGGACGAGGTTAGGTCTCCCAGGAATAGGGTGAGGTTAGGTCTACCATGAATAGGGTAAGGTTAGGTCTACTATGAAAAGCATAAGGTTAGAATATAGTGTGGTTAGGTCTACCCGGAATAGGGAGTGGTAAGGTCTACCAGAAATAGAGTGTGGTTAGGTCTACCAGGGATAGGGTAAGGTTAGGTCTACCTGGAATATAGTGTGGTTAGGTCAACCAGGAATAGAGTGTGGTTAAGTCTACCGAATAGGGTGTGATTAGGTCTACCAGGAATAGGGTGTGGTTAGGTCTACCAGGAATAGGGTGTGGTTAGGTCTCCCAGGAATAGAGTGTGGTAAGGTCTACCAGGAATAGAGTGTGGTTAGGTCTTTAATCAAAAGGGTGAGTTTAGGTCTACCAGGAATAGAGTATGGTTAAGTCTACCAGGAATAGAGTGTGGTTAGGTATACCAGGAATAGAGTGTGGTTAGGTCTACAAGGAATAGGGTGAGGTTAGGTCTATCAGGCATGGGGTAAGATTAGGTCTACCAGGAATAGAGCGTGGTTAGGTCTTTAATCAAAAGGGTGAGTTTAGGTCTACCAGGAATAGAGTATGGTTAGGTCTACCAGGAATAAAGCGTGGTTAGGTCTACCAGGAATAGGGTGAGGTTAGGTCTGTCAGGCATAGGGTAAGATTAGGTCTACCAGCAATAGAGTGTGGTTAGGTCTTTAATCAAAAGGGTGAGTTTAGGTCTACCAGGAATAGAGTATGGTTAGGTCTACCAGGAATAGAGCGTGGTTAGGTCTTTAATCAAAAGGGTGAGTTTAGGTCTACCAGGAATAGAGTATGGTTAAGTCTACCAGGAATAGAGTGTGGTTAGGTATACCAGGAATAGAGTGTGGTTAGGTCTACCAGTAATAGAGTATGGTTAGGTCTACCGGGAATAGAGCGTGGTTAGGTCTACCAGGAATAGGGTGAGGTTAGGTCTGTCAGGCATAGGGTAAGATTAGGTCTACCAGGAATATAGTGTGGTTAGGTCTTTAATCAAAAGGGTGAGTTTAGGTCTACCAGGAATAGAGTATGGTTAAGTCTACCAGGAATAGAGTGTGGTTAGGTATACCAGGAATAGAGTGTGGTTAGTCTACCAGGATTATAGTGTGGTAAGGTCTACCAGGAATAGAGTGTGGCTAGGTCTACCAGTAATAGAGTATGGTTAGGTCTACCAAGAATAGAGCGTGGTTAGGTCTACCAGGAATAGGGTGAGGTTAGGTCTACCAGGAATAGGGAGAGGTTAGGTCTATCAGAAATAGAATACATGGTAAGGTCTACCAGGAATAGAGTGTGGTTAGGTCTACCAGGAATAGGGTGAGGTTAGGTCTATCAGAAATAGAATACATGGTAAGGTCTACCAGGAATAGAGTGTGGTTAGGTCTACCAGTAATAGAGTATGGTTAGGTCTACCAGGAATAGAGCGTGGTTAGGTCTACCAGGAATAGGGTAAGGTTAGGTCTACCAGGAATAGGGTGAGGTTAGGTCTATCAGGAATAGGGTAAGGTTAGGTCTACCAGGAATAGGACGAGGTTAGGTCTACCAGGAATAGGGTGAGGTTAGGTCTATCAGGAATAGAGTGTGGTAAGGTCTACCAGGAATAGGTTGTGTTTAGGTATTTGATCGAAAGGCTGAATTAGGTCTATCAGGAATAGAGTATGGTTATGTCTACCAGGAATAGGTTGTGGTTAGGTCTTTGATCGAAAGGGTGAATTAGGTCTATCAGGAATAGAGTATGGTAAGGTGTACCAGGAATAAAGTATGGTATGAAAAGGGTGAGGTTATGTCTACTATGAATAGGGTAAGGTTAGGTCTACTATGAAAAGCATAAGGTTAGGTCTACCAGGAATAGGGTGAGGTTAGGTCTACCAGGAATAGGGTAAGGTTAGGTCTGCTATGAATAGGGTAGGTTTACTATGAATAGGGTGCGGTTAGGACTACCAGGAATAGGGTAAGGCTAGGTCTGCTATGAATAGGGTGTGGTTAGGTCTACTATGAATAGGGTGCAGTCGGGTCTACTATGAATAGGGTGATGTTAGTACCTGTGAGATCCCGGGATATAGTAGAGACCTCCGTTCTCCTCTGTTTGATCGTCCAGTGCAATATGGACCTACACAGAGAGGTCATGAGAGGTCAATTAAGGTTTATTTTTGTACATTGTGACCTTAATCATTCTTAAGTAAATGAAACTATATTGAGTCAAAAATACACGAAACCCAGGCCATCAAAATAGTGTGTCTCTTAGAAGCATTAATCATTGAAATATATTGCACACTAAATAAAATACCACTGGTGGCAAACATTTGAAAAATTATGTTCTATGACTACACCAGATCAAGTTGTAGTTCTTTGGTGTTTCCTTTAATGAAATAGTGTGCATAAGTTTTTTTAATTTTGATTTATAACATTTTCCAGAGTTGAGAGATGTAAATGCACATTTCTGGCTAGAATTTCCTTCAGTTCGAAAAAACAATGAGTGAGCCATGTTTTACTATTTTTAGAAGATACTGACTTGCTTACAATTTCTATTGAACAATATCCTCACAAACATAAAATTGTTAACAATTTTTCTAGGAATTGAACGAGTGAAGCATCTGACACTGAACTTCAGTAGAACTTAAGGTATACGGTACCAGTGCCACAGTTATAACTATAAAGAAGAGTTCCGTTTCAGAGATGTTTGTTTAACTTGAAATATTCTTCCTTATATACCGGTATGTCAGATATGAGAGAGATTATTTGTCAAGTTATACTTTCCTTGGCATGGTATTCATACAATTCCTCAATAGCAATATTCCTGAAGTGTTCGGTCTACAGTGGAAAAGTCCCTAGTTCAACCCTTAACACGTGGTTTATGTGGAAAAAATCTGCAGAAATTTACTTAAGTTTTGTCAACTTTTTACTGTATCATTTTAGACCTGCAAGGCTTGAAGAGTGAGCAAATTAGAAAAAGAAAAAGAAATCTCAATTAAAACATTAAGGAGTGAGTGATCCCAAAGAACAACAAATTAATTTGACATGGGCTTAACCCTTTCAACCCTACGTAACTTTAGTAGACTCTACCATGCATTGATCTGGATGAGTCTGTTATTGTCTACAGTGTTGAAAAGGTTAAAGCACCTTCTCCTTGTACATGATATGATTGCAGATAACATACTTTGGTGTGACTTTGTCCAGAATGGGTGTGAATTTAACCCATTCACCACTGTAAACCATAATGGACTCAGCGGTATCAATGTATGGTAGAGTCTACAAAAGTTACATGGGGGTGAAAGGGTTAAGTAAGTAAACCACACGTAACTTTGTCTAAATTATACATAATAATGCCTGTCAGTATGATATAAACGAAACTTGTGTTATGCCTGCAGATTACCGGGGGAATGTCAAATCGGCTAATAACTAATGAAATTTGGTGACAAGGTTCAGATGGCTTGATCCATGAAAACAATAATTTTCCTTGTCATTAAAATAGTTTTGTACTTTGTGTTGAGAAATTTTGCAGAGCACCTCGGTAGTTGCAGCAAAATGAGGGGGTTCTTATTGATAACATTTAAACATGATTCCTGATTTAGGAATCAAATCAAGGACTACAGGTAAATAGTCCAGTGCTGTAACTACAGGTTAATAGTCCAGTGCTGTACCTACAGGTGAGTCAGAAACAGGTAACTAGAATTAAATCCAGGACTACAGGTAAATAGTCTAGTGCTGTACCTACAGGTGAGTCAATATCAGGTAACTAGAATTAAATCCAGGACTACAGGTAAATATAGTCCAGTGCTGTACCTACAGGTTAGTCAGTAACAAGTAACTAGAATTAAATCCAGGACTACAGGTAAATAGTCCAGTGCTGTAACTACAGGTAAATAGTCCAGTGCTGTACCTACAGGTGAGTCAGTAACAAGTAACTAGAATTAAATCCAGGACTACAGTTAAATAGTCCAGTGCTGTAACTACAGGTAAATAGTCCAGTGCTGTAACTACAGGTAAATAGTCCAGTGCTGTTCCTACAGGTGAGTCAGTAACAAGTAACTAGAATTAAATCCAGGACTACAGGTAAATAGCCCAGTGCTGTACCTACAGGTGAGTCAATATCAGGTAACTAGAATTAAATCCAGGACTACAGGCAAATAGTCCAGTGCTGTACCTACAGGTGAGTCAGTAACAGGTAAATAGAATTAAATCCAGGACTACAGGTAAATATAGTCCAGCGCTGTACCTACAGGTAAATAGTCCAGTGCTGTACCTACAGGGAAATAGTCCAGGGCTGTACCTACAGGTGAGGCAGTATCAGGTAACTAGAATTAAATCCAGGACTACAGGCAAATAGTCCAGTGCTGTACCTACAGGTGAGTCAATATAGGTAACTAGAATTAAATCCAGGACTACAGGCAAATAGTCCAGTGCTGTACCTACAGGTGAGTCAGAAACAGGTAACTAGAATTAAATCCAGGACTACAGGCAAATAGTCCAGTGCTGTACCTACAGGTGAGTCAATATAGGTAACTAGAATTAAATCCAGGACTACAGGCAAATAGTCCAGTGCTGTACCTACAGGTGAGTCAATATAGGTAACTAGAATTAAATCCAGGACTACAGGTATATAGTCTAGTGCTGTACCTACAGGTGAGTCAATATCAGGTAACTAGAATTAAATCCAGGACTACAGGCAAATAGTCCAGTGCTGTACCTACAGGTGAGTCAATATCAGGTAACTAGAATTAAATCCAGGACTACAGGTAAATAGTCCAGTGCTGTACCTACAGGTGAGTCAGTAACGATATAACTATATATATAAAAAGACATTATCGTTTACTATAACTCCTCGGTGAATTAGCTTACTGTTAGGTGCATCATGGGAGTTGTCCTGGTCCAATAGGAAAAGTCTTGGTGCCTAGCAACAAAAGACAAGTGATTGATCGCAAAAAATAAGGACATATTTTTTTGGGGGAAATATTCAAAAAAAAGTGTAATGTGCATTCAACATAACCCACTTGTATTATGGTTTTTATTTCCATACTTTTCAAATTCTACAAATGTGTCTGTAAATTAAAATATCCCCCAGAAATTATAATTGGGCTTAATTTTAAATATTGTGTAATCAAGATAAATGTCTTGAAAGTTCATTGTTACTGAGAACAGAGATATCACTCCTATGACAGTGTTTACAGAAAGATTCCACTGAATGCTGGAATGCATATGACTTCATCATAATGCAATACTGTTATAATCTTATGCAGACACTCAATACATTAAAACATCAAACCAATTCCAAAACTGTCACATGAATATCATTATGGACTAGTTTGATCATCAACTATAGCGACTGTGGTCTAACTAGAGTACGATTTAACTCACTGTAGTAATGTGTATTGTGCATGGGTAAAGAAATAAGAAGTTACGGTGCACATGCCTGGCAACTATAGTACAACCTACCGATTTCCTTTGGTAGGACCAGAGCAACTAGTGGTCGTCTGCTCATGCATGATTTTTTGAAAGCAAGGCAGTGATTGGTAGTTTCTTACCAGTATGTGTAAACACATCGAATGTAACAGCCCAACTATGGTAGATGGTTGATGATCAAAAACTCGCCCATACAACACATGTTTAAGACTGGAACAAGGACATTGAGATACACAAGTAAAAGGGAGACAACTGGGACAACCCATGTTGATTGAGGTGTCTGCATTGAAGTGGTGTTTCCTATATATTCAACACTGTAATTGTTTTAAGTTTTGTGATAGAAAATAACCCCTTAACTTTGTAGTTGTTAAAATCCAATACACTTTAAAAAATACTTTCCAAACGCAGGAAAAAGTCCTAAATAACAGGAACAAAACTTACCAGGCAACCACACCCCCATGCTTGGCTGGCTTCGCGAACAACTGGTCGTGCCAGAAACGGAGTGGCACCATCTTGTTCTGAACCAGCAATTGTGAACCAGGCACCTACAGGAAAAAAGGCAAACGTGTAGGATATCTAGTTAATTACTTCATCCGTATACAACACAGTGTAGTGTTTAGGTATACGGCAAACCTCCAGTCAGTTAGAACAAAAGTAAATAAATATTGTTTAACCTGTTCAAATTATGAAATTGTAGCTACCAAATGGAAGTTCGAATTATCAGAGCGAGTTCAAACAATTTGTGATTAAATCATGAAACGGGGACAGAACTCGGGATTAAATACTGTTTTCTGTCGAGCTTTGAAAGGAAATACTTTATAGGTTTGCATCGACACGTTTTACCCCCGTCAAATATTACATTTAGAATAGGCCTATAGACAAACCGCCGCATCAAGGAACCAGCCAAGTGTGAAATGTAACCACGCTTCTTAACTATGACTTGCTATGCATAAACCAATCAATTTCAAAACTTTTTTTTTTTTCAGATTTCATGCAAAGATTTAACAAGGCCAAGATAAAAATGCTCTGTTTCTGCTAACATACCACAAATATACAGGTAATAAATACTTTTTAAATAACATTTTAGTTTTTACAAAATGTTAAAAAAAGAAAGACATCTAAATTTACTATTCCTTCCTTGAAAATAATAAATTATCAACCACGCAGGGTTTGCGTGAAAATACTGTCGGGATCAGATTAGTAGAAACATGAATTTTTGATCTGAGTCTACCACAGTATGATATGTTTTAAAACAAACAACATCCAAACCAATACAGTCGGACATTACATCAGGTTCTGTCATATTTGTCTCATCATTATCGGTATAAAATACCAAAATCATTATTATGAATGGACAGATGAACACTAAAACAGATACTGGTAGACACAACTTACAATGACTTGGGGGAGGAAAGCCAGATCATGGAAGAGCTTGGTCATTCTCCAGTGTCCCAGGCAATGCATCAATACGTTGTTAGCATCACCACTCTGGTTACTATGGTATTCATACAACATATCCATTCCATCGTGTTTATTTTCTCCCTACATAACAAAAGAAACTGTAAGGAGTAGTTAATTTAAAATATTGTTGGCAAAACTTGACAGCATATTAAATTGTCAAAAGAGTGTCTCCTCAGTCTTGTTTTTCTCTATTTTGTTAAACTCTATCGTATCTCTGTAGCTGTCCTTTTCATAAAGCATCAATAAGGAAAATTGAAAGGTGTTCACCATCCTCGATATCCAGGGGTTACACTCACTTTCACTGTCTGCACCCCTGGACTATGTCATAGCAAAATTGAAGGCTCAGTGTACGCCACCTTGTTGATGAGACAAAAGACTAGATCGATCCTTTGATATACGTCAAAAGAATCTCGCGGTCACATAACGGTAAAAATTGACAGGCTTTGAAGTCGGGTATCTCTCCTTTGTAATCTTCAAAAGACAGGTATCAGCCTAGTGATTGGTCAGTTTTTTTTACCCGAGACCAATCAAACAGCTAGTTTGTGCCTTCAATTTTGCTGACATATTCCAGGGGTGTAGAGAGAGAAAATGAACATAACTCCTGGATATCGAGGATGGATGTTCTGCTAAAGCAAACTTTCAATAAGTTTCTTTTATAAATTTAGATTTTGGATATTTTTCTTTTGAAATTTGGAAGAAAATATCTTTCAGTTTTCAGGAGAATAATATTGGCTCTCCGGTAACATGAGGGAGAGAAAGAGTCCTGATGTAGGGTAAGGGTTAGCCCTAGGGTCTATGGGATTCAGTAGGTAAGGATACACTGTAAATATACCGTGAAGTAGCGATAGTCAGCGAGAATCCTGTCACAGTCCTGTTCTGATAACAGGGGGATGTTGAGGAGAAATCCATCCTCCCAGAACTTATTGACTTGATCAGTGTTGAACTGGAACTGGCTCCATTCTGATTTGTCCTACAAATTTAAACAAACAAAAAATATAAATAAACAAACAATAAATTTAAATAAACAAACAATAAATATAAATAAGGCCAGGAAAAGTTTTTTGGTTTTTATGTTCCTATTCACAGCTTAAGTCAGTAAGGAAGTGCCTCTATGTGTGTGATATATGCAGGGATGCAGTTTTTTATTTACCTACTTTCGATAGCACAGATATACTTCGAGTAACAAGAAAAATCTTATCTTCATTTCTAAATACCCTCTATGTTCAAAACTCTGACCAGCAGCTTTAATTTTGAAATGACGCTTTTATTTTATTATATATGTATATTTAAAAGTAAGAAAATAAGTTAATAATAATAATAATAATATACAACATTTATATATCGCCCTATATAATTTGTAAAATTACTCTAAAGCGCTTTACAACATATGGATAATAGTAATAGTTATAATTGTGAAAAAAAAAGAAAAAAAAAAGGCTTGCAATCACTTTTATACATTTAAGCAAGTAATGTGCACATAATTGAACAAATAAAAGGGTGGTATACATATATATAGTTACATATATATACTATTGAAAGCAAAATTAATGAAACCTAATTTTGTGAAAACTTCAGAGAAATTAATTAGGGTCTGATAGCTTGTAACCTTTGCAGCATAATTACATACGACAAATTTATTTGAATATGGGAAATAAGTAAAGATGGAACAATCCAAATATTTGAAGATTTTATTATAAATCATCCATAAGAGACATACATAAACACACAGTACAATTCCCAATTAATCTGATGGTCAACATTCAAAATTGTGAAATTTTAATTTAGTTTCTTCTTATTTTTTCAAGCATACAATAATGCTTCTTTAGAATACATGTATAAAGTAAAGTAACACATATACCCTTAACAGATAATACATTATGCTAGAATTATATTGTTTATATCTCTCCTATCAAAAATGAAGAACAATTACTGTATTAATCTGGTCTTAAACCTCTGGTACACTTATTACCTTTATGGGAGGGAACAGAGTCCCTGTAGGTTCATGTACTGTACTCCAATCAGGAACCCCCGGCTTAAAATCTTTTGGTGCTGGTGGCATGGTCTAACCTTCTTGTTATGAAACAGAAATACAGTTTATTTTTGTGAAATAAAAACAACAACAAACTTTTTCTGTTAAACAGTGATTATATTTAAGTTCCTTAATTTTAAAGGCTGTGCATTAATTTTTATTGAAAATTCTTGCTTCCACAATTTTATAATTTCCTGTTCTAGTTTTTTCAGTTATAATAAACATCTGTAAGCTAGGAAAATAAGTAATTAAATCCACTTTGAATTCCTGTAAATTTTATTTAGTTACTTATTGTAGATTTTAAAGTGTATACAATTTCAACATGATCTGAATCAAATTTCAGCACCATTAAGTCAGAAAAAAACCTTAAAGTGTCTTTAATTCACATTCACAGAGACATTTTTTTTTTTGTACATTGCGGATCCAGTCTTGGTTCCTTCCCTAGAGAATTATAGCTACATTTTTTTTATACAATCATGTGCCTAAATTCAATAATTAAAATGTATATTAATAAACTATACATATATATGTATTATTGATAAGAACTAGTAAAACATTTAACCTACTGTGGAGTCTCTGATAAAATTGATTATAAATTATGACACCTATTTATTGTATATCAGTGGCTCTATAAACTAAGATAAAACTTCTTACGTAATAAATAGGACCTGATTAGCTGATACAGGGAACATTTATAAAACAGCTCTTCATATCAATCAATGCTGTGTTACACATCAATGCGTTTTCTTTGTTCGAATAAAGCTGTCTCGCTGGGGTTTTGGACTTTTGTTTATACAATTATACAAATAAAATCTTGAATATCATAAAATTTTGGCTCTTATTGTATATATATCAACTGTCACGTGATAAAACTTCCAAACTTCAATAATTTATTCTCTCTTGGTGATAGTTCGTGAGTCTGGACGAAACGCTAGAGGTGTGACAATATTTCCCTTTGTCGGCATCTTCAAGAGCAAAGTGGCAGTTTTTAACGATACCGCGAAACTACCTGCTAGATTTTCTAGATCAAAGGAATCTTACCTGTGATCGTTCGAGGTGATAGTCTGGATCTAGGCGCACCTGGCCGTATCTTAAACCGGAAATAGATTTCTGTAGTGGCCATTCCTTTGTCCTCCCAGATAAATTTATCATCGCACTGTGCTTAACCAGATGAGAGGTTGTTGTTATAATTCAATTATCTTAACCCTGGTGAAATCATTAGAAAAGACCCTTTAGAATAGTTGGATATTGGTGCAAAGGGTTGATATCCGCAGCAGGGGTGACCGGAAGATTTATTTCGGAGGGCGGCAAACATAACAGCGAATGTAAAGCTTGGCTGGGAATCAAAATGGACGACAGGACGAAATGAGATTTTGTTTTCGAGAATGGAGATTTATTAGTTTGTTTCAGTGGAGCTGACAATGACATGAACTGCTTTAGTCAATCTTGGACAATCTAAAACGTTTTTATAAGTATTTGAACCCACGAGGTAGGTGTTTGAGTCTTCTGTATTACACTTTACCGGTAAACTCGGACCATTCCAAAGCTCTTGAATCTGCAATTTGCGTTTATATTCAAAAAGAGCTGTTGATTTTGTGTTTCTTGATCGATGCTACTTCCGACTAAGAGAGAAATACCCAAATTACCAATTTTGCGATCGTACAGTGATCCTTTTTTATATCATTATGTGAATATCTTAATCAAAATGTAATGAAAATGGGTCAATGGGCATTCACTGACATGTTCTCGTTTGTATAAAGTATGTTGTGTTGAGTCACTGCCAATGCACTCAACACGCATGTCGTATAGATCTAATACTCAAAAACTTTGTTATGCGAGCTTTTTGAGATTGAGTCTGTTTTGATGTAACTGAAACCCGGCATAGTTTTAGACGCACGGTAATTGGTGCCGGGGTGTTGGGGGTAATTAGTCTAGTACGTGCTTTGTTTAAATTGAGGTCGGGTCGCGCGCTTTTTACACGGTTGAACGACAACTGCCAATAAACAATAATAGCTTGAGCTTCAGCAGCTGGGGATTTGTTAAATACGTCTTTGTAACAGCAATGATTTAAAAATAATTAAACAACTAAACAAGGCTAACGTTCATGTGTACTGGGAAAAGAACATAGAATGCCAATGCAATATAACATTTTGAAATATATATATTGATAGTGTATGAGACGTATTGATTTTCTGGTATTCTTTCAGTAATTTATATTACCTTCATATTTTCCCAACATATTTGAGAAAGGTTTTAAGACAATTTGATACCCTGTTTAAGTGTTGGCTGAATTTATAAAAGGTATATCCCTGCACATTTTTAGTTTTTACCAAAGGAATGTTGTAAGTCTACAAGGCTATATTTTTTTTGCATGAACAACGTATTCAGTCATGTAGAAAATAGTTATTAACAATGAAATACCAATCACAGGTTAATTTGTCCTATATCTTTCAGTCTAATTTCTGGTTATAAAGGTGTAAGATGTTATCATAACAAAAGAAATCTTAACCTTGAGTTATTTCAAAATTACCCTATACAGAATGTGACAGCAGATGATAAATTGTCTGTATTTTTTAAACAATGTGCCTAGTTTAAAATCCATTTTTCAGGTCCAAGGTTTTTAAATAACTTGTAAACAAGCTCTAAATATGACACAATTGATTACATCTATTGCTTTAAGTAGGCACAAAGGAGTTTCATATCAGTTTTTGATTTGAAAATATCTTTTTGTCAAAGTTGGATATACTAAACAAGTATCCAGACACTTTGCAGGTCCAGTACCCTCTGCCGATTGGGCTTTATAAATATAGCTGAAAATACCTATAATAAATAGCTCTATTGACCTATCTGAAATAGGTCTTTTGAGCCATTTTCATGTGATTTTTTAAGGAAAACGAAACAAAGGTGCCTTTAAAAAAATATATCATCGGGTAGATAACAAAAAAAATAATTTTATATTGTTTACAGGAGATCCAGAGTGATCTTGGCTTTAACAGTGCTTCTTTGAAAATTGCATTAATTTTTTTAAGGTAGGCAGTAGGCACAAATAATAAGGGTAGGTAGGGTAACTGGAAACACCAAATATGTTTTGTTTGGCCTTAGTTATAACATTCAAGAAAGAAGTCTGATACTTTATATTTTTGTAATGGGTAATGTATTTTTTAAGGGAACATCTTCAAAACTTATCTTGTTAAATTTCTGGATATATATATACACTACAGGAAAACAATGTAGGGTAAATCATTTGAACACTGTTGTGTCTTTGTGTTGACACAGACAGCCAGTATCTTTAAGTGGAGATATAGACAGCAGTGTGGACGACCTTATCAATGATTCAATAAACAAGCTGTGCTTTAGGAACAATGGGGGGTTTAAAAGCTCCTTCAGATGGTAATGTGATTATCACGATGATCAGTATAAAACAGTCCATGCCAGGTGTAGTATATAAACGGTGGGTCACAAGTCAGGGGTGTCTGTGTACTGTCACACAACAGGTGTCAATCACTGGTGTTTGTAATAGCCGAGTCAGAGAAGTGTAGCACTAGTGACTTAGTCGAGTCATTGATGTGTATCTTATCAGAGTCAGTGAGGTGTAGCACTAGTGACGTAGTTAAGTCATTGATGTGTATCTTATCAGAGTCAGTTTGGTGTAGCACTAGTGACATAGTCGAGTCAATGATGTGTATCTCTATCATACCAGGTAACACCAGTTATATACCCAGGTATATTGGTAGTAGTCTTGGAAGGTTACCAAGGTATAGTACACAGCAATATCTAGGGGGCGGGCTCTTTACCAATGTACAGTGTTGGGTATGGGAATGGGTTAATGTTATGATCATAAGTGAAGGAGGGGTGCTGTTAACAGTGTATTTAACTACGGTCTACATATATATGTGAAGAATTAACATAGATCTATACCTTTTTAGATTCATGCAGATACATAAATTTAATATATTAGTGTAAAAGGAAAAATCCTACAAATGATGTCCATATAAGGAACAGAGCACATTAAATGCAGTCATTGTTTATCTTAAATAAAACTGTACATCTGATTTTGGTTATAAAGCACATTAAATCTAATTAAATAAAAGTTATGACAAATTTAATTCTGGTTTTACAGCGTGTAGTAAGATCTACAGAATGTAGGTAGTTCAGACAGAAGATGTAACATTAATTTCTCATGTAAATATCTAGTATTAATACCTGGTAGCTCTAGCCTACAGCCATATTGAAAATACAGGTGGAGGTGTTAATTGTACAAACTCGAAGGTGTTTTCTACAAGTATCACCAGTGGGTAAATGTATAGTGCACAGTAAAATCATTTAACAGTGAAGAGATTCACACCTAGTGGTCAGCTATCAGCCTTTGCCTCAAGCGAGCTGACACCTCTGTGAGTTGGCCACATCACATTGTTTGTGTTATATACACACAATGCTTCTGATTAATAATTGGGAACCAGTGAAGTTGACAGCTGAGTGCATTGTCCTCTTGTTTGAGTTGTCACTGGCATTATCAAAGGAAATGATGACAAAAAGAAAGTCCGTTTGATATTTTGCAGTGTTTGGTGTACATATCATTATCACCAAAACTGTATTAGCAGCACAGTAGTTTGGTTGTTATTTTTCAGAGGTGGAATCGAATCAGGTATTTTGTGGAAAAAACATTATTTTGTTTTGTAAAAGATCTGCCCATAGGTGGTTATTATATTATGGGCTCAGATTTAACACTAGTGCCCCTGGCTTAAATTTCATTCTATCAATCTGCGTCTTCTAGAGAAACCCATATAGTACATGTAGTATATTAGTGCAATTTTGTAGTTTATCTCATTAACTTCCTCGTTTATAGTGTCACATTTAACATAAATATGCCAACTAACTTATTTTTGCATATAACTATGTATTCATACTGGAATTTCAAACTTGAGAAAATTGTTTATTCCAATTTAATTTTCAAAGTAGAAACAATGACCATTTCGTAAAGCCTTTCAATAATCACGACATTAAAATTTAAATGTTCAAAATTTCAGGGAGAATTCATCTGGCCTCTTGACCACTGGCCCCGTAGACCAAGCCAGTACAAGAAAATGGATGGGGCAGAGTCTGTTCGGTCCGGTCGCAGTGACCGTTCAGAGCGGTCAAGACACAGTCATAGCAGCAGGCATCACCATCGGCACCACGTGGGCAGACACAGCAGTCGGGGCTCTGAGCGGAGCGGCATGAACAGGGACCGTGACCGAGACGACCGTTCTGTGACTATAAAGATGCCTGGTAATATGTCGGAGGGTGAGGACCGACCACCTGGAGAAGAGAGGATAGAGGTCCAAATACTCCCACAAGACGATAACTGGGGGGATAACACAACGGCCTACACAGGTAAGGGGGATAATTCAATAACTTACACAGGTAAGGGGGGGGCAGCCTACACCGGTAGGGGGATAATTCTTCAACAACTTNGTAAAGGTGGATAACAGAATTACAAACTCTGATTAGGTGAAATAATACAACAGCCTAAAGAGTTAGAACGGAATAATTAAACCAGCTTAACAGTTTAAGAGTGATGATACTACAGAGGTAAGGGGGATAATTTTATAGCCTACAGAGGTAAGGGGGATAATTCTACAACCTACAGAGGTAAGGGGATAATTCTACAGCCTACAGAGGTAAGGGGGATAATTCTATAACCTACAGAGGTAAAGGGGGATAATTCTATAACCTACAGAGGTAAGGGGGATAATTCTACAGGCTACAGAGGTAAGGGGGATAATTCTACAGGCTACAGAGGTAAAGGGGGATAATTCTAACACCTACAGAGGTAAGGGGGATAATTCTACAGCCTGTCAAGCTTTGGGGAAATAATTCAGTAGGCAGGGAAAGGGGTCTAACAAAATCACAGCAACATACACAGATTGGGTGGAAAACATAGTTTACACAAGTAAGGTTTTGTGGGTAATGGGTATGATAATTCATGATCAACAGCCTTTACTGGCAAGGGCAAAACTTTCAGAGGCGTACACAAGTCAGAGGGTGAATTAACAGCCTTAACTGAAGCGTACACAAGTCGGGGTGATTCAACAGCCTTTACTGAAGCGTACACAAGTCGGGGGGGTGATTCAACAGCCTGTTCAGTAATAAGAAGGAGAATAGCATCACAGCATAAATAAGTATAGAGATGAGAACACAAAAGTAGAGTCAAGAGAAGTTACAACATAGTATACTCTTTTTGGCAAAAAAAATAGAATGTTGTAATAATGTGTGTTTTTTGTAAACCAACTGTACATGTTTGTTATATTTTTAGGTAACACAAGTGAGACTGGGTTCTCCATGGAGGATATCCGCAAGTTTAACACCAAGGAGAGTTTCGAAAGCAGCATTGGGATAGGCTGTGCCCGATACGTTGGCACAGCACTGGCAGGTGTCCTCAGCATTGCGGGTTTCCTGTCGCCCATAGCAATGATAATCATACCCAAACTTCAGATCAACGGTTGGCAAACGCTGCCCTGTGAACCGGAATGTGAGGGACTCTTGATCAGTTGTGCGTTTAAACTGCTGATTTTGATGCTGGGAACAGTGGCCTTATTTTTCCGCCAGCCCAAGGCGACCATGCCACGGGTGTTCGTCTTTCGTGCTGTTGTTTTATTTCTTGTATTTGTCTTAACATTTGCATTCTGGTTGTTTTATGGCGTCCGGATCTTTAAGGAGCAGATGCCAGACTATTATAAGATTGTACAGTTTTCTGTGTCACTAGTAGACGCACTGCTTTTCATCCATTATATTGCTGTCATCTTGCTGGAAATTCGACAGCTGCAGCCCCAATTTGTCATCAAGGTTACAAGGTCACCGGACGGGGAGAACCGCACCTACAACATCGGCTGTTTGAGCATCCAGAGGGCTGCAGCCTGGGTACTGGAACAGTACTATCGTGATTTCCCTGTCTACAACCCGTATTTGGAGTTGGTTGCCAAGCGACCTTCCAAGATGTCGGGACTCAAGTTCTATGAGGTTGATGGAAATTCGTCGAATACTCAGGGAAAATCGAGAGCTATCTTTGCTGCAGCGGCTCGCCGACGAGATGCCAGCCACAATGACCGCTTCTATGAGGATGTGGAGTATGACCGTCGAGTGCGCAAGCGTCGCGCTCGTCTCATTGTGGCTGCAGAGGAGGCTTTTACTCACATCAAACGCATGCAAGATGACCAAGGTAATTAACATAAGGAATAGGACTACTGTGAATTATAGGTGAATGGAGTATATTTACTCTATAAACAAGGTAATTAACATTAGGAATAGGACTACGGGAAATTATAGGTGAATGGAGTATATTTACTCGATAAACAAGGTAATTAAGATAAGGAATAGGACTACGGTAAGGTATAGGTGAATGGAGTATATTTACTCTATAAACAATGTAATTAACATTAGGAATAGGACTACGGTAAATTATAGGTAAATGGAGTATATTTACTATATAAACAAGGTAATTAACATAAGGAATAGGACTACGGTAAAGTATAGGTGAATGGAGTATATTTCCTCGATAAACAAGGTAATTAACATAAGGAATAGGACTACGGTAAATTATAGGTGAATGGAGTATATTTACTCTATAAACAATGTAATTAACATTAGGAATAGGACTACGGTAAATTATAGGTAAATGGAGTATATTTACTCTATAAACGAGGTAATTAACATTAGGACTAGGACTACGGTAAATTATAGGTAAATGGAGTATATTTACTCTATAAACAAGGTAATTAACATTAGAAATAGGACTACGGTAAATTATAGGTAAATGGAGTATATTTACTCTATAAACGAGGTAATTAACCTTAGGAATAGGACTACGGTAAATTATAGGTAAATGGAGTATATTTACTATATAAACAAGGTAATTAACATAAGGAATAGGACTACGGTAAGGTATAGGTGCATGGAGTATATTTACTCTATAAACAAGGTAATTAACATAAGGAATAGGTCTACGGTAAATTATAGGTGAATGGAGTATATTTACTCTATAAACAAGGTACTTAACATTAGGAATAGGACTACGGTAAATTATAGGTAAATGGAGTATATTTACTATATAAACGAGGTAATTAACATAAGGAATAGGACTACGGTAAATTATAAGTGAATGGAGTATATTTACTCTATAAACAAGGTACTTAACATTAGGAATAGGACTACGGTAAATTATAGGTAAATGGAGTATATTTACTATATAAACGAGGTAATTAACATAAGGAATAGGACTACGGTAAATTATAAGTGAATGGAGTATATTTACTCTATAAACAAGGTAATTAACATAAGGAATAGGTCTACGGTAAATTATAGGTGAATGGAGTATATTTACTCTATAAACAATGTAATTAACATTAGGAATAGGACTACGGTAAATTATAGGTGAATGGAGTATATTTACTATATAAACGAGGTAATTAACATAAGGAATAGGACTACGGTAAAGTATAGGTGAATGGAGTATATTTCCTCGATAAACAAGGTAATTAACATAAGGAATAGGACTACGGTAAAGTATAGGTGAATGGAGTATATTTACTATATAAACAAGGTAATTAACATAAGGAATAGGACTACGGTAAATTATAGGTGAATGGAGTATATTTACTATATAAACAAGGTAATTAACATAAGGAATAGGACTACGGTAAGGTATAGGTGAATGGAGTATATTTACTCTATAAACAAGGTAATTAACATAAGGAATAGGACTACGGTAAGAAATAGGTGAATGGAGTATATTTACTCTATATACAAGGTAATTAACATAAGGAATAGGACTACGGTAAATTATAGGTGAGTTGAGTACATTAACTCCATAAACAAGGTAGGACTACAGTGGGAATATGTCCACATTTGATCTGTGTTACCGTGTTACAGTGTATGTTTAAGTTAAGTTCACTTTGACACTGCAATGGCCAAGTGGTTAAGGCATCTGACATTTTGTTACCACTAGCCATCCACCACTGGGTCGCGAGTCGAGGCCTACGTGGGGCAGTCACCAGGTGCTGGCTGTTGGTCGGTGTTTTTTCTACGGAAACTACGGCTTTCCTCCACCACCAAAACCTGGCACGTCCTTAAATGACCATAGCTGTTAATAGGACGTAAAACACACACAAACCAAAGACACCATGTCCATATCAAATTGAACCCTGAAAAACTAAATTCAGGGACCCCTAAATATTGGATTCTATGAAAAATCTTGCAAATTATCCCCTTAGGAGATTAATGTTAATATAAACATGTATTACAGTAAAGTAAGATGAATGTCGTTGGCCTGTACTTTAAATTATAGGCTTTGTCTGTTTGCACTTTTTTCCGTGCATGTTATTGTATTCAAGACAGTCCTTGATGAACACATCCCTAGATGACCTTAGCTGTAAAAAGCATGCTAAACCCAATCTAACACCCATGAGGCATTTCTATCTGGGCCAACAAAAGTGATAAGTTCAATTGATTTTTTCATAATTGTTGTTTATAATAAAGTATATATATTAAACGTGTTGTAAAACTTCTATAAGGAAAATATGAATGAAATTGCATTCTAGAACAATTGAAGAGGAAAATCTCAAAAATAAAATTTAAATTAGGAATCTCCCTGGTTCAAAGTGGATGTGATAAAATTTCATTGTGAGTTGGACTGACAAATAGAAAGGTCGGTGATACCCTGTTAACTCTATCTAGAACACTGAGCCTGTACTCTTTCTCTTTGTTTGACCTGACTACCCCCACACACCAGCCCCTGCTTCAACACAAAATTCCTAATAACAAACAGACTTTACTAATTTTCCCATTAGGGGTTCTGAGGGTGAGGGTTCCGCCTACAAAATTAGCATGGGGAGATCAAAGCCTAGAGGTTATAACAGCGAATAAAACTTTATCTACCTAGCGGTATCACTTATATATGATACTATGGTATAGCTGAGGTGTTTATGTACTAAGTGAGTATGCTACTCATCACCCAAACTTTGTTTTCTATTTAAACAAAGATCAGCTGATTGTCCAACACGTAGACAAATGATTTGGATATAAATTTAACATTTGTGTAGTCTCTCGCCATTATTGACTCCTTACATCCGTGTTAGATCTGTGTGAAGTTTCATCCCTAGCCAGTATTTCTATTATGGAATATGACATGTTTTTAAAGTACATGAGACCCCTGTTCATGTATTACATCGGTGTGATATGGGGACGTTGCATTTGTATTGAATCATAAAAGTCTTAATTTCTGACTATTTGAAAAATGGATCCTGGCCAGAAATTGGGAAAATCTGTTAACATAATTATAATGCAAAGAAAATTTTAAAATACATTCTGACTGTCGGACGCAGAGCTGCCATTGTCACGATTTTCATTAAAAGCATAAAAACAACAATTTATTAGAATCTGACTATGCATGTATTTGTTAAGAGACTTTGGATTATAAAAACAACTTTTCAAGCTAGTGATTCATTTAATTGGGAAAATATGTAAAAATAATAATAAAAAAAGGTTGTTTCCAATGATGATCATATAACTTTTTTTACTATCTTTATTCAAATTTGCGTACCTCTGAATAATTAATTGAAAAAAATTACATGCATATATATATAAAATTTCCAGTGAAGTTTTTTGTATTGTTAATAGCTATATATAGAGAGTCAATCAGCTAACTTAAATAACTGTTAGCTGAGGAAAATTACTTTTTCAGTTAGGGTTTGGTCTTCCATGAATTCAGTGACTTGCTTATGAAGCTGTGCACCACACCATCAGATCAGTTGGAAAGTTCCTATTAATCTTAAGTTAATTCTATTTAGTTTTAAACATGTTAACTTATCGGGCATTACAATGTTCAATACACAAGAAGACCATGGCTCGGCTGTTTCCTAATCTCTGTTTTAATATTACCTGTGTGGGACCCCTGAAATTATCATATAACCAAAACATTCCAGGTAAGATGTTGCTACAGAGTTGAGTGTTGGCCTCAGTGGGGGGCCCCAGAGGGGGAACAGCGTCTGGGGTCACATCTGGCATTCGCCCAGTGGAGGCACATCAGAAATAATTGTACACCAGCCTGATCTAATCAGAAACTTGCCTGCATGTTTTAAAAATGGTAGTATTTTTGTAGCAGTTTGGTAGACAATATAACATGTGTTCTGATCGACGTTTGGGTCTTTACATTAATACCTTTGCCTGATGGAGCTGTGCTGAACAGAGACGTATTTATACAGTATGTAAGCTGTGATGGTACTGTGCTCCTTCAGCTTGGAGCAATGCAATGGAAGCGCTAGTACTATTACCAAAGAAAAAGATACTAATATGTTCAGTACAGTTAATTACCACCTAATTGAATTTATAAGAACAAGAAAATATATCTAAGCACTGCTGACATTACAATTGTGTCTCCAGTCTCCACTAATATAATCCTATGGATAATCCATATATGTCCATATACTACCATGGGAGAGGAGGTATATAGGCTTTAAGCCTGCTGTCCAGTCATTTTGACCTTGTATCATTCATTTGTCAGTAAAAATTAATCATGTTGCCTCACTATAGCTGCTTAGGTAGTATTTTATGGAAAACTAAAAAGATACAAATTTATTCCATCATAAATCCAATACATGTGTATAAGACCCAGTTTATCGATTGTAGCCTATCAAACGTGGCCTGCTTATTGTGACTCCACTGAGGGTTGTAATTAGTAATAACTGATAGCTGTATATGTCACACTGGTTGATTACTGAACTAAAACTTAATATTTGTGGTGTATACTGTTAAATCGTTAATTTTCATGGGACTTTAAATTTCATTCATTTTGTGGATAACAAAAATTCACGAAATTAAATTCCCACGAAAACATAAATTTGGTATGATATAGATGGGGGGAAATCAGAAATCAGCAAAATATAATGTCTTTGAAACAGTGTAGTATATATATGAAAACCACTAAATGTTAACCCCACAAAAATAAATGATTCTACAGTATATAACATATTTATACAGAGAGAGTATCATGTTTTACATTACTTCGGAGCTGTAAATGTAATAGTTTGACTAATACTGCATATTCTAAACCAATGCTGTTGTTTCCAGGTGCTCCAGTACCGATGGATCCTAAAGAGGCTGCTCACGCTGTATTTCCGTCCATGGCCCGGGCGTTACAGAAATACCTGCGAATCACTCGACAGCAGCCTCGCTACACGATGGATGCAGTGCTGGACCACTTGGCAGTGTGTGTGGGCCACGACATCAGTCCCCGGGCGTTTATTGAGCGGTACCTGACACAGGGCTCGGTCATTATGGACGATCACAACTATCGCCCCATACAGAAGTGGGTTCTGGTTTGTGACCAGCTGCTCACAAGAGAAATGGAACACAACACGGTATTTCAGCTGCGACAGAACGATGTGTCGCTGCTCGTCATAGTGAAACGTATTCCACATTTTAATCTCACGGAAGAAGTCATTGATCCCAAAAATAATAAGTTTGTATTGAGACTCAATTCAGAGACCTCTGTGTAATATAACAAAGCTTGGCGTTAGAACTGAACTACCGTGCCCCTGTGTTATACAGAACAGCTTAGCTATAATCTTGGTTTGGTTCCCGGAAATGTTCAATTACTGATAACTCCATAAGGATATTTCCATTTTGGGAACTAGGATCTGTGATCTTTCGTTGGGAGACCATGATATTGGAAACCTGTATTTTGGGAATCCAAATATCAGAAATCTCTGGTACAGGAATCGCCATATTGGAAAGATCATTTTGGAAGCAAAGCATAAGAAAAATTTATATCTGGGTTGTAGTTTTATCCAAGGTTAGGAATCTCAAATCTGCCCAAAGTTGGAGGAAACATTTAAAACTGTGCTGTGACCTATGATCATATGTAAGCTACCCATTTTATAAAACCTAGTTGTGCCATTTGTGTAATGGTAGTGCACTATTGGACAGAAAATAACAGCCAATGGCTGCTTAGTATTGGTTGGTTTCCAGTTGGACCAAATGAAAAATCGGTCCAGGTTTTATGTTGAAATATTTTGTTAACTTGTATCAAAGTAATGTTGAAAAGAGGCTGATAAAAAAGCCTCTCAAGACAAAGTGTACTGTACGTATGGAGCCATGCTAATCTAAGTACGGTTGTTCTCCTGCTCCTGGCTGCGTTGTGAAATGGCTGGTGTAACCAAGTCGGCTACGTATACGATTCCTGGGATAATAGAACAGTAGAAACCTCTTTCCCGAAGAAAGCGCTGGTATAGATAGAGGGACAACCAGAATGAAGGTGAATTAACAAGATAGTTAAGAAGCATTCTTGTCTGGCCAAGTATTGAAAATATATTTTAGTGCTGAAGCGAACATTGGATACATAACCTAAAGTTAGTCCACCAATCCTTTTAAAGAATCATAACAAGGGTTTACAATTCTCAGTGTCTGACACCCAGAACAAGGGTTTACAATTCTTCATGTTAACTGTATGTAAATAAAAGGTCAGACTTATAGATATTTTTTTCAAGATCTGCCTGCAGGCAAGTACTAGTTTGCTGTTGTAAACTTTGAAATATACTTTGGAAAACTTTTACTTCTCGAATAGTTTGCATTAACCCTTTCATCCCTAGGTAACTTTAGTAGACTCTACCATGCATTGATATGGATGAGTCCAATATGGTCTACAGTGATGAAAGGGTTTAGTGCATCCGAGATGCTGTGTAAGATAATAAAACAAGAATCTCTTTAATATAATTATGTTTACAGTATTGAAGCGTATTAAAACTTAATTAAAATGAATGTAGTTTCTGAAGATAAGAGCCAGTGGTAAATAATCTAGATAAATAGTCTGTATTAAGGTTTAATGTGACAGGCACTGATAATGTAGACAGCAATCATTAACTGGGATCAGCATGTACTGACATTCTGCTACCACTAGCCCTCCACCACTGGGTTGCAGGTTCAAAGCCTACGTGGGGCAGTCGCCAGGTGCCAGTGGTTTTTCTCCGGAAACTCCGGCTTTACTCCACCACCGAAACCTGGCACGTCCTTAAATAACCATAGCTGTTAGTAGGAGCTTAAACATAAACAAACCAAACTTGTGGAAATTATTCATGATGATGACGTAAAACCATTTCATTAAAAGAAGGTGGATAAAAAGTGATGTGCCATAAATATCTACACAAAGTATTGTATAGTGTCCTGACAGGACAAGGTGAAATCAAAATGTTAATTGTATCGTCATCATTGTACACATTCTCTCAGGTTCATTTCTGTTGTCTCAGCAAAATCATCAGATGGGATTCATTTCACACATTATTTATAGAAAGAGTACAATAAAATGTTTGTCCGAGGTCTAGATCAATGCACCAGGGTCTGGCATCAACAGACAACAAATTGTAGGTGTCATTAATTTTGATGGATAAATCAATTTATTGAAAACGTTTTAGAAAAATCCTTTGAAATTGTGAAAATCATTCAAATCTTCAAATGTTTTTTTTCCATCAGTACATATATGTACCGTGTACAAATGTATGTGCTCATTTTTTTATACGTTATATTCTGTATAGACCTGTTTCTGCTGAAGTAATCACATGTCATCTTAACTAACCATTTGCTTGAACATGGCTGTCAAAATCAGAGTCACATAGAAGCTTTAATCATTTCATCGTCAGAGGACTTCGCTTTGGTGCATGTAACAAATTGAGATGTAGCTTTAACCCTTTCACCGCTGTAGACCAAGATGGACTCATCCAAATCAATGCATGGAAGAGTTAACTCCAGTTACATAGGGGTGAAAGGGGTTAAACAGAATGAATATTTGTGAGAATCTCGGTTGTTCAGTCATGGTTCACTAACCATGGGTAGCCAAAAGGTTGTAAATTGTGTGATCGGCCAACCATGTAATCAGTTTTACTGTATGCAAGATGTACATATAGCGTTGTGTGTAAACTATAAGTGTAAGAATCATGTGAATCATCTACGATATACAAAACACCACATTTGCCATTTTTTTTATTGTAGAAAATCTTTTGTACTCAATATTTGAAGTAGAATTTATGGAGGAGACTGAAGTTATTTAATGTTACAATAATTTATTTTGCTTTTGCCTTTTGTGGTTAATATTACATGTAATCTCGTGTGAGGTATTGTGAAGACGAACAGCTACCTTCCTTGTTCAGTGGAGTGCAAGCAGTGTATAATGATCTACATGGGAGGAACTCAAATTCCAACAGGTTGTTACATAAACTGGAATCTTGCAGCAAGTCTTCTGATTTATGTGTATTTTATATATATCTGTACAATGTATACAAACAGATCAAATACAGGATACTGCACACGTTTTCATTGCTCACACCTTTGTTTTGGTGAGAAATATGTGTTGGATCCAATGTTGCAGCACATGTACGGTATAAAGCATTGAATGGCTGTTGTTATACAAGGAGAAATTCTGTTTCTGGTAGAGTATAAACCATATCCCTGATTTAGTGGTGGCGTTATTATCAGATATCCATTTATTTGTTAAATTAGGCTCGAGGATACATGCTACCTTGCATTCTGTGACATTAGCTCCTTTCCAGAAGACTCCAATTTTAGAAAGATATGTTTTAAAGGAATTTTGACATTTGAAATGGAGAGAAGAATTAATTACACATTCAAAAAGTACACAAAAGTACACAAGAATTGATGACACATTTGAAAGGTACACCAGAATTGATGACACATTTGAAAGGCACACAACAAACTGGAAAAATTGATTACACATGTTAAAGTACACAAGAATTGATGACACATTTAAAAGGTACACAAGAATGGAAGCAATATATCCCAAAGGGGGATAACTCAAACACAAGTCACAGTGTAATGTGGATGGTAGGATATATCCTTAAGTAAGACACTTTTGAATAAATCACACGTATTATAAGGTAGCATTCTTAAAATGATTGATATCATTAGTTAAGTAGAAGAATAAAATGTACTAATGAATAAGTCCACCATTTCCCAGGAGTCATATAAAAAAAATGATAATTTCTTTATTCTGTAAATAAAGTCTCCTGATAATTATCACTATGTTTTAACTGCCTTATGGAAGTAAAGTTGATATCCAGTAAACCAAGCTAATTCATAAGTATTGTACGGTGTATATCAGTATTGTACGGTGTACATCGGTGTACATCAGTATTGTACGGTGTACATCAGTGTACATCAGTATTGTACGGTGTACATCAGTATTGTATGGTTTACATCGGTGTACATCAGTATTGTACGGTGTACATCAGTATTGTACGGTGTACATCAGTATTGTACGGTGTACATCAGTATTGTACGGTGTACATCAGTATTGTACGGTGTACATCAGTATTGTACGGTGTACATCAGTATTGTACGGTGTACATCAGTATTGTACGGTGTACATCAGTATTGTACGGTGTACATCAGTATTGTACGGTGTACATCAGTATTGTACGGTGTACATCAGTATTGTACGGTGTACATCAGTATTGTACGGTGTACATCAGTATTGTACGGTGTACATTGGTGTACATCAGTGTTTACCACCACAATGATTGGATGACTCATAAACTTATTGTTTGTACAATTCTGCATTATTTTTCAAAAGCATTTGACTACATTGTCACAAACAAATTTTGATCTCAAAAGTTACACTTCAGTTTCATTTTGTTTATACAGTCGGCCATAGATTGATTTCACTGATGATATTTTCTACAGTCAGCCATAGATTTGATTTCCCTGATCATGTTATTAATGTGGTTGTGAGAAGGACCTGATTTCTGATGGTCCCGGTGCTTTTTAAGGCATAGACCAAGGTCAAGGAGATTTGGTTGTACAAAGCAATACTTTTTATGTCTATGTTTACCAGTAAGAGTTATTTAGTGCTACTTGGTACCTGTACTTCCCAAGCTCTTGTGAAATCTAGTTTTTGTCATTCTAAGTTAGACGGTCACATTATGTTGTGGACAAATAATGAACAGCATTTTATTACAGACATCTGTATTTCATCATCAGCTCTGTGTATTCTATGCAAATTATATCAGTGAATATTGTATAAGTCATCTGTAGAAACTGTCTGTCATTTTTCCTTCGAATGAGATGAATTCATTACAATCTAAGCAGCATTCGGTCAATGTTAGAGGGGAGATAACCCAGATTTGACCAGAAATCTTTCACATTTTAATCGGTGCTGCAGCTCATGAAAGTTAATGTAAATCGACACTGGTAGTTCTTTGTGCTCAATATATGCCATTCATATTATAAGGACAATTTTCCTGTGTGTTTTAGAACGACTTGCAATGTAAATTAATCAGGTTTGGAGATCATGATAATTACATCAATATGAAACTTGCTGCAAGTGTCTGACCTCGTAAAGGAGGATTTTCTGTTCACTGTACTGATTTTGTTATTGTACTTGCAACAATTTATTTGGGAGTTTAAGCAAAAGACCATCATGAAACAAATCATTTGATGCTCTTTTCGAATCTCTTGAATATTATCAATCTCTGAAATATTACTGATTTACAATATTAACCCTTTCACCACTATAGACCATAATGGACTCTTCCATATCAATGCATGGTAGAGTCTACTGAAGTTACATAAGGGTGAAATGGTTAAAAATGCTTTTGAAATTTGCAGGAAAACATTAACATTTAAGATTTATTCATTGTACTTTGGGTATCAGGGGGGCGCTTTCAGCGATACATATATATGCGACAGTTTGCCCATGCCTGGTGACCACCCATATATATGTTATGTATTTTATAAGCAATGCTGACAATTTATATTTTCATGTCCTGTAATAAGCCCACTCTTCTGCTTCTTATTGGAAATTATGTTTAGGCCCACTGGGCTTATTGCAGGATACATGTTAGTAAAATGTAAATGTTGTCTGCAGATCACGTACACAGCCAAACATCCAATCAAAGCCAAATGTGGGGAGGACAAGGACCTCAGTGTAGCTTTGTAATGGCAGGAACAGCCTCCTCCATCATCATCATCTTTGCATGTCTAGTATTTTGACCTTTAAATTGTGTTGTGATTGGTCGCTGTTTCATCAGGTGACCTTGATAAGTTGTTGTGATTGGTCAATGTTTCATCAGGTGACCTTGATAAGTTGTTGTGATTGACTGCCGTCATAAAACGACAGTCCAGGGCCCGTACTCATTAAACCATTCTCACGCTTAGACATGGATTTGGTGCTCAAGCCAATATTCTTGCAAGTCACTGAAATTGTGTGACACAGTCAAAAAGTAAACTCTGGATATTGAAAATTATATTTGGCTTCAAGTCTCTAATGTTATCTAAGTCTATCGAGCGCCCCTCCATAATATATTAGAAAATGTGAAATTTGAGTAATTTTACCCCAGAATAAGGAATTTGGTTTGAGCACAGAATCTGAGTTTGAGCTGCCTATATAGGAGCCCTGGTGATTTGTAGTGTTGTAAACCTTCACCGACCCCTTAAACAGGATGTACATTGTAGTAGTTATAAAACTGTATTGTATAAATGTTGAGAAAAACATGTTTATTAAACTTACAACCTTTTTTTATAAACCTTCTTTTTGTTATTTTTTGTTGATCGACTACCAGCATCTTGAGCAGAGGTATATCCCACCGTATCAGTTACATTACAGCTAAGTTTTGTCCGGGCCATTTCTCTTGTGCTACTACACCTGGAGTAACAGGAGTTGTTCTGCAAGTATTTGTGCAAGCAACAATATTGTCCACAGTTTTTTTAGCAATTTAACAAAGATTAATAAAATTCAGTATGTAGGTACAATTTAAGATGCTGTGGATGAAAAGGCCATTGTGACCTTTGTTTTGACCTCTGACCTCAGTGAATGAAAAGTTTGTCCAAAGCTTATTTATATTCTATATGACGCCTTGTTTAACCAAATTTTGTATGTAGTATATCACGCGATGACAGCAATTGAAAAGGAATTACCTTTTCTGTATCGGGGTACTTTCACCATTGAACAGCTCGGCAAATAAAGAAAACATGACTGGTGGGGGACTAGGGACTGCCTTGCAATACTTTGCCATGTAAACATGGTTGACACAGGAAATCCACAAATCATAATACATGTCGAATAAAACACTCTGGGATATTTGAGAGGAAGATCTAAAGGTTAAAATGACCTTTGAATAAGACTTAACATAGCGAGACAAGCTAAACATAAAAGTTTTCAGACATGGGTCTAAATTAAATGGGTTTGACGTTTGAATAGAAGATGATATTTAATGATGTGACCATGAATTAAAGCCAGAATGGACTGGCATCTGGATTTGACAAGGATCTGAACAGGACATGGGGTTGGTATTTACAGGGATCTAAATTAGACATGGGGCTGGTATATACCGGGATCTGAATAAGACATGGGGTTGGTGGAGATGGGGGCTGGTATATACCGGGATCTGAATTAGACATGGGGTTGGTCTAGATGGGGGCTGGTATATACAGGGATCTGAATTAGACAGGGGACTGGTATATACAGGGATCTGAATTGAACATGTGGCTGGTGTAGATGGGGGCCGGTATATACAGGGATCTGAATAAGAAATGGGGCTGGTGTAATCAGGGATCTGAATTAGACATGGGTCAGGTATATACAGGGATCTGAATAAGAAATGGGGCTGGGGTAATCAGGGATCTGAATTAGACATGGGGTTGGTCTAGATGGGGGCTGGTATATACAGGGATCTGAATTAGACATGGGGTTGGTCTAGATGGGGGCTGGTATATACAGGGATCTGAATTAGACATGGGTCAGGTATATACAGGGATCTGAATAAGACATGGGGTTGGTGTAGATGGGGGCCGGAATATACAGGGATCTGAATTAGACATGGGGTTGGTCTAGATGGGGGCTGGAATATACAATATCAGCACGTCTGTACAGCTCTTTCAACTTTCAGCAAGTACGAAGACAAATTTGATGATTTTTTTTTTATTAAACATCTCATCTGCACTAACAATAAAAACTGCAAGAAATAGGTCATTGAAGTTATCGAGGTTTACTTTCAGACTTGGGTGTCGCCTTTTTACGACGTAAGTATTTTGTCTGGAATGCCTTTATAACATCCTTATGTGGGGTAGGACTGGACAGCTGGGTCATAGGGATGGACAGAGCTTGCTTGACCGTTGGTGAGTGGAGGGTCAGCAGCTGAATGACACTCCACAAACTCACAGTACAGAAGTATAGGGTGAATCCCTGAAAAGACAAAATATATATCAGTTGTCGGGGGACAGGAAGAACTCACAGTACAGAAGTAGAGGGTGAATCCCTCAAAAGACAAAATATATATCAGTTGTCGGGGGACAGGAAGAACTTATAAAAGAAGAAACAATTAGTAGACTGCATTTTATACATCAACGAATTTGACACAGTTGTACATAACAAGAGGCCAGTAAACCCATTGTGGATTGGCGTTTGAGAAGGCAGGAAACTGGTGCATATCTGTAGTATCTTTTACACTCTGATGCACTCTGCTGGTCACCTGAACCCTTTCACCCCTATGTATTTTAAGTAGACACTTCCATACATTGATATGGATGAGTCAATTATGGTCTACAGTGATGAAAGGGTTGCACCACTGTAGACCAGAATGGACTCATCCAGATAAATGTATGGAAGAGTCTACTAAAGTTACCTAGGGGTGAAAGGGTACTGAACAATGCATTGTAGGGTTAGGGTTAATAAATAGGTTTGTTTTCCTTCACAATTCTGTAGTGTATTTACTAAGGATGCTATATAATAAATACCACAATCATCACACTGTCAGTGAGTTATTTCAAACATTTTTTCAGGAACCCCTTTTTGCCCCTTTTCGGGATTCACAAAGGGACACACGTTTTTTTCTTTCCTAGGGACACTTCCTCCCGACTTTGCTGTAATTGGCCCTTAGGTTTTGAGAAGATTAGACTCCAAAGAAAAGTTAATGAATGGATGACAGAGGTCAGACGACGGACAGCAAAGAATCCCAATAAGCTAAAAGTGTTTTACAAAACGTCCCATTATTGTGCTTACCAAGTGTTAATATTTTAATTACGTGGGACCATAAGAATATAATGATTTAAAATCAGCACAAGCATTTTAACCTTTTAGTCTACGGTGATAACAACATCAACAGGTAAATGATACAGGCCAGATGGGCCCTATGTTTTCCATTTTGAAGCTTACTTTTCAATGATGTTTAATAGTTTGTAAAATTGTCTGTTTTATAGAAAAGATACTTCAATTTTCATTTCAAAACAAAATGATATGTCTGGTGACCAGTGGAAGAGAAGCATTAGGATGGCTTCTGTAGATAACTTCAAAACTTCACTGGACCTTCCTGTACTGTTTCTTAATGACAGCAATTTACACGCTTCTCTCAATGTAAGTATTATCTATCAGATGTTACCTGACTATTCTGTTAGGTATTATTGATGAAGACATCTATTTATATTTCACTCAATGTAAATATTATCTATCAGATGTTACCTGACTATTCTGTTATTTCACTCAATGTAAATATTATCTATCAGATGTTAACTGACTATTCTGTTAGGTATTATTAATGCTGACATCAATTTATATTTCACTCAATGTAAATATTATCTATCAGATGTTACCTGACTATTCTGTAAGGTATTATTGATGCTGACATCAATTTATATTTCACTCAATGTAAATATTATCTATCAGATGTTACCTGACTATTCTGTTATTTCACTCAATGTAAATATTACCTATCAGATGTTACCTGACTATTCTGTTAGGTATTATTAATGCTGACATCATTTTATATTTCACTCAATGTAAATATTATCTATCCGATGTTACCTGACTATTCTGTTAGGTATTATTGATGCTGACATCAATTTATATTTCATTCAATGTAAATATTATCTATCAGATGTTACCTGACTATTCTGTTAGGTATTATTGATGCTGACATTAATTTATGTTTAACTCAATGTAAATATCCACAACTACTAAATAATTGCTCACATAGAAGTTTGACTGTATTCAGCACTAATCTCAAGTCTGGCAATAAGCCGAGCTATATCTATGTCAGTTAATTTTACTGTATCCAGCACTCAACTCCAGTCTGGCAATAAGCCACGCTATATTTATGACAGTTTATTTTACTGTATCCAGCACTAATCTCCATTCTGGCAATAAGCCAAGCTATGTTTATGACAGTTTATTTTACTGTATCCAGCACTAATCTCCATTCTGGCAATAAGCCGAGCTATATTTATGACAGTTAATTAGAGAGGCCAACATCTGTCAATAAGCTGAGCTATATTTATGACAGTTAATTTTACTGTATTCAGCACTTATCTCCATTCTGGCAATAAGCCAAGCTATATTTATGACAGTTAATTAGAGAGGCCAACATCTGTCAATAAGCTGAGCTATATTTATGACAGTTTATTTTACTGTATTCAGCACTAATCTCCATTCTGGCAATAAGCGAGCTATATTTATGACAGTTAATTAGAGAGGCTAACATCTGGCAATAAGCCAAGCTATATCTATGACAGTTAATTAGACAGGCCAACATCTGGCAAAATGCCGAGCTATATTTATGACAGTTAATTTTACTGTATCCAGCACTAAACTCCAGTTTGGCAATAAGCTGAGCTATATTTATGACAGTTAATTAGAGAGGCTAACATCTGGCAATAAGCCAATCTATATCTATGACAGTTAATTAGAGAGGCTTACATCTGGCAATAAGACGAGCTATATCTATGACAGTTAATTAGAGAGGCTAACATCTGGCAATAAGCCAATCTATATCTATGACAGTTAATTAGACAGGCCAACATCTGGCAATAAGCTGAGCTATATTTATGACAGTTAATTAGAGAGGCTTACATCTGGCAATAAGCCGAGCTATATTTATGACAGTTAATTAGAGAGGCTTACATATACTATTTCCTTGTCCTGTAATGAGTCTATTCCAACCTTTGAGCAGAGATTGTCCTCTGGGCTTATTGCAGAATATATACAGAACCAGTAAATGTAAGTCTGCAGGAAACAGCACAAAAAATATACAAGATCAACAAAATACCAATCGTCCATACTTACACTGGGAACGAAACAAAGAATTGGAAACAAAACAAGGCAAACTCCCTGGCCAAAACAGGTCAAGATGTTCAAGACTTTCTGAGGATTTGATTCAGGTACCACCGAAACACCCCAATTCAATTGATCATGACTGACTTTCCTCAGCAGCTTAGAATACTGTAACAGAAGAATGAATGGTGAGATCAACACAGGTCATAGTCACAGTGTTCTGTAACAGTAGAATGTATGGTGGGATCAACACAGGTCATAGTCACAGAGTACTGTAACAGTAGAATGTATGATAAGATCAACACAGGTCATAGTCACAGAGTTCTGTAACAGTAGAATGTATGGTGGGATCAACACAGGTCATAGTCACAGAGTACTGTAGCAGTAGAATGTATGGTGGGATCAACACAGGTCAAAGTCACAGAATACTGTAACAGTAGAATGTATGGTGGGATCAACACGGGTCATAGTCACAAAGTTCTGTAACAGTAGAATGTATGGTGGGATCAACACAGTTCATAGTCACAGAGTTCTATAACAGTAGAATGTATGGTGGGATCAACACAGGTCAAAGCCACAGAATACTGTAACAGTAGAATGTATGGTGGGATCAACACAGGTCATAGTCACAGAATACTGTAACAGAAGAATGGATGGTGAGATCAACACAGGTCATAGTCACAGAATACTGTAACAGTAGAATGTATGGTGGGATCAACAAAGGTCATGGTCACAGAATACTGTAACAGAAGAATGTATGGTGGGATCAACACAGGTCATAGTCACAGAATATTGTAACAGTAGAATGTATGGTGGGATCAACAAAGGCCATGGTCACAGAATACTGTAACAGAAGAATGTATGGTGGGATCAACAAAGGCCATGGTCACAGAATACTGTAACAGAAGAATGAATGGTGAGATCAACACAGGTCATAGTCACAGAGTTCTGTAACAGTAGAATGTATGGTGGGATCATCACAGGTCATAGTCACAGAGTACTGTAGCAGTAGAATGTATGGTGGGATCAACACAGGTCATTGTCACAGAATACTGTAACAGTAGAATGTATGGTGGGATCATCACAGGTCATAGTCACAGAGTACTGTAGCAGCAGAATGTATGGTGGGATCAACACAGGTCAATGTCACAGAATACTGTAACAGTAGAATGTATGGTGGGATCAACAAAGGTCATGGTCACAGAATACTGTAACAGAAGAATGAATGGTGAGATCAACACAGGGCATGGTCACAGAATACTGTAACAGTAGAATGTATGGTGGGAACAACACAGGTCATAGTCACAGAATACTGTAACAGTAGAAGGTATGGTGGGATCAACACAGGTCATAGTCACAGAATACTGTGACAGAAGAATGAATGTTGAGATCAACACAGGTCATAGTCAAAGAGTACTGTAACAGAAGAATGTATGGTGGGATCAACACAGGTCATAGTCACAGGGTACTGTAACAGTAGAATGTATGGTGGGATCAACACAGGTCATAGTCACAGAGTTCTATAACAGTAGAATGTATGATGGGATCAACACAGGTCATAGTCACAGAATACTGTAACAGAAGAATGAATGTTGAGATCAACACAGGTCATAGTCAAAGAGTACTGTAACAGTAGAATGTATGGTGGGATCAACACAGGTCATATTCACAGAGTACTGTAACAGAAGAATGAATGGGGAGATCAACACAGGTCATAGTCACAGAATATTGTAGCAGGAATGTTGGCACCAAACTTAAGTATAAAACTGGTGAGATCAACACAGGTCATAGTCACAGAGTTCTGTAACAGCAGAATGTATGGTGGGATCAACACAGGTCATATTCACAGAGTACTGTAACAGAAGAATGAATGGTGAGATCAACACAGGTCATAGTCACAGAATATTGTAGCAGGAATGTTGGCACCAAACTTAAGTATAAAACCAGTACCAAGGGAATGGACATCCTACCTCTAGTCCAAAGACGGCACAGATGGTGCCTACTGCCGGCAGGATGCAGTAAGGATCAGCAATGGTGAGATTGTGGAACCACCAGAGTCCTTCCCCGGCCATTTCTGGTCGAAAATACATGTCCGCTAAAACACAATATTATATGTTATTAGGTTTACCCAATCACCATACATATCCGCTAAAACACAATATGATATGTTATTAGGTTTACCCAATCACCATACATATCCGCTAAAACACAATATGATATGTTATTAGGTTTACCCAATCACCATACATATCCGCTTAAACACAATATGATATGTTATTAGGTTTACCCAATCACCATACATATCCGCTTAAACACAATATCATATGTTATAGGTTTACCCAATCACCATACATATCCACTAAAACACAATATGATATGTTATAGGTTTACCCAATCACCATACATATCCGCTTAAACTCAATATTATATGTTATTAGGTTTACCCAATCGCCATACATATCCGCTTAAACACAATATTATATGTTATTAGGTTTACCCAATCACCATACATATCCGCTTAAACACAATATTATATGTTATTAGGTTTACCCAATCACCATTCATTCATGCAAAACTCTAAAAAAATACTATCTGGCATTAATTTGTAACTGTATTGCACTCAATAAAATAAAATAAAATATACATGATAAAAATTCTAACAACACACATTTAGTATGTGTTTACAATGAAATAATTCAGAACTATCTCTAACTATTCCTTGAAAAAGAGCAATTTTAAGCTTCATAATCACAGATGCAGACCTATTCGTCAAGTCATTGACCAACGACAACGAGGCAAGTTTACACAAAACAGATTCTCTTACTACAGAGATGCTTCATACAAAATAAATTTACTGAGTAATGGAAATAACACTGAAACCGAGGAGCAGTACGGTACTGTCAACTTTCGGATCATTTTGGTGTTTAAACGAGGAAAGCACTCATTAACAAAACAGGAGGCACGGTAGTCTAGTAGTAGAGCGCCGGGCTCGTGACCGAAGGGTTGCTGGTTCGTCACGTCACGGCACGGTACTGTGTTGTTTCTTTGAGCAAGATACTTTCGTACTTTACTCCGTTTGTTCCAGTCTACTCAGTTGTAAATGAGTACGTGGTTGGGCAGTGCTAGAATTGTTGAATGCTAGCTGTGAGCGCCGAAATGGCAGCACCGGCTGTATGCTCCCCAGGGAGTTGAGAAAGGTATTGGCTGGGTGCAAAGGCCCTATAATCACAGATAATAATTTGTGAACCGCTTTGAGACGACCTACAAACTAGGTTGTGATAAAGCGGTTTTTAAGAACCTCAAATTATTATCATTATTATCAAAACAGAACAACATGCAGTAATTAATTCCAGTTAATCAGATATTCCAATTTCATAGTTTTGTTTTGTACACTGATGCCTCCAAACATTGGATATATAAGTTTTTGCTACAATTTTCTGGTCTCAGTTTGATTCTCTAACAAAAGGCCCAGGGGCCTTAATAGCTCACCTGGTATTTCATTTTAAATTTAACAGTTGCTGGATAACATACCAGTTTATCAATGGAGTATAAGTAATATAAGAAGGACTACCAGTAAATACATGAGTGTGTTCATGCCCCGAAATTCTGTATGTAGTTACGGGGTGAGGATCTCAGCTATTTCTATGTTATGACCCAGGGAGTGAGGTCCCATAGGGTGGGTCTGGTCCTCCGAGTCATTCCTGGGAGCATGAATGTCTTTGCCTCTTGCCGAACAATTATATGTTTGGTTATGTGGTAAGGATCCTGACCATTTCCAAGTTAAGACCTAATTATTTTACCTGCCAAAACCCACACCTCATGCAGTTGGGAACAGATCCAAAAGCTAACTCTGGTAGCATGAATACATTCCTCTGTTTATACAAAATTGAGAACCCCCAGGCCAAGGATGCTCTAGCACAAATTAGCTTAAAATTCCTCCATTGTACAGGATATGAAGAATTTAGAATGATTTTCCTTTATTTCCCCTATCGGTTCACATATGTCTATAATCCCCTGTTGGCCACACCCTCTGTTTCTACAAAAATGATTTGCATTTGCCTAAAGAAGCTCTAGCCACAAGTTTGGTCAAAATCTCTCCATTGGTACAGAAGGAGAAAGTTTGTGAAGACTTCAGTCTATTTTCCCTTTTTGGTCCCTTCCCTCTGCCCCGAGGGGGGCCACACTCTCATACAGAATGGAATGCCCCTTGCCAAAATATGCTCTAGAACAAGTTAGGTTAAAATCCCTCCATTGGTATGGAAGGAGAAGGTTTTCGAAAATTTACCTCTATTTCCTCTATTGGGCCCACCTTTCTGCCCCCAGTTTACACAAAATTGACAACCCATTGGCCAAGGATGCTCCAGACCAAGTAAGGTCAAAATCTACTCAGCCGTTCAGGACTAGTAGTGTTCTAAAGTAAAAGTTTATGGACGACAGAGACCGGACAACAAACGGACGATCATCTACAACCTGCGTCTCTGCTTGATGGATTACTAGGGCTCCAGACTGTACTTACCTATAGGTCCTAGTCGTCCTGTAAATGACCGGACCCCAAACCCACAGGCCAGAAATATTGGTGTCGACACATACATAACAAACAGTGGCTTTAGTGGGGCACAGTTATGCTTTTCATATAGCTCTTCCTTCATCTGCTTTATCTACAAAAAAAAAAAAAAAAAAAAAAAAATTTCGATAAGATGTAATATAAATATTTATAATTAAACTGAAGCTGGTCTTTATTTAAACTTAAGTGAGTAATAAGAGATAGCAGACAGATCTTGGAGCCCATTATCGTAACATCTTCATTAGTTCACTGTAAGACTGATCTCTTTTCTTCCTTTCCCATATGTCTGTTGGAAGGCGCCTCGTTAACCATAACTATACACTTTATGGTAGCTTTTGATCAAAATGTCATACTGATATTGTTATTTCAAAGTGAGGATAGCTTCTTGAGAAATAGTGATAACAAACTGGCTCTGTCGAAATCCAAGATGGCTGCCTGGTGTCCATTTTGTTTTTACTCATCTGCCTCAAAATGAAACATGCATAACTTAGGACCTTAGATACCCTCATTTTTTTATCAAAACAAATGTGTTCCTTTTACCAAAGAATGCTCTAGACCAAGTTTGGTTTAAATCCCTCCATTCATAGGAAAAGAAAAGGATTTAAAAATAATTTCCTTCTTTTCTCCATTGAGCCCCACTCCTCTTTCCCCAGGTGGTGGCAAACACCCTCTGTTTACTTAGTATACAAAATTCAATAAAGTTTCTCTAGAACAAAGGACTATGTACGGTTTGGGCCTGTTTTGGCCCCCAAATACATCAAAATTCAAAACCTTTAAATGAACTTTGAAATGACTGTTTCTTTAATTTCAAATACTTCCCAAATACTATTATGAAAAAATATTTATTTATATTTCTAATTATTGTTGCCATGGTAACAAGTTCAAATTTGCATAAATTAGGAAAATTTGATATTCAGTGAATATTGTGATATTTTGCATAGTTTTTCTCCTAGAAACTATATACAGCGCATGCTTGAACAAACTTCATATCAAAGGATAATGTGAAGGCACCTGTAATACATCTTTAGGAGAAATATAACGTTTGTTCAAGAGTGCGCTATGTGGTAGCTAAGAGAAAAACTAGGTGTAAACTAACTGAATAATCAAATTTCAATAATTTATGCAAATATGACCTGGTCACCATGGCAGCCAAAATTGAAAACACAAATAAATGTTTACATCATAGTACTAGGGAAGTATTCAGAATTAAATAAACAGTCGTCTGAAAGTTCTATTGCAGATTTTAAATTACGATGGATTTGGGGGCCAAAAAAGGCCTAAACCATACATAGTCCTTTGGTGTTAAAATACATCCAATTGTACGAAAAAAGATATTTCCACTCATAGTATATGTTGATTATTTTATTTTATTATTATACTTATAAGTAAGCTTCTGCATACACTAAAATTTTGAAGAAGATTTTTGTCAATCATATATTTTAATCAATTTCCTTTTTTTATGATAAATATTGATCATCCGTTTCAATCATAAAAAAGGAAATAAATAAAAAAAATCTTCTTGAAAATTTTAGTACGACGGAACATATACTGTTGTCCTCAGATAATCGTTTCTGTATCTGTATATTAATGGAAGACCTCATATTTGAGTATAAATTCCAGGGTTGGAGGAGTGCGCTTTTAGTTTATGTTGTTTCAGTTTGTAGTGCTGTCTTGAAGCTTTTAAGTTTTTGCATTTTGACGAGGTCTTCTGGTAGGTTATTCCACTCTGTTGTTGTTCGAGGAAAAAAAGATTTTTCTAATATGTCCATATTACACTGGAAATGTCGGTAATTTTCACTATTTTTTGATCTGGTACGGGTGTTTTATGGAGTCAATATGTGATCTACAGGTATGGCCACTAGCCCCTTCACGATCTTATAAAAAAAGGGCAAGCCGATGGTCTTGCCTGCGATCCTTTAGTGGTGTTAGTTTTAGAGTGTCCATCATTTCTGTTACACTGCTGTCCCTTCTATAATTTGATGTTATAAATCGGGCAGCGCGGCGTTGTACCTTTTCCAGCAAGTGGATGTTGTTTTGTTGGTAAGGGTCCCATATCGTACAGCTGTATTCCAGGACGATCTCATCAACGATTTGTATGCTGTCAGTTTCAGTGACGCTGGGCACTTTCGTTTAAGGGCCTTTCAGTCTTATCATTGGCAAGTGAAACTTTTACTTGTTATTAGACTAAAGGGTATTCTCAGAACATGGATGATTGCTTCTATGGCCTGGTAGATTTTTTTTCCAGCTTTGTAAGCATACACTCCGATAAATGATTTGCTACGCCACTGACTAGGCAGTGGTCTCAGCAGAAAGGTAGACATACTTACATGTAAGCGTGTTTCTCTTTTCTTTGTGTATGGTGTCTGTCGATAGAACACTGCAGCTGTAGAAAGACCTCCAATAATATGTGCGGACTTAGTTTTAATTTCTGGTTGAATTGTTAAAAGCCTTCCTTGAGATTGGAGGCTGAGGATATGCAAAGGTAACAGAACCAACCTGAAACACACCGTCCCCGATATGATAACAAGCCACCATGGGATTCCGACAGTATCATGGAGACCAGTAAAGAATTGTCTAGACAGTTCCACTGGCCAACTAGCAATAATTTTCTCCAATACGAAGTAAACTGCATTAAATATAGGTTCTGTGGACAGACCCCTCGATGACCCCAACCCTAAACCGACCCCGAGCCATGGAGGAGGATTCATTTCGCGTGATAGAATATGTCTGCCAGAGGAGTGAAGGAGGGTGTGTTTCGGAGCCAACATTACACTGAATTGTCTGTGATCCTCTGGCGGTTGACTCGACATGGCTGTTCTGTATACAAAATTGGAACCTTTCGTGCACTGCACATCACACATTTTGGAATAGTTATTGTGAGGATGACATCGAGATTTGCCCAATGTGGGTTTACAAGACAAATATGCACGTTTCTGAATTCTAATGGTCCGATAGGTGTAAGTGATTATGGCCCTAGAACATGGAGAATAAGCCAGCTTGTTCAATCGGGCCAACATTTTGCTGATCGGTTCATGCACATGCGTAAATACCACCCGTACTGGTCGCCGACCGACCGTCACCAGTTACAAGAGACCAGTTACAATCAATGTCATTCAACGTTATTTAAATGCTCAAAATGATAGAAACGTTGGTTCAATCGATACAAACATTTCTCCCACCGAGATGAAAGGAAATGGCAGGTGCATTCGGTTAGCGATATTTAGTACTGATTCGATTGCGAATCATACTTTTTTAACGCCGCATATATCAAATAGAGAAACAATAGCGTTGTAGCGCTATTTTTGCGACAAACATGATAAAAAGCAAATAGAAACACAGGTGACCGTGTTGCTATGTAATAGGAGGGTTAAAGCACTTCAAGTGTAATGTACATACATAGAGAAAATGTACATACATAGAGAATAATACATGCCTTTTTCCATATCACACCCAGTATCAACCCGAGACTGCAATATCAGCCCAAGGGCCGAAGGCCCGAGGGCTGATATTGGTCGAGGGTTGATACTGGGTGTGATATGGAAAAAAGGCGTGTTTTATTCTGTTTATTACATACTTACTAAATAAAAACTACTATCATATGATTTATTTTTTATTTTTGAAATATTGAAAAACGATTTTTTTCCCAAAAGGGGTGTGATATGGGTTTTGCGGGCTGATACGGGTTTTGGGGTGTGATACGGCGGGGGCTGATACGGGTTTTGGGGTGTGATACGGCGAGGGCTGATATGGTTGGAGCAATGGTGTCATATCGCATATACAAAAAACCCGTATTTATTAGTAAGTATGTAATAAATGCTTATATAGCAAAAGAGTAAAAATTGACATAATATATACGCTAATATATTGCAAATTAAAATAAGACGACAAGGCCTAGTAAGTAAAAACATATTGAGCTAAGATGATGATTAGAAGAGAGATAGAAAGATTTATTGATCTGCTCAGAGACATATAAATCCAGTATATACGTCTCTGATCTGCTTGAATTGCAAATTAGTCAAATATGTCTCAAGAAATTATGGAGGACAAGACGGATATCTTAAATTTCAGCTCAGCATTTTTTGAGTCATAACAATCTTTTGCACTTAATCATTGACGTTTGTTTTCTATAAGATGGAAGTATTTCAGATATAGGTAACGTTATATGAATGGTATTTTTTTAAAGGGGAATTTCTGTTCATTCTAGTTCATGTCAATATTCAATATAACGCCAGCTCCTGAATTGATATTAATTTAACAGTGATATTTTATAAGGTTAATATTAGCAGAGACGTATGTATGTAATATACACGACTCTGATATTACAGACAATGGCCACATTACTCAGTGAAGATTGAAGGGCTTATTAAAAACAAAAATATATATTTATATAATTATGATTATAATAGAAAGTTTAAAAAGACAAGTACAGTCAAAACGTGAAAACAAGCTCTGTGTTTATTGGTTTTAAAAGATATTGCAAGTACATTTTTTTTCTCTAAAATAATTTGGTGAGGTCACAGAATTAGATTTATTATCCAAGTTCGTAGTAAGGTGGAAAAGAAATTGACACAACATTTTTTCTTTTCATTTTTATATAACAAAACTCTCAAGTCTAAATCTCGCAAGTACTTGCGCCCATTTTGGGTCTCTCTCTCTCTCTCTCTCTCTCTCTCTCTCTCTCTCTCTCTCTCTCTCTCAATACCATAACATTTTAGTCTAATGAAGCAAAATGGTATTCATTAAATGGAAAGACTCCGAATCACAGACTTACATATCTAATCTAATTCCGTGCTCAATTGCAAGACATGTACCACGTGGTGTCACACAGGGGGATGTTTTGGAACCATTATAATTACTAATATTTGTCAAAGATATCCCGGAAACGATAAATCTAAAATAACAAAGAGAAGTAAGGAAACATGTGTACTTGTATAACATACTATTGTTGCTGCTAGCATTAGAATTAAGCTTAAAATTTACAGGGCCTGACGGAATCAGTCATCGTATGTTAAAACTTGAAAAAAATGAAATTGCCATTCCCCATTCCCTCATTTTTAATCACTCCTTATTCAATGGTATATATCCCATTAAATGGAAATTAGCAAACGTCATGCCGATCTTTAGGTCTGGCGACATTCATAATGTTTCGAATTATAGACCAATATCATTATTGAGCTGTGTTGGAAAACAATTTGAACGTGTAGTCTATACACATATTTACAACTTTTTTAACTATAATAATCTTATTTACAAATTTCAGTCTGGATTCTTACCCAATCATTATTGTACGCATCAACTCCTTGAAATGTATCATTCTATGATGTTAGCATTAGAAAACCATGAACATATAGCTTTTGCTTTTTGTGATTTTTCAAAGGCCTTCGATCGAGTTTGGCACAGAGGGCTTATATACAAACTTCATCAACATGGTATTTCAGGCAGTCTTCTTAATTGGATAACAAACAATCTTTTTGAGCGTAAGCAATCCGTCTTTATTCATGATTCACATTCTTCTGTAAGAAATATAAACGCCGGTGTTCCCCAAGGTTCAGTGTTAGGCCCTTTATTCTTCTTGATTTATATTAACGACATTTCAACCGAATTCTCCTCATTATCTCGTCTTTTTGCTGACGATACATCGCTTTCATACTCATCACCAAACCTGGAAAATATTGTAAGTGAAGTAAATAAAGACCTAAAAACTAAAAAATGGCTTAAAAATTGGCTGATGTCCTTCAATCCTAAAAAACCCGAAATTATGATTGTTTCTAATATAAATCTACCCTTTCAACCCCAATTTATTTTTAACACCACAATCACCTTGGAGTTATACTAAATAGCGACGGCAAATGAAATAAACATGCAGACGAACTTATAAAAAAAATGGCAAAATATATAGCAACCCTTCGTAAAATGAAATTGATACTCAGTAGAAATAACCTTGACAAACTATATTTAACGTACATTCGACCCTTATTAGAGTATGCATGTGAAGTCTAGGACAATTGTGGAATAGTAAATTCATCAAAACTTGAAAATATTCAGATAGACGCTGCACGAATTGCTACAGAACTACCCATATTCACAAAAATTTAACATATATTTAATGAAATTGACTGGGTTCCACTAATTAATAGAAGGAAAAACAGAAAATTATCCCTATTCTTTACAATTAAAAACGGTACATCTCCAAATTATTGGTGTGACACCATACCAGATAGCATTGGGGATATTTCCCGTTATAACCTAAGAAATTCCCAACATTTAAGACGACCAAACTTTAGGCTTGAAACCATGCACAATTCTTTTTTCCCATCAACTACAAAAATGTGGAACGACCTAGATATATCTATAAGGTATAAGGCTTCTCTCAGTTCATTTAAAACAAATATAAGTCAAAAGGTAAAATACATAATGAATGCTTTCTGGTATGGAGTTCCCGTAAACTAAATATACTTCATTGCCGTTTGAGAAACCGTGCGAGCTCTCTTAACTATGACCTATTTAGAGCAAATTTATCTTATACAGCTGAATGTGCATGCGGTAATCCATGTGAAGACTCATATCACTTCCTCTGTGTCTGTTCCATATACACCCAGCATCGAAATCTATTAATAAGAGAATTACAACCTTTTCGTGATGATTTAACTTTAGACTTGCTCCTATATGGCGATCCTAAATTCAGCAATGATGAAAATACCTCAATTGCAAAATCTGTCCAAAATTATATCAGGAAATGCAACCGGTTTGGCTGAGTGTGATCATCTTTCTCTCTCTATCACTCTTTTTTCTCCGACTTTACCTGCATTACTATCCTTTACTTCGTTTCTCTGTCCGTCTTTTCTTCCTCTCTATTTTCTATTTCCATGTAAAAACATAATTTATATAAAATACGTAAATTACCTTATCAAGTTATTGTTTATATTTATGTATTTGAAGAAAAGGACTGTGATAAGTTGTGAAAACTTGTGTCCAATTCTTTTGTAAATATTTATTTGCAATAAAATATGTTTAAATCAAAATCATTTAAAATTATTTAATGCAATTCAGTACATTTCTAGGTAAATACAGTATCGGGTTTTTATCCTGTATTCCAGGCTTCATTTTAGCGATTTTTTTTTAACAGTATTGATAAAAATGCTTCACGACAAAAAATTGTCATAAATTTTCTCTCATTATAATTTCAGAATTTTTGTGAAGCGGCCGCTCTCGAAATGTGACGAATCTCGAAATTACTCTATTTGACTGTTACATTTTGGGACGGCAAAGAACTAAAATTGCGCACCTGAACATGACCCATCTTTCCTTGAAATGCGCTCGTCTGAAAGATATGAAAATATAACGAATTAGAAACTGATTGACTTTTGCTATTAATTAAAAGAAATGTAGAAATGCAAGAAACGCAATGGAAAGAAACGCTCGTGGCCTTTAATTACTCAATCAGTTTGGCTACTCAGCTCATTTGATACGCCCGTTATATTTTCCTCTCAATATTTCGATTAATTCTGGACAAATTATCTTCAAATTTTATGAAAAGACGAAAAACTTTATATACGATTGACTTTATATGATAAAAAATGTTACTATCGTGTCGTTCCTGTGTAGCGGACCTTGACTGGGTCGATCTTCGGCGACCAAATAGCTCGGTTGGTAGAGCGTCCGTCTAGAGTTCGGATGGTCCCGGGTTCGAACCCCGGTCTGGACGTGCATTTTCCCTCTCCTATTACATTTGGCGCCCAACGAAATATTGTATCGTATTGGGGCTGATATTTTTACCGAAGGTTAATCTAAACCCCTAACACATGTAAAAGACAGTTTAGGCCCAAATAAAGATCTAATTCTCAGGTCCCCGTGGCTGTAACTAATTCTCAGGTCCCCGGGGCTGTAATTAATTCTCAGGTCCCCGCGGCTGTAACTAATTATCAGGTCCCCGTGGCTGTAACTAACTCTCAGGTCCCCGTTACAGCCAGGGCCCCGCGGCTGTAACTAATTCTCAGGTCCCCCTTACAGCCAGGTCCCCGTGGCTGTCACTAATTCTCAGGTCCCCGTGGCTTTAACTAATTCTCAGGTCCCCGTGGCTTTAACTAATTCTCAGGTCCCCGTTACCGCCAGGTCCCCGTGGCTGTAACTAATTCTCATCTCCCCGTGGCTGTTACTAATTATCAGGTCCCCGTGGCTGTAACTAATCCTCAGGTCCCCGTGGCTGTTACTAATTCTCAGGACCCCGTGGCTGTAACTAATTCTCAGGTCCCCGTGGCTGTAACTAATTATCATGTCCCCGTGGCTGTTACTAATTCTCAGGTCCCCGTGGCTGTAACTAATTCTCAGGTCCCCGTTACAGCCAGGTCCCCGTGGCTGTAACTAATTCTCAGGTCCCCGTGGCTGTAATTAATTCTCAGGTCCCCGTGGCTGTAACTAATTATCAGGTCCCCGTGGCTGTAACTAATTCTCAGGTCCCCGTGGCTGTAACTATAATGCTCAGGTCTTCTACTTCTAAATGGTACTGACCCTAATGTTCAGGTCCCTCTGATTTGGAGTAATTTAAGATCTTATTGAACGTAAAATTACTTTAAATTAATTATTTGGACACAATTCTTTGCTATGGTAAACACTGTTTCTATTTAGGCCTATGATATTTTGATAATCATTGGAAATGTATCAAGTTCGAGGCTATACATGTGATGCTAACTGTGCAAACCATTTCTGTGTTAAACCACGGACTTATATAACATCTATTTACCTAAATCTACCTTAACGCTCAACTCAGTATAAGAGAAAGTATACCTCACCTGTCCTTATTTTAACTAGGCACAAGATATTTAAGTAAAATAACACATTATTTAAAATATTTTCTTTCATAAAGAACTGTTCATTTCGCGTTAGCCACACAATGCCAACACAATATGTAAACCAATCAGTTCGTGTCAACCATGCAATGGTAAGCCATTCAATACGATTATGGTTGCGCAGCCTCCAACAGATGTTGCTTCCGTGATGCATTGATTTGCTGGCGATTCCACATCACATGGCAGAGATGAAGAATTGTGCGGACAACCCGGAGCCTGTGGAGGATATCCATGGAGACGGGCGTTGGATGAGTCAGGTGCTCTCTCGTGTGTTATTTTTTTGCCAGTTATTTATGTAGGTACGGGGCGCCTAACGTGCTTACAACAGATATCGGGGTGTTTTACATAGTCCGAAAATGTCTGCCCTACCATCAGAATAGCTTGAACAATCGTAATATGCTCTCTCCCCCAGACAAATGAAACATAATTTAACGGTTCGCGTTCTTCGACACGACCTAGCTGCGATAACGTAACTTCTGTCGACAAGCCAATGTTTATAATCCGGCCGGGGCAGGCCGGGCAGAGGAGGCCGGGTATTAACTATAGCAATCAAGTTCAAGTTCTTTATTACTTCAAGTCGGTTGACTTATCAGTCATAACATATATACAAAACAATACAGAGACAACATACAATATGATACACACACACATACACACACACACACACACACACACACATAACAATTCAACTTTTATTCCTTAAGTTTGACAACTTATTGGATAACTATACTTTACAATAAATTACAAATTACGTATATGTATTGTGCAATCAACACTCATTATCACTCCCACATCATTATTGTGCATTCAACAATCATTAACGCTCTCACATCATCATCATCATCATCATCATCATCATCATCATCATCATCTGCATCATTAACATCTGACATTAACAACAACAACATGTAATCCGTAACGATACAAATGTCAATAATACATAAATAGACATTTATATAAATTATATTGATGTGCATGTTTACGTCACTCGTGCCTTATTTGCCTCAAAAATGTATCTAGCAAGTTTACGAATAACGCTGATATTATCAGCACTTAGTAACTGTACAAGTTTAAACATTGAAGGATTTCGCCAGTAATATGGTTTTATGTATTTTACTCTCAGAATATGAAAATTGTTACATATTAAAATAAAATGATATTCGTCTTCAATATCTGAAATGCAGCTCATACAGTGTCTTTGTTCTCTCGTTATGTTATTGTATCTACCAGTCTCAATAGCTAAATTATGTGCAGAAAGACGAAGTTTAGATAAACAGATCCGGTATTTCATTGGAATATACTTTGTCAAATAGTATTGAAGAGTATGGTGATTTGCTAAGTGCTTATATAAAATACATTTAGGTGAGGTTTCTAATAGCCCTCTCAGATATTGTTGACTTTGATCAAATATTCTTTGCTTTATCATGTACAAAATACTTTTATGGTTATATGAATAATAATTTGTCCATACATCTGCGAATCCGAGAGAAAAAAGACAATGTTTGACATACTTAACCCAGTTAAAGCAATTGCCTGTATTGCTACTACTTAAAAAGGAATACGCAGTTTGCAAAATACAATTTTTCGAATCCATTAGTTTTAACCAATATTTTATCATTCTGAATTTTCTTATATTTTCCAAAGGATGTCGACCTAATTCAAAATAAACCATTGCGTTGCAAGTCGACTTCTTAACTTTTAAAATCTTCTTACAAAAGTGTAGGTGTAACCTCTCAATATCCGTACCTTTTGTAGATCCCCATACTTCACATGCGTAATGCAATATACTACAAACATACGTATCAAATAAATGCAATAACGTTGTACAGTTTAGGCTCAAGTTAGAAGAGCTTGAAAAAAGAGCATACATGGCCTTTCTTCCTTGGTCAGATAACTGTTTCTGTATATGATTAAATTTATTATTGAATTTCAGTTTTACTCCTAGGTAGCTGAAAACATCTACAACTTCCACCTCCAAACCATTATACATCCATCTTTCTCTATCTCGTATACTACCACCGTTTCTAAATACAACTACTTTGGTTTTCTCAGTGTTAACTGTTAATTTCCATTTAGTAGAATACACATTCAGATTATCTAAAAGACTCTGTAAACCTTCAATAGTTTCGGAAAACAATACTAAGTCATCTGCATACATTAACAAAAACAAACTTAATTCACCAAAGTCATAGTCCGTTGCACCATTTTCAATAAATGAGGTTTCAAAATCATTAACAAAAACTGAGAACAATAAAGGCGATAATATTTCCCCTTGCATTAATCCAACACTGCACTCAAAATAATTAGAACATTTACCGTTAGTTGATACACAAGATTTAACTGATTTGTAAAATGATTTAATGACGGATAACATTTTCCCACGAATACCAAGCTTAGTCAGCTTACGCCATAAGCTTAATCTATCAACAAAATCAAACGCTTTGCGAAAGTCCACAAAGCAACAGTACAAACGTTTCTTTGAAGATAAAGTTTTCGTTATAATAGAATGTAATGCGAAAATTGCATCAATCGTACTAAGTTCTGGACGAAATCCGAATTGCGCATCAGTAATAAGGTCATATTTTGTACACACATCTAAAATACGTTTATTTAGTACAGAGGTAAAAAGTTTACAAAGACAACTAATTAAACTGATACCTCTAAAGTTATTAGGGTCATTTAAAACACCTTTCTTATGGACAGGAATAATTATGGCTGACGACCAATTAGAAGGAAAATAACCAGATTCTAGTATAGAATTAAACAACGTAGATAAAGTTGGAAGAAGTAATTCCACGCCAGCTTTTAAACATTCATTTAACAAACCATCAGGTCCATGTGATTTACCACATTTCAATTTCCGAATAGCATTTTTTACTTCTTGTAACGAAATAGGAGCATCTAATTCCTCAAAAACAGTGTCATAATCAGTAAGAATAAAATCGTCATGATGGACTGGATCATTATTTTGTTGTACAGAAGACAGGTTTTTGAAATGATTGAACAGTTGATTACCATTACACATTGGTGTTTTAGCTTTCTTCTTACCAAATTTCTTATAAAAAGACCCGGGGTTATGTTTTCTCATATACTCCAACATATCACCTTCTGCGCTCAAATATTGCCTCTTAAACTTACTTTCCAGGATTTTGTACTCTTTTTTCTTACGGATAAGAAGAGTGTGTGTCCAGTAACATTTGTTAATGTTGAAATTCTTTAAAGCAACTAAATATTGTTTACGTAGAGCTCTAACACGATCATTAAACCAGGGCTTATCTTCGGAACTAGAAAAGGTGTGGGTGTCAACTTTAACAGGGGGCTTATCAGTGTTATTTTTGGGCGGTTTTCTTAGAAAAAATGGTTTCATAGTCCCTAGTAAAACATCAGTAAAATTACTTACACAGGTATCAATAGAATATTGATTTAATTCATCATTGATTAAAACTGATTTCTTTATTAAGTCTAAATTAACTCTTACAGATTCGATAAATTGATGTTGGTACTCCTCCTTCCATTTATACACAGGTCTATCATTAGAATTGTCATCATCATACTCATCATCATCATCATCATCATCATCATCATCATCATCATCATCATCATCCTCATCACCACCTCCTAAATTACAGTGTATTTCAATGTGCAATGGAGCATGGTCGGAAAATTCAACAAATTCGCAAACCATGAATTTTTTAACAACAGAAAACATACTAAATGGCATTAATACATAATCAATAACACTCATTCCATTTGCACCACAGAAAGTAAAATCACTAGATAGATTGGCTAGGTCTCTACCATTTAAAATTCTTAGACCCGAGGATTTACATAGGTTTAATAATCTTGTACCAAATTCGTTGACTCCTGGATCAGGGTTTGTTCTGATCGGCAGAAGCCTTTCTTCATCAGTGTCACTTAAGTAGTTAAAAATGGATTCAATATGAGACTGTATACCGCCATATAAATTGTCGAATGAAATAAAATCATCTGTATTACGGGTACGACTGTTTAAATCACCTATAACCATTACATTTCTGGATTCAGAATATTCACTTATAACGTTTTCTAGAATTGAAAAAATATCACAATCATATTGTTCATAAAAACGAGATGAACTAGGTGGAATATATGTAAATAACAGTATTAGGTTGTCAGTACAACTGGTCAAATCCTGGTCAAGAGTAACCGGTATAATTGTATCAAACAAAACATTACCTACATTTACAAATTTAAAAATAGTATTACGTATTAGTAACACCAATCCACCACCTTGTGTACAGCGTGTTAATTTCCTTGGTACAACAACTGCGTGAAAGTCCTCAAGGTCTACCTCAAAGTCTTTTGGAATCCAGCACTCGGATAAAAAAATAATATCATAGTTAAGTATAACATTGCGGAATTCAGTAACTTTAAGTTTTTTTTCTATTCCACCATTTACGTTCCAGGAAATAATTCTGATATCGGTATCAGACACATGTTTCGCCCGGTCACACTTGGTACTGTCGTTGATTGTTGCCCCCCGACACCCCTATGTAGGCGAGTGCGTAGGCGTAGCTGTGAATCGACGTTGACGCTTGGAATGGCGTTGACCAGAAGTCGGCGTCCGGTCCAAAGCATCACGGTAGGACTGCTGGGTAGCTTCTCTCTGTGTGGATCGAGATGTAGCTACTGTCTCTGTAACGCCCTCCGAGGAGGCGTCATGGTAGAGCTTACCATTAACGTAGAGCCGATCACGTACCAACTTAACCCTACAGCCTTCACTTCTGTAGTGCTTAAGCACAGGGTACAACTTGCGACGTCTGTCCTCGATTTCCGCTGGAAATTGTTCGTTGATCCAAAATCCAGAACCCTTCAGTTTCGAAGAACTGTCTCGAACAAGTTCTAGGTCCTTGTGGTGAATAAATCTAGCCACTATGGGTCGATGCTTGCCGTTCACAAACTTGCCAAAACGATGTACATTCCCAAAATCTATGTGTGAGTCAATCCCGAGCTCGTAATAAAGGAAATCACGCAGTTTGGCCTCAGTGTCCTCCCCTGGATTTTCCCCTTGTAGTCCATGGAATATGAGGTTGTTCTTCATGGACCTGTATTGCAGGTCTATGACAAGATCCTTCAGCTTAGTTCTCTCGGAACGGAGCTCTGTTAATTCTTCTATGACTTTTGTGGTGTCAACTACATTCTTGTCATCAGCAGCTTTGAGATTGGCCAGAGTAATGTTGTTTCGATCCAGACAAGACTTCACATCGTCATACATATCACTCAGGGCCTGGGCACCCTTTTCCATTTCATTGGACTGCCTGATAACATTGGACACAGAATTGCGAATTTCCCTGTACTTAACGTCAATATTCTTCACCTCATGATCTAACTGATGGACTTTAGAGGTCAACGAGGTCACATCCTTCTGGACTTGATCAATCTTTATGACTTGGTTTTCAATGTGGGTAAGACGTGTATCTAGTCTATTAAAAAGTTCAGTCATGTGCTTCATAACAGCCGTGGAATCCTCTGAAACACCTTCATATATTACTTTATGTGCCTCACTAACAATGCTAGATGTAGATTGATGCTTGGTGGGGACAGTTTTTTTGGGGGCCATGGTGTAGAACAGAGCGGACCGCTGTCACCTACTGTAGACACCCGACACATAAACACAAAGTCGTACACGGAGCTAAAAATAGCACCGACACAAGCGGGCACGTGCACATCTCCAGGTAAGGTAACATTGGTCAATAGAGCGTGACGAAAGTTTGGCTATGGTCACTCGGTGCTGTCCTACTCACTACCCAGGTAGATATGGGGTATATATATAATATACGTATTACTGGCGAATAAGGCAGACGAGGGTAAAATCGCTCAAAATGCAATCAGAACAACGCAAATGCCACAAAATGAGAATACTAGGGCCACATGGTCATCTTGCAATGTAAATACCTTACTTGTATATGTGCACCAATCCAGAGAATAATGTTATCACTCAAAATCCGTCGGAGACATAATCAACACGACCGCCATGCACACCGGAAGCAATTATAATTCTAAAGACACGACCCTCTTTCGACCAATGCCCGAGGACTTGAACTATGTAATTCTTGGATGGACCGCAGGGTGTTGTTGTCACTTGCTGGAAGATAAGTGTTATATTTACTGTGAAGATGTCCTTCACATGCATATGTACTTATCTCCCAACCAGTGTCAGCAAACCTTGACCTGTGCACAGACCAAGTAGATCTTCTAATTTAGCAAAGGATGCAAATTATACTTGCGACAGAGAAAAAGAAAATACAACCGCCAGACCGGAATTCCAGTCTGGATTCCCAAAACCTTGATGCAAATTCTAACCAGCTTTAATTTACAACTAGCCAGAGTTTCCTCTGGCCCTGACACCAGACTTGGATATTTTGACAGCAGATCGATGTCTGGTGTGGGGCCATAGTGCACAACTATTATCTATATGAAAATGTGGAATTCTCTGACACCATTTGGAATGGGGGAGTTTTGATGTGGTGACAACAAAAATCTACTATGACACAATACATACATAACTGTACCTCAAATATTTCGATAGATGGATTATTTATTGATCTGAAGCCAGTCTTATCATCACCATCAGCTGCTAAATTCCATCAGTAGAGTCCTCGGATTTCAATCTTTCAAAATTTCCCACCTGAGCTAACGCCATTTTGCAGGTCATTGGAGTGACTGATGAACAAACCGTACTGATCCAGACCGAAAAGGGAATGTATTATACTTGTATAGATGATTTCTGGGCCACGTCATTTTGTTGATTAGTACGTCACTTCCCGATACCAAACGGTATCGGAGAATTCCACGTTTTCATATAGTAGTGCACTCTGGCCCCACCAGACATCTATCTGTCAAAATGTCTTAAGTCTGGTGTCAGGACCAGAGGAAACTAATTAACAACCTAACCATTGTTGATTACCCCATCCAAGTTTGACTACATTCGTCCTATATTCGACAAAGTTGAAGACCTAGTACAAGGCCCTATACCGGCCACCTTCTGTGGGTGTAGTATTTTTTTTAGTTGGAGGTTGTATCTATCTGGAAAGAAAAAATGCAATAGCACCTTTGGAATGCAAGCTCTCTGAACTCTAACTGGACCCTCTAACCCACTGAACTACCCACTCAGTTCCAGTCACTTGTACAGATATATTCAGTTATTCAGTAATTTTTGTTATTATAGAATTACTACTAACTTCAGAATAATTTAATGAAAAAAATGTGAAAAATCCATTAAATTTAATGAGTGAAAAAGTATGGAATGAGGAGCTAGGTTTGGCCCTTTACCCCCGCTTTGATTTGGTAACAGGAATTTTTGAAAAGTGTTACAACTGTTCATTTAATAATGAAAAAGGAATTAACCCGTCAACATTTAGCACAACATTATATGTTTATTGGTGGTGTTGTCACTGTTTCAGCATCTCCGGTTTATTGCGGAAGGAAAAGAGAGAGAACCAGATGTCCTCTTTATTGGTGATTCAATTATCCAGCAGATGAGGTTTTCCAAGGTAAGGCAATGTGACGGCTCAGCAAACTGCTAGAAGATTGTTTCATAGACTAGCTGACTTTTCCAGAAGCAACTTTTGCTGTAGTTTGTGGAATTCTGGCTCCCATTACAAGTGTACAGTGTTTAACCCTTTCACCCCTATGTGACTTTAGTAGGCTCTACCATGCATTGATATGGATGAGTCCAGGATTGTCTAGAGTGGTGAAAGGGTTAACAGATGTTGAAGTTAAAATGATGGAAAGATTTTCGGAGGCCTAATGATCACATGAATCATACTTTAATTCATAAACAATGTAGCTTACATTTAGATAAAGCATGATTGTATACTGCATATAGAGGATCTGTCATAAGTTTCAAGCCTCTGGCGAACAAATATGAAAAAATCCAAAACAAGTATCATAAATCTAATATAAAGGAAAATGAATGACAGATTCTTTTTATCATATAATACAAATTTAACTGTATAATTGTGATCTGAAATGAATATTTTACACTTGGCCGCCTCTGAAACATTGCTTCACAATGACGTGACGTCACATCGATTGGTCCTATTTGATTGTGACATCATTTCAGAAGTGATATTACATACGTTACATAAACATAATTTATGTGATAGCTTTATGGCACTGCATAACACGCTATTCATATGATAAACGTTTTTATGACTGTAGACTATCAGTCTACCATTAAACGTTTTATGGCTGTAGACTATCAGTCTACCATTTAACGTTTTTATGGCTGTAGACTATCAGTCTACCATTAAATGTTTTTATGGCTGGGGACTATCAGTCTACCATTAAAACTTTTTATGGCTGTAGACTATCAGTCTACCATTTAACGTTTTTATGGCTGTAGACTCTCAGTCTACCATTAAATGTTTTTATGGCTGTAGACTATCAGTCTACCATTTAACGTTTTTATGGCTGTAGACTATCAGTCTACCATTAAACGTTTTTATGGCTGTAGACTATCAGTCTACCATTAAAGGTTTTTATGGCTGTAGACTATCAGTCTACCATTAAACATTTTTATGGCTGTAGACTATCAGTCTACCATTAAACGTTTTTATGGCTGTAGACTATCAGTCTACCATTAAACGTTTTTATGGCTTTAGACTGATAGTCTGCCATTAAATGTTTTTATGGCTCTGGACTATCAGTCTACCATTAAATGTTTTTATGGCTGGAGACTATCAGTCTACCATCAAACCTTTTTATGGCTGTAGACTATCAGTCTACCATTAAACGTTTTTATGGCTGTAGACTATCAGTCTACCATTTAACGTTTTTATGGCTGTAGACTATCAGTCTACCATTAAACGTTCCATTTAACGTTTTTATGGCTGTAGACTATCATTCTACCATTAAACGTTTTTATGGCTGTTGACTATCAGTCTACCATTAAATGTTTCATGGCTGTAGACTATCAGTGTACCATTAAACGTTTTTATGGCTGTAGACTATCATTCTACCATTAAACGTTTTTATGGCTGTTGACTATCAGTCTACCATTAAATGTTTCATGGCTGTAGACTATCAGTCTACCATTAAACGTTCCATTAAACGTTTTTATGACTGTAGACTATCAGTAACATTGAAGTGTTATGTTGTTTCTTTATAGCTCACTTAGCACTGCATCTATTTGTTGTCATCCCCTTTTCTTTAAAATGACTTCTTCTACAGAAGGAAAAAGTCCAGAGTCATGGTATATAGCCTGTAGCTCGCTGTAGTAGACAGCTTTTAATGGTATTCAAAATAAAGGATGTTGACCTGCTACCAAGTCAACACATCAGATATGTGATACACACTTGAACTATGATGACTAAAACTAACATATTTTATTCAGATAGATAACACAAGAGTTAATTCTGTTACCAAAAACCATACAAGATTTTCCCTATTTCCCTTTTTACAGTGCTAACTTTTCCCCACTTCCACGGATACAGTATGCTTTCAGGATGACTCCCAGGTCTGGCCCAACTCTCAGGGACTAACTCACTCGGTCATTCCTTGGAAACAGTCGAGATACCCATCCCTAAACCATATAAACAAATGCAGGGTATCAACACAATCATGAAATTAGAATTGACTCGGGGGTTTGACTCCACCCCTAGGTACTTATTCCTGGACTATAACTTTGAAACGGTTGAGATCCCTAACCAATATCCATATATACCATCACTGGGCATACAGATCCAGGTGAGCGATACAGGCCCTCTGGGACTCCTATATTTAAAAAACTTCTTCTCAATAACCAGTACGTCTAAGGTGATGATATTTGGCATAAAGCTTACTGAGATAAAGCTTACTGAGATAAAGCTTACTGCGATAAAGCTTACTGAGATAAAGCTTACTGAGATGAAGCTTACTGAGATAAAGCTTACTGAGATACAGCTTACTGAGATAAAGCTTACTGAGATAAAGCTTACTGAGATAAAGCTTACTGAGATGAAGGGCTAAAATATTTTAACAACTACATATGTGCTTCTGAACAATCAAAAGGCCCATGGCAATGATATCTGGCAAGTAGCATATTGGGTTGAAGGGCTACCAAATTTGTTCAAATGAATGACCTTGACACACTTTCAACGTCACTGGGGTCAAATGATCGAAAAGTATTCAAGCAATTTCTTCTGAACAACCAAAATTCCTAGGATAATGATATTTGGCCAGTAGCCTGCAGGGGTGAAGGGCTACCAATTTGTTCAAATGAAAAGGATCGCGATATTATACCCAAAAGCCCAGGACGGTGATACTATATATCCAAAAGCCCAGGACGGTGATACTATATATCCAAAAGCCCTGGATGGTGATATTATACCCAAAAGCCCAGGATCACGATATTATACCCAAAAGCCCAGGATGGTGATATTATACCCAAAAGCCCAGGATGGTGATATTTGGACTGTTGCTTAATTATTCCATTTTCATTTTGAATTGTTTGCCCAATATCTTTTTTGAAGATCACTGGTATGAGACTAATACCAGGTGAGTGATTTAGGTTCATTAGGCCTCTTGTTATCACAACACTATATATATTACATTCACTGGTATGAGACTAATACCAGGTGAACGATTTAGGTTCATTAGGCCTCTTGTTATCACGACACTATATATATTACATGGGTACATTGTGTGCACTTTTGTGATCCTATTGCTTATGGTTGTTTCACTGCAGGTTTGGAAGATGTTGCTGGAACCCCTCCACTGCCTTAACTTCGGTATTGGTGGAGACCAGACACAAAACGTCCTCTGGCGGGTGTCAAACCAGGAACTGGACAATGTTTCACCAGATGTAGGTCACAAAGTTAGATAACTCTTCCTTGACTTTATACTCCAATGTTTCACCAGATGTAGGTCACAAAGTTAGATAACTCCTCCTTGTCTTTATACTCCAATGTTTCAACAGATGTAGGTCACAAAGTTAGATAACTCTTCCTTGTCTTTATACCTCGATGTTTCACCAGATGTAGGTCACAAAGTTAGATAATTCTTCCTTGGCTTTATACTCCAATGTTTCACCAGATGTAGGTCACTTTTCCTTGTGTTCCAAAGTTAGATAACACTTCCTTGTCTTTATACTCTAATGTTTCACCAGATGTAGGTCACAAAGTTAGATAACTATTCCTTGTCTTTATACTCTAATGTTTCACCAGATGTAGGTCACAAAGTTAGATAACTCTTCCTTGTCTTTATACTCCAATGTTTCACCAGATGTAGGTCACTTTTCCTTGTGTTCCAAAGTTAGATAACTCTTCCTTGTCTTTATACTCTAATGTTTCACCAGATGTAGGTCACAAAGTTAGATAACTCTTCCTTGTCTTTATACTCCAATGTTTCACCAGATGTAGGTCACAAAGTTAGATAACTCTTCCTTGTCTTTATACTCCAATGTTTCACCAGATGTAGGTCACAAAGTTAGATAACTCTTCCTTGTCTTTATACTCCAATGTTTCACCAGATGTAGGTCACAAAGTTAGATAACTCTTCCTTGTCTTTATACTCCAATGTTTCACCAGATGTAGGTCACAAAGTTAGATAACTCTTCCTTGTCTTTATACTCCAATGTTTCACCAGATGTAGGTCACAAAGTTAGATAACTCTTCCTTGTCTTTATACTCCAATGTTTCACCAGATGTAGGTCACAAAGTTAGATAACTCTTCCTTGTCTTTATACTCCAATGTTTCACCAGATGTAGGTCACAAAGTTAGATAACTCTTCCTTGTCTTTATACTCCAATGTTTCACCAGATGTAGGTCACAAAGTTAGATAACTCTTCCTTGTCTTTATACTCCAATGTTTCACCAGATGTAGGTCACAAAGTTAGATAACTCTTCCTTGTCTTTATACTCCAATGTTTCACCAGATGTAGGTCACAAAGTTAGATAACTCTTCCTTGTCTTTATACTCCAATGTTTCACCAGATGTAGGTCACAAAGTTAGATAACTCTTCCTTGTCTTTATACTCCAATGTTTCACCAGATGTAGGTCACAAAGTTAGATAACTCTTCCTTGTCTTTATACTCCAATGTTTCACCAGATGTAGGTCACAAAGTTAGATAACTCTTCCTTGTCTTTATACTCCAATGTTTCACCAGATGTAGGTCACAAAGTTAGATAACTCTTCCTTGTCTTTATACTCCAATGTTTCACCAGATGTAGGTCACAAAGTTAGATAACTCTTCCTTGTCTTTATACTCCAATGTTTCACCAGATGTAGGTCACAAAGTTAGATAACTCTTCCTTGTCTTTATACTCCAATGTTTCACCAGATGTAGGTCACAAAGTTAGATAACTCTTCCTTGTCTTTATACTCCAATGTTTCACCAGATGTAGGTCACAAAGTTAGATAACTCTTCCTTGTCTTTATACTCCAATGTTTCACCAGATGTAGGTCACAAAGTTAGATAACTCTTCCTTGTCTTTATACTCCAATGTTTCACCAGATGTAGGTCACAAAGTTAGATAACTCTTCCTTGTCTTTATACTCCAATGTTTCACCAGATGTAGGTCACAAAGTTAGATAACTCTTCCTTGTCTTTATACTCCAATGTTTCACCAGATGTAGGTCACAAAGTTAGATAACTCTTCCTTGTCTTTATACTCCAATGTTTCACCAGATGTAGGTCACAAAGTTAGATAACTCTTCCTTGTCTTTATACTCCAATGTTTCACCAGATGTAGGTCACAAAGTTAGATAACTCTTCCTTGTCTTTATACTCCAATGTTTCACCAGATGTAGGTCACAAAGTTAGATAACTCTTCCTTGTCTTTATACTCCAATGTTTCACCAGATGTAGGTCACAAAGTTAGATAACTCTTCCTTGTCTTTATACTCCAATGTTTCACCAGATGTAGGTCACAAAGTTAGATAACTCTTCCTTGTCTTTATACTCCAATGTTTCACCAGATGTAGGTCACAAAGTTAGATAACTCTTCCTTGTCTTTATACTCCAATGTTTCACCAGATGTAGGTCACAAAGTTAGATAACTCTTCCTTGTCTTTATACTCCAATGTTTCACCAGATGTAGGTCACAAAGTTAGATAACTCTTCCTTGTCTTTATACTCCAATGTTTCACCAGATGTAGGTCACAAAGTTAGATAACTCTTCCTTGTCTTTATACTCCAATGTTTCACCAGATGTAGGTCACAAAGTTAGATAACTCTTCCTTGTCTTTATACTCCAATGTTTCACCAGATGTAGGTCACAAAGTTAGATAACTCTTCCTTGTCTTTATACTCCAATGTTTCACCAGATGTAGGTCACAAAGTTAGATAACTCTTCCTTGTCTTTATACTCCAATGTTTCACCAGATGTAGGTCACAAAGTTAGATAACTCTTCCTTGTCTTTATACTCCAATGTTTCACCAGATGTAGGTCACAAAGTTAGATAACTCTTCCTTGTCTTTATACTCCAATGTTTCACCAAATGTAGGTCACAAAGTCAGATAACTCTTCCTTGTCTTTATACTCCAATGTTTCACCAGATGTAGGTCAGAAAGTTAGATAACTCTTCCTTGTCTTTATACTCCAATATTTCACCAGATGTAGGTCACTTTTCCTTGTGTTCCAAAGTTAGATGACTCTCTCTTGACTTTATGCTCCAAAGTTACATAAGCTTTCCTTGTTGGTTTTAACCTGTAACATAAGCTTGATCAAAATTCATGATCATGTAAATAACAATATTATTTTATACAACTCATGTTTATTGTGAATGATTGTATTGCTGTATAATGATAATAATAATATACAACATTTATATAGCGCCCTATATAATTTATAAAATTACTCTAAAGCTTTGTACAACATATGGATAATAGCATAAGTTATAATTGTTTAACAAAAGTCTTACAATCACCATTATACATTAAGCAAGAAGATCATCATGATTTAAAGGATATTCTCAAAATGAGATAAATTTTGTTTGTAAATATGGTGTCGAAGATACAAAGTATGTGCTTAAAAAGAAAGATATAAACTCTTTAGCTTGAAAAGATATATGTTCAGAGAGAGTTAGCTCTTATTTATGAAGGAGACAACCAAAGATTAACCTTATTTTATGTGATACTAATTCTTTACATCTAAGTTCACGATAATGTTCAATCACAGATTCAAGTATCCTACCAACAATTATTTTTACATTACATAAGATATGTATGCTAAATAATGTGCCATTTAATGCCTCCAGAAATAGGTATGGAAATTCTGTGAGGAAATTAGTTTGCTATTAAAAATAAACTAAAGTATTCAATTAAATGATCATCTATATCTCTGGTGGTGATTACATGCATCAAGGGAAGATAACTCCTGTTTTAATGTTACCTAGGTGATAGTCCTCATGGTCGGTACAAACAACCACGGCCACAATGCTGAGCAAATTGTCGACGGAATCATGGCAATCGCGGAAGTCGTTCGAACCAAGCAACCAAAGGCACAACTGATCATCATGGTAATAATGTCTGAAATGGTCATTTATCTCGATTTTAGAAAATATGTTGTATTTGTTTGATTGACATTGAAACTTGGTGTTGAATATTACAGGGTTTCATTTACGTCAGGTGTTGATGATATCTGCTTTCATAACAAAGAGGATTATTAAGACAGTGTGTTGGTTAAAGAAAGATATATTTTCCCCACAAAATCATGTCAGATATTACAAGACTTCCTTACAGACAGGTGTCAGTAAAGTCAGGTGTCAGTAAAGTCAAGTGTTGGCAAAGTCAGGTGTTTAATAAAGTCAGGTGTCCAAAAATGCCAGGTGTCTGTAAAGTCAGGTGTCCAAAAAAGTAGGGTGTCTGTAAAGACACGTGTCAGTAATGTCAGGAGTCTGTAAAGTCAGGTGACCAAAAAAGTAAGGTGGCTGTAAAGACAGGTGTCAGTAAAGTCAAGTGTTGGAAAAGTCAGGTGTTTAATAAAGCCAGGTGTCTGTAAAGTCGGGTGTCTGTAAAGTCAGGAGTCCAAAAATTAAGGCGGTTAATAAAGTCAGGAGTCTGGTGTCCAAAAAAGTCAGGTGGCTGTAAAGTCAGGTGTCCAAAAATGTCAGGTGTCTGTAAAGTCAGGTGTCTGTAAAGACAGGTGTCAGTAATGTCAGGTGTCTGTAAAGTCAGGTGTCCAAAAATTAAGGTGTTTAATAAAGTCAGGTGTCTGGTGTCCAAAAAAGTCAGGTGTCTGTAATGTCAGGTGTCTGTAAAGTCAGGTATCTGTAAAGTCAGGCGTCTGTAAAGTCGGGTGTCTGTAAAGTCAGGTATCTGTAAAGTAAGGTATCTGTAAAGTCAGGTGTCTGTAAAGGCAGGTGTCCAAAAATGTCAGGTGTCTGTAAAGTCAGGTGTCCAAAAAAGTCAGGTATCTGTAAAGTCAGGTGTCTGTAAAGTCAGGTGTCAGTAAAGTCAGGTGTCTGTAAAGTCAGGTATCTGTAATGTCAGGTGTCTGTTATGTCAGGTGTCCAAAAAAGTCAGGTGTCTGTAAAGTCAGGTGTCTGTAATGTCAGGTGTCTGTAAAGTCAGGTGTCTGTAAAGTCGGGTGTCTGTAAAGGCAGGTGTCTGTAATGTCAGGTGTTAAATAAAGTCAGGTGACCAAAAATGTCAGGTATCTGTAAAGTCAGGTGTCCAAAAATGTCAGGTGTCTGTAAAATCAGGTCTCCAAAAATGTCAGGAGTTTATAAAGTCAGGTGTCCAAAAATGTCAGGGGTCTGTAATATCAGGTGTCTGTAAAATTGGGTATCTGTAAAGTCAGGTGTCTGTAAAGTCAGGTGTCTGTAAAGTCAGGTGTCTGTAAAGGCAGGTGTCTGTAAAGTTGGGTGTCTGTAAAGTCAGGTGTCTGTAATGTCAGGTGTCTGTAAAGCCAGGTGTCTGTAAAGGCAGGTGTCTGTAAAGTCGGGTGTCTGTAAAGTCGGGGGTCTGTAATGTCAGGGGTCTGTAATGTCAGGTGTCTGTAAAGTCAGGTGTCTGTAATGTCAGGTGTCTGTAATGTCAGGTGTCTGTAATATCAGGTGTCTGTAAAATTGGGTATCTGTAAAGTCAGGTGTCTGTAAAGTCGGGTGTCTGTAATGTCAGGTGTCTGTAATGTCAGGTGTCTGTAATGTCGGGTGTCTGTAATGTCGGGTATCTGTAAAGTCAGGTATCTGTAAAGTCAGGTATCTGTAATGTCAGGTGTCTGTAATGTCAGGTATCTGTAAAGTCAGGTATCTGTAAAGTCAGGTGTCTGTAATGTCAGGTGTTTAATAAAGTCAGGTGTCTGTAAAGTCGGGTGTCTGTAAAGTCAGGTATCTGTAATGTCAGGTGTCTGTAATGTCAGGTATCTGTAAAGTCAGGTGTCTGTAAAGTCAGGTGTCTGTAAAGTCAGGTATCTGAAGTCAGGTGTCTGTAAAGTCAGGTATCTGTAAAGTAAGGTATCTGTAAAGTCAGGTGTCTGTAAAGTCAGGTATCTGTAAAGGCAGGTGTCTGTAAAGTCAGGTATCTGAAGTCAGGTGTCTGTAAAGTCAGGTGTCTGTAATGTCAGGTGTCTGTAAAGTCAGGTATCTGTAAAGTCAGGTATCTGTAATGTCAGGTGTCTGTAATGTCAGGTATCTGTAAAGTCAAGTGTCTGTAATGTCAGGTGTCTGTAATGTCAGGTGTCCAAAAATGTCAGGTGTCTGTAAAGTCAGGTGTCCAAAAATGTCAGGTGTCTGTAAAGTCAGGTGTCAAAAACATCAAGTGTCTGTAAAGTCATGTGTCCAAAAACGTCATGTGTCTGTAAAGTCAGGTGTCTGTAAAGTCAGGTGTTTAAAGATGTCAGGTATCTGTAAAGTCAGGTATCTGTAAAGTCAAGTATCTGTAAAGTCAGGTATCCAAAAATGTCAGGTGTCTGTAAAGTCAGGTGTTTAAAGATGTCAGGTATCTGTAAAGTCAGGTCTCTGTTATGTCAGGTGTCTGTAATGTCAGGTATCTCTAAAGTCAGGTGTCTGTAATGTCAGGTGTCTGTAAAGTCAGGTGTCCAAAAATGTCAAGTGTCTGTAAAGTCAGGTGTCCAAAAATGTCAGGTGTCTGTAAAGTCGGGTGTCTGTAAAGTCAGGTGTCTGTAAAGTCAGGTGTCTGTAATGTCAGGTGTCTGTAATGTCAGGTGTTTAATAAAGTCAGGTGACCAAAAATGTCAGGTGTCTGTAAAGTCAGGTGTCCAAAAATGTTAGGTGTCTGTAAAGTCAGGTCTCCAAAAATGTCAGGTGTTTATAAAGTCAGGCGTCCAAAAATGTCAGGTGTCTGTAATGTCGGGTGTCCAAAAATGTCAGGTGTCTGTAAAGGCTGGTGTCCAAAAAAGTCAGGTGTCTGTAAAGTCAGGAGTCCAAAAACATCAAGTGTCTGTAAAGGCAGGTGTCCAAAAAGTCAGGTGTCTGTAAAGTCAGGAGTCCAAAAACATCAAGTGTCTGTAAAGGCAGGTGTCCAAAAAAGACAAGTGTCTGTAAAGTCAGGTGTCTGTAAAGTCAGGGGTCTGTAAAGTCAGGTGTCCAAAAATGTTTGGTGTCTGTAAAGTCAGGTCTCCAAAAATGTCAGGTGTTTATAAAGTTAGGTGTCCAAAAATGTCAGGTGTCTGTAGGTGTCTGTAAAGTCAGGGGTCTGTAAAGGCAGGGGTCCAAAAAAGTCAGGGGTCTGTAAAGTCAGGTGTCCAAAAAAGTAAGGTGCCTGTAAAGTCAGGTGTCTGTAAAGTCAGGGGTCTGTAAAGTCAGGTGTCCAAAAATGTCAAGTGTCTGTAAAGTCAGGTGTCCCAAAACATCAAGTGTCTGTAAAGTCAGGGGTCCAAAAACATCAAGTGTCTGTAAAGGCAGGTGTCCAAAAACGTCATGTGTCTGTAAAGTCAGGTGTCTGTAATGTCAGGTGTTTAATAAAGTCAGGGGACCAAAAATGTCAGGGGTCTGTAAAGGCAGGTGTCCAAAAACATCAAGTGTCTGTAAAGTCAGGTGTCCAAAAACGTCATGTGTCTGTAAAGTCAGGTATTTAAAAAAGGGCAGGTGTCCAAAAGACAGGTGTCAAAAAAGTCCGGTGTCAGTTAAGTCTGACGTCTGTAAAATCAGGTGTCGGCAAATCCAATGTCTGTAAAATCAGTGTTGTCAAAACACTGGTTATTCTTCACAAATACAAGTGAAGTGATGCTACAACAGGAGATCCCATTCAAATTTTCTCAATAATTGACATTGTGAACTAAATATACACATTGTAACTTATTTCTTACATCATTTCTATAATAATAGCTTGATTTAAATTGAAAGTGAAAATATTTCTCTATACACAACTATTAATAAGCGTATGCCCATCACATGTCATGTCGTTTTCATTTAGACTCGTTGTACAATGTGCTTCAGGGTATTCTACCAAGGGGACAGAACCCTAACCCACTGAGGATAAAGAACAGCAAGGTGAATTCTCTACTCGAAGCAAAACTACGCTGTCGTGAAAATGCAACATTTTTCGCTGTGGATGATGAAGTGTTTGTTGGCAGTGATGGGTCGATTAGTGCAAGCGACATGTACGACTACCTCCACCTTACTCCCGAGGGGTACACCAAGCTGTGCGAACCTTTACTGGGGGTGGTAGAGGACTTGTTACAGATCTTTGTTAAAGTAGAGAATGTCTCCCTCGACACAGACTCTATGGCCGGGGAACTTGCCTCCGACACGCAATGAACTGTCCGCTGTTACAATATGGCCGGGGAACTCGCCTCCGATGCGCAATGAACTGTCTGCTGTTACAATATGGCCGGAACTCGCCTCCGACACACAATGAACTGTCGGCTGTTACAGTATAATGGAACACTCTTTCTGCTGTGTGGAATATTGTCTTTTGTAACACGTTTGTTAACTATCACATACTCTCACTACAGTAACCATTATATATTTTATTACCATAGCAACATGTAATATTGTTTCTACAGTAACAGTATGGTTATTACTGTATAGATAAGGATAAAATTATCTATACTGTAGAATCATTTATTTTCGTGGGGTTAACATTTTGTGGTTTCATATACTAGTCTGTTTCAAGGACATATATTTCGCTGAATTTTTATTTTCCCCTATCTATATCATACCAAATATATGTTTTCGTGGGGAATTAATTTCGTGGATTTTTGTTATCCATCAAATAAACGAAATTTAATGTCCCACGGAAATTAATGTCCCACGAAAATTAATGATTTTACAGTAGTAAGGATATTTTAATGGTAATTTTGAAAGCTTTGTTTCTATACCATCATAATCATGCTGTAATGGTGCATTCTTTCTATAGTAAGTGGACAATTGGTTACCATGGTTACACTATAGCAACTTGATAGTCACTTTATGTTAATTTGTTGTGCTGGCCACCGTACTTGACAGTATAACATGAACCTTTCTATAAATAATGTTTGTGGGATTTTATTTCTTCCTGCAGTTAAGTGGAAATGCTGATATTCATGATACATCACGTATTTGTAAAACATATTTTGAGTGTCATCATTTGAGCGTTAAACTGGGAAATACAGGTAAACAGTTTGAAAACACTGATCCAGAGTGTCGTCATACGCCAGTGACTTCACTCAAAAGAAAATCAAACGTGTATGTACCTTTGTAGGAGTAAACTGTAATCAATGAATCACCTACTGTGTTCACATAAATATAATGTGGCCACTTATATGTAAGTGTTGTTTTTACATGGACTGCCCAGTTGACCGGTGATAATCTGATTTTATTTTATTCAAGCTTGCATAACAGCGTTGGGTTATAAGTATTTTCAACACGTTGTGATAAGGTCCTTGAAAGTGGTTAACATTTTCAATAATTTCGCTGGTGTTGAGAATTCGCAGATATAATAAGTCAAAGCACGAATATATAGCGAAATTAAAACCCTCGCGAAATATTACCGCTATACAGTACATGGTCCTATAGATTAAACATTCCTGATCTAAATCCTGCCATATTGGGAGGTTCCCTCACTCAGGCACGAATATGATATTACGTCTACCGTACTGTGTTCCACACATTCACCTGTACACAAGTTATTCTGTAGCTCTGAAATAATTTATATCTCTGAATCAAGAAAAAAGATTCCAGTGAAACCTTGTAGATCCAGCGACCACTAATTTGGTTGTCCCAGCGACCACTAATTTGGTTGTCCCAGCGACCACTGATTTGGTTGTCACAGCGACCACTAATTTGGTTGTCACAGCGACCACTAATTTGGTTGTCCCAGTGACCACTGATTTGGTTGTCACCACTGATTTGGTTGTCACAGTGACCACTAATTTGGTTGTCACAGCGACCACCAATTTGGTTGTCCCAGCGACCACTGATTTGGTTGTCCCAGCGACCACTAATTTGGCTGTCCCAGCGACCACCAATTTGGTTGTCCCAGCGACCACCAATTTGGTTGTCCCAGCGACCACTAATTTGGTTGTCCCAGCGACCACTAATTTGGTTGTCCCAGCGACCACTAATTTGGTTGTCCCAGCGACCACTAATTTGGTTGTCCCAGCGACCACTAATTTGGTTGTCCCAGCGACCACTAATTTGGTTGTCCCAGCGACCACTAATTTGGTTGTCCCAGTGACCACTAATTTGGTTGTCATAGCGATCAACCAGCGTTTTAGAACACATCTTTTTCTGTACGAAATTGTCTCTGTATTATACAGCCGTGCCACAGTCATACCTTGGTAGTAATAAAGATGGCTGGTTATCATCACTCCACTGTGTGTTTTAGTTTGTGGTCATCAATTAACAGAGTTATTAAAGTTGTATTGTAAATATAGTTTCTGACCTATATATAAATGTATATGTAGTTTCTGACTTATATATAAATGTATATATAGTTTCTGACTTATATATAAATGTATATATGGTTTCTGACTTATATATAAATGTATATATAGTTTCTGACTTATATCTAATAGTATACATAGTTTCTGACTTATATATAAATGTATATATAGTTTCTGACTTATATATAAATGTATAAATAAAACAATACATGAAGACTATACTTTGCTAGCACTTTTGCCCATCTTGGGGCTCTTCAGGCGATTTGAATTTATTAAGCAAATTATAGCCATCAAGTTTGTTTTATTTACATTTTTACCCTCACATAGACATTTAAAACTATTTATCGCTATAAATGTATGTATAGATAACTAAGAAGTTACATTGTTGTTGTGGGGACCATAAATAGATTGTGATTATTTGAGTCATTGATAAACCTGAGTTTACATGAATAGCAATAAATGTTCACTGAAGTGATGGGTCAACAGTTAGAGATGTCAAGACTTCAGCAGGTTAGAACAGAACATTGAATTGTTATTCTAAGAATTGATAAAACTAAATTCAAAAGCAAAACAAATTAATGCTGACCCATCAGATACAGGATAGGTAATAGCCGATAGTAATTACCCTGACCTGTCATAGATACAGGATAGGTAATAGTCAATAGTAATTACCCTGACCTGTCATAGATACAGGATAGGTAATAGCCAATAGTAATTACCCTGACCTGTCATAGATACAGGATAGGTAATAGCCAATAGTAATTACCCTGACCTGTCATAGATACAGGATAGGTAATAGCCAATAGTAATTACCCTGACCTGTCATAAATACAGGTTAGATAATAGCCAGTAGTAATTACCCTGTCCTGTCATAGATACAGGATAGGTAATAGCCAATAGTAATTACCCTGACCTGTCATAGATACAGGATAGGTAATAGACGATAGTAATAACCCTGACCTGTCATAGATACATGATAGGTAATAGCTGATAGTAATTACCCTGACCTGTCATAGATACAGGATAGGTAATAGAAGATAGTAATTACCCTGACCTGTCATAGATACAGGATAGGTAATATACGATAGTAATAACCCTGACCTGTCATAGATACAGGATAGGTAATAGAAGATAGTAATTACCCTGACCTGTCATAGATACAGGATAGGTAATAGCCGATAGTAATTACCCTGACCTGTCATAGATACAGGATGTGTAATAGCGGATAGTAATTACCTTGACCTGTCATAGATACAGGATAGGTAATAGCCGATAGTAATTACCCTGACCTGTGGATACAGGATAGGTAATGGCCAATAGTAATTACCCTGACCAGTCATAGATACAGGATAGGTAATAGCCAGTAGAAATTACCTCGACCTGACATAGATACAGGATAGGTAATAGCCAATAGTAATTACCCAGACCTGTCATAGATACAGGATAGGTAATAGCCGATAGTAATTACCCTGACCTGTCAATGGTCTAGTTGTTTTATAAGTGCCATAGTCTGTCTTTAGGTCTCTCTGATGCTACAGATTTCACCTTGACCATGCCTAGTCACCCTCCTGATATATCCAGGAATATATCCTTGGCTACTGTTTTGTTTGGCTCTCGGTGATAAGATGCTGAAGTGTTGAAGCAGCACCAGTCATTCATTGTTTGCTATTTCTCATTTGATCAGGATCAGGATTCACATGTTTCCTGCTGTTTTGTGTTATTTGATAAACTATCCTCTATGTCAAAATTGTGATTCACATATCGGTGAAATCTCGAGACGTCAAAGTCTGGATAGACATTGCTACCGTGTAGATATAGCCTAATGTGCTTCATCTTAGAAATACCGCAATTTTACATGAATTTCACCAGGAAAGTGTTTTTTTAAACATTTCACTTCAACACTAATACCAATTAAATTTTATTCTATATAAAATTAACTTCAGAAGTAGATAATTTCATACCCGATATAACACTGAATTGGTATTAGTGTTCCATTGTATATGTTAAAAAGATAAAAATAGGCTATGATTTCCAAGTAAGTTACCATTTCTTATCTTTAACTAGAACAGGGTTTTCTTGTGTGGTAGTCTTTTAGAATCTGCGATTTGTCACACAAATATAATATAAAACAGAAGTGTGATTAAAATTACTGTTGAAAGAGAGAAAATTATATGTCGTATATTGTCCTGCAAAAGTGAATGATTACAAAGGTCAGATCCTGTGGTAGGATTTGAAAGTTTTAAATAGGTGAGACTAGAAAGGGTTTGGTGGATCGGTTTTGTAGTTTGCAGTTCAGTAAATTGAAACCTTCGTAAACTGTAACTTACATGCAAGATAGAAACAATGAAAAAAAAATTCACGGTAAAATGGTTGAAACATTATCTGTCATTATTTAATTGAAACATTTTCAATTTTTGTGTAGGATTGAAAATATTCATGTAAGAAACTGTCAACATTCCTCCATTACCATAAAAACCTGTGTATTTCAGGCATTTTTGTAAAATGCGCAAGTTTAATTTTAAGTGAAAACGATGTTTAGAAAAAGAATATTTGATTAAAAAATGAAAATAATAATTTAAAAAAAACTGCACCAAGTTTTCTATCCGAAAAGAAGAGCATTATTTTCGATGGATATAGAAAATGTTCTCACAGCCAAATGAAATTCAGGATTCATCATCATCCTCCAGCAATGATTCCTTTTACTGGTCAAAGTTTCTACTTCCTCACCGAGAATTAAATACACAAAATATAAATCATGTATATCCTGTTGAATTAATTTTTAACTGTAAGAATGTTAACTGTATATATGATTTGTTGTTCAAGTGTATGTCTAGAATTTTTTATGCATGTCATTTTCAGCTCACTTGACCCGTCGTTCGTCCGTCAACTTTTGCTTTTGAACGACTTCTTCTGAAGAACCGGAGGACCTAGGGTCATGATATTTGGCCAGTAGGTACCTGGGATGGAGTGCTTTAAACTTTCCTCATTAAAATGGCATTGACCTACTTTCCAGGTTACAGGGGTCAAATATGATAAAAATTTCAAACAACAATATCCTAAGAACCATTTGGACTAGTCATAATACTTTTGTATGTTATGTAGACAAGCAGTTCAATTTTTTTTTTCTTTATTACATGTAAGAGGTCAAAATTCAACTTTTAAGTGCTAGTCAGGGGTCAAAGGTCAACATGGGTTAAAAGCTTTAACAATCTTCTTCTCAAGTTCCATAAGGCCCAGGGTCATGCTATTTGGCCAGTAGGTTCCTGGGATGGAGTGCTATAAACTTCCTCATTAAAATGAACTTGACCTAGTTTCAAGGTCACAGGGGTCAAATATGTTAAAAACTTAGAACAACAATATCCTAAGAACCATTTGGACTAGTCATGATACTTTGGTATGTTATGTAGACCAGCTGTGTGTATCGCTTTCTTTATTACAGTAATGAGGTCAAATGTCAACTTTAAGTGGTAGCAAGAGTCAAAGTGGGTTAAAAGTTTTATAATTAAAATTTCAAACATCAGTATCTTAAGAACCTTTTAAGAGATCTATGTTAAAATGTCCTGTGTTCTAGTTACCAAATTTGGTCTTAAGTTACCTATTCTACATTATTCTGATGTACACAATCAAAATGCAGTCTGTTGGCATTTTAATCATTCACCCCTGAAATTTCATAATGAACTATTCCAGCCTTTGAATTGGATTAGTTCAAATGTGTGTTCAGGGATGAATGAGTGAAAACAAAGCCTAATCTTAACAACTTGTTTCAGATGATTATCATTAAAAAAAAGTCCTTAATGAAAATCTGCAATACTGGTAAGGAAAGTATTTAAAAAAAATATTTTGTATGGCATGAATAATGAAATCATTTGGCGGGCTAATAATCATTAAGCGGGCTATGTATGTTGACTATTACCAGTACAGGCACAATTGTATTTACTATTAAACAGGATGAAGTAATGAGCATACCTTCAGGCATTTTGTTTTCAGTATATTTTAACATCTAAAACCTGTGTAATATTCTACCGATATACTTCTGTAATGAATGTGTACAAGATGTTTATGATATTAAGCAGTTATTACTGTATATAAGACATGTATGTTGTATGTATATATACCACTGGTATGCTTCAGTAATAATGGTGTATAAGACATGTATGGTATACTGGCAAGCTTCAGTAATAATTGTATAAGACGTGTATGGTATACTGGTATGCTTCTGTCACCGTCTGTATTCACCAGAGTATTAAAGATATTAAAGTTGTTTTAATCTCCTTTTCTGTGTTTAAAGCTATTCAATTACATGTTACTCAAATGAAATCAGGTAAAATAGAGGCTTGGGCAACCATGAAATAGGGGATTGAGCAAGTGTGAAATAGAGGCTTTGACAAGTGTGAAAACAGGTTTTGGTAAGGGTGAAATAGAGGCTTGGGAAAGGGGGAAATAGAGGCTTGGGCAAGTGTGAAATAGAGGCTTTGGCAAGTGTGAAATAGAGGCTTGGGCAACCGTGAAATAGGGGATTGGGAAAGCGTGAAAAAGAGGCTTTGAAAAGTGTGAAATAGAAGCTTTGAAAAGTGTGAAATAGAGGCTTTGACAAGTGTGAAAACAGGTTTTGGTAAGGGTGAAATAGAGGCTTGGGAAAGGGTGAAATAGAGGCTTGGGCAAGTGTGAAATAGAGGCTTTGGCAAGTGTGAAATAGAGGCTTGGGCAACCGTGAAATAGGGGATTGGGAAAGTGTGAAATAGAGGCTTGGGCAAGTGTGAAATAGAGGTTTGAGTAAGGGTGAAATAGAGGCTTGGGCAAGTGTGAAATAGAGGCTTTGGCAAGTGTGAAATAGGGGATTGGGAAAGTGTGAAATAGAGGCTTTGGCAAGTGTGAAATAGAGGTTTGAGTAAGGGTGAAATAGAGGTTTGAGTAAGGCTGAAACAAAGGCTTAGGTAAGTGTGAAATAGGGCTTGCCCCAGCCTCTGTTGCACACTTGCTCAAGCCTCTGTTTCACTCTAAGAGGCTTTGGCAAGTGTGAAATAGAGGCTTTGAAAAGTGTGAAATAGAGGCTTTGAAAAGTGTGAAATAGAGGCTTTGAAAAGTGTGAAATAGAGGCTTTGACAAGTGTGAAAACAGGTTCGGGTAAGGGTGAAATAGAGGCTTGGGAAAGGGTGAAATAGAGGCTTGAGCAAGTGAAACCTTTGATATCTACAACAAATATTATCACAAAGCCAACTTTGTTCATTGTTTCAACAGCAAAACCAACATAACTATTAATATTCATTTTGGAAGACATTTTTGAAATTATTGACAAACAAATCTGACAACAGTGATTAGTTCCCAGTCTTTATTGAGATATAAATATTACAACACAGACTGACAAGGTCGCATATGGTCAGGTGGTACACCGACCAACAGACGGACATCACACTGACCAACGGACTGTGACATCACGTCTCTCACACACCTCCCGTTATATATATATTTATCTATAATTCCTCCTCTCTACCCACCCATCCTCTACGTAAGTTCCTCACCAATCGAGTTCCTCAAGTGACGACTTGTCGTAACTCAATTCTCCGCTGGATCTGGTGTTATTCTCCACAAGTCATGTACTAAAATATATAAAACGCTTCAAAACAGCGAGTTCACAATATCATGAGAACCATATACCAGTCCCAACTGTTCAAGCTGTGAAATGAGGTTGTCATTCTGCTCATCATCATCATCACTCGAGAGAGAAAGGGAAATAACTCTCAATTATACAGATGTAATTATATGTAGCTAATTCCCCAAAGTAAGTGAGCCCTCTGATCTTTCTACAGAGGTAAAATGACCTCCTGGCCCCATAACGGAAGTAATAACCCTCCCCAGAGATGAACGAACGTCCTCCCCCCCCCCCCCCCTCCCCTGAAACATATAAATACCCTCCCCAAAGATGTCAACCAATCCCTAGCTCTCCTAATGAACCCACTGACCTTAAAAAGAGACCCTGCCCCTCTGTCCCCTACAGAGATAACTCCCCAATTTTATATTTTTGTCCCCTATAATCTATTTCAGAGCCTTCACCATTGTCTCTAGGCATCCCTTCACTACGAAGGTAAGCGAGTCGGGAGCATATCTCAACATTGTCATGTACCTAGACCATAACAACGAGACAAAGATAGAGAAATCAGTTTGCATTATTTCAACTTGTGATATTTATACATGCAAGACTAATTCCATATCACGTTTAATGACTAAACGTCACAAAATACAATCAAGCTGCAGCACTTCTCTTTCCGTTGGAGTAGTGAACCAATCCAGTTCATCCAAGTCCTGCTTTAATTTAAACGTCAGGTCTACAGCGATCTAAGCTGGCAGAATGGTGTCCTTAAATAGAATCTGCCACCTAATTTTGGCAGCAGCAGCTGTTCAGGTATCGTCCGTTGTCTCGTGTTAACAGTCATCTGTTAGGGCACATTGTCTCACATAGGCAGCAGAAACAGATCACCTTTCTTTGTTTACAATACAACACATCCAAATTATGTCTGATGCATGGCATGTGTACCCATCTGCTAGCCTTCAACAATGCCCTCCCTATAGATGCGTGTACCAGTCTGCTAGGCTGCCAAAACGTCTCCAAAGATGAATGAATTAAAACATAATGGTCCATGATTCCTACACAAATTCATATTTGTCCACATAAAACAGGGTTTCTGATGAATATTTAATTGGCTGTTCACCGTCCAACATCAGGACCTCAGATATCTGAAACGTGAATAGATAACCTGAGATTAAAACACAGGCAAGTTCTCAAATGATCACGCGTCAGTCTGCATAGTTTCTGTATTTGTATTTTTTTCTCATGAAATACAATTCTTGAATTTGACACTGACCACGACAGAACAAGAAAACTTTAAAAGTTCATTTTATACTTTATAACTCTTAGAGAGAAATATCATATTTCTTGAATTTCCATTTCGCATTTTAATCTCTTTAGACATAGAATGGTCCTGTACTGTCGTACAATCACATGACTTAATTACCTGCAAATCACAGTATGATAATTTGGACACGAATGTAACTTCGACGGGAAAGAAATCGTCTGGATGGCCAGCTATACTGAACTCGAGACTGCCATTCTTATTGGATTTGTCTATAACAGGGAGGGACCACTGGAGCTGGTTTTTCCGACTCTCATAGTGATACTCGCCATCACAGTCGCCAACCACCGGGCCACCCACACCGGACCTGGAACACAACATTCAAATTTTACACAAACATCTGATATTGGGTTGGGGATATGAGGGTACTTATAGGAGAGGGATGGAGATATGAGCGTACTTATGGGAGAGGGATGGAGATATGGTAGTACTTATGGGAGAGGGATGGAGATATGTGGGTACGTATGGGAGAGGGATGGAGATATGGGGGGTACTTATAGGAGAGGGATGGAGCTATGGGGGTACTTATGGGAGAGGGATGGAGATATGGTAGTACTTATGGGAGAGGGATGGAGATATGGGAGTGCTTATGGGAGAGGGATGGAGATATGAGGATACTTATGGGAGAGGGATGGAGATATGAGGTTACTTATATGAGAGGGATGAAGATATGAGGGTTCTTATGGGAGAGGGATGGAGATATGAGAGTACTTATGGGAGAGGGATGGAGATATGAGAGTACTTATGGGAGAGGGATGGAGATATGGGAGTACTTATGGGAGAGGGATGGAGATATGGGGGCACTTATGGGAGAGGGATGGAGATATGGGAGTACTTATGGGAGAGGGATGGAGATATGAGGATACTTATGGGAGAGGGATGGAGATATGTGGGTACTTATGGGAGAGGGATAGGAGAGGGATGTAGATATGAGGGTACTTATGGGAGAGGGATATGAGGGTACTTATAGGAGAGGTATGGAGATATGAGGGTACTTATGGGAGAAGGATGGAGATATGAGGGTACTTATGGGGGAGGGATATGGGGGTACTTATTGGAGAGGGATGGAGATAGAGGGGTACTTATGGGAGAGGGATGGGGATATAAGGGTACTTATGGGAGAGGGATGGAGATAAGAGGGTACTTATAGGAGAGGGATGGAGATATGAGGGTACTCATGGGGGAGGGATGGAGATATGAGGGTACCTATGGAAGAGGGATGGAGATATGAGGGTACTTATTGGAGAGGGATGGAGATATGAGGGTACTTAGAGGAGAGGGATGGAGATATGAGGGTACTTGTTGGAGAGGGATGGAGATATGGGGGTTCTTATAGGAGAGGGATGGAGATATGGGGGTACTTAGGGGTGAGGGATGGAGATATGGGGGTACTTATGGAAAAGGGATGGAGATATGAGCGTACTTATAGGAGAGGGATGGAGAGATGGGGGTACTTATAGGAGAGGGATGGAGCTATGGGGGTACTTATGGGAGAGGGATGGAGATACGAGGGTACTTATGGAAGAGGGATGGAGACATGAGGGCACTTATGGGAGAGGGATGGAGATATGGTAGTACTTATGGGAGAGGGATGGAGATATGTGGGTACGTATGGGAGAGGGATGGAGATATGGGGGCACTTATGGGAGAGGGATGGAGATATGGGGGTCCTTATGGGAGAGGGATGGAGATATGGGAGTGCTTATGGGAGAGGGATGGAGATATGAGGATACTTATGGGAGAGGGATGGAGATATGGTAGTACTTATGGGAGAGGGATGGAGATATGTGGGTACTTATGGGAGAGGGATGGGGATATAAGGGTACTTATGGGAGAGGGATGGAGATACGAGGGTACTTATGGAAGAGGGATGGAGATATGGGGGTACTTAGGGGTGAGGGATGGAGATATGAGGGTACCTATGGAAGAGGGATGGAGATATGAGGGAACTTATAGGAGAGGGATGGAGATATGATGGTACTTATAGGAGAGGGATGGAGATATGGGGGTAATTATAGGAGAGGGATGGAGATATGGGGGTAATTATAGGAGAGGGATGGAGATATGGGGGTACTTATTGGAGAGGGATGGAGATATGAGGGTACTTAGAGGAGAGGGATGGAGATATGAGGGTACTTATAGGAGAGGTATGGAGATATGAGGGTACTTATGGGAGAAGGATGGAGATATGAGGGTACTTATGGGTGAGGGATGGGGATATGTGGGTACTTATGGGAGAGGGATGGGGATATAAGGGTACTTATGGGAGAGGGATGGAGATAAGAGGGTACTTATGGGTGAGGGATGGAGATATGAGGGTACTTATATGAGAGGGATGGAGATATGAGGGTACTTCTGGGAGAGGGATGGAGATATGGGGGTACTTATGGGAGAGGGATGGAGATAAGAGGGTACTTATGGGTGAGGGATGGAGATATGGGGGTACTTATGGAAAAGGGATGGAGATATGAGGGTACTTATATGAGAGGGATGGAGATATGAGGGTACTTAGAGGAGAGGGATGGAGATATGAGGGTACTCATGGGGGAGGGATGGAGATATGAGGGTACCTATGGAAGAGGGATGGAGATATGAGGGAACTTATAGGAGAGGGATGGAGATATAGGGGTACTTATGGGAGAGGGATGGAGATAGGGGGGTACTTATGGAAGAGGGATGGAGATATGAGGCTACTTATGGGAGAGGGATATGGGGGTACTTATTGGAGAGGGATGGAGATATGAGGGTACTCATGGGTGAGGGATGGAGATATGAGGGTACCTATGGAAGAGGGATGGAGATATGAGGGTACGTACTTATAGGAGAGGGATGGAGATATAGGGGTACTTATGGGAGAGGGATGGAGATAAGAGGGTACTTATAGGAGAGGGATGGAGATATAGGGGTACTTATGGGAGAGGGATGGGGATATAAGGGTACTTATGGGAGAGGGATGGAGATACGAGGGGAATTATGGAAGAGGGATGGAGATATGAGGGTACGTACTTATAGGAGAGGGATGGAGATATGAGGGTACTTATGGAAGAGGGATGGAGATATGAGGGTACTTATGGAAGAAGGATGGAGATATGAGGGTACTTATGGAAGAGGGATGGAGATATGAGGGTACTTATGGGAGAGGGATGGAGATATGAGGGTACTTATGGGAGAGGGATGGAGATATGAGGGTACTTATGGGAGAGGGATGGAGATATGAGGGTACTTATGGGAGAGGGATGGAGATATGGGGGTACTTATGGGTGAGGGATGGAGATATGAGGGTACCTATGGAAGAGGGATGGAGATATGAGGGTACCTATGGGAGAGGGATGGAGATATAAGGGTACTTATGAGAGAGGGATAGAGATAAGAGGGTACTTATGAGAGAGGGATAGAGATAAGAGGGTACTTATGGGGGGGGGATGGAGATATGGGGGAACTTATGGGTGAGGGATGGCGATATGAGGGCACCTATGGAAGAGGGATGGATATATGAGGGTACTTATGGGGGGGGGATGGAGATATGGGGGAACTTATGGGTGAGGGATGGCGATATGAGGGCACCTATGGAAGAGGGATGGAGGGTACTTATAGGAGAGGGAAGGAGATATATCGGGGTACTTATGGGGGAGGGATGGAGATATGAGGGTACTTATGGGAGAGGGAAGGAGATATATCGGGGTACTTATGGGTGAGGGAATGAGATATGAGGGTACCTATGGAAGAGGGATGGAGATATGAGGGTACTTATGGGAGAGGGATGGGGATATGAGGGTACTTATGGGGGCGGGATGGAGATATGAGGGTACTTATGGGAGAGGGATGGAGATATGTGGCTACTTATGGGAGAGGGAGGGGGATATGAGGGTACTTATGGGAAAGGGATGGAGATATGAGGGAACTTATGGGAGAGGGAAGGAGATATATCGGGGTACTTATGGGTGAGGGAATGAGATATGAGGGTTCCTATGGAAGAGGGATGGATATATGAGGGTACTTATGGGAGAGGGATGGAGATAAGAGGGTACTTATGAGAGAGGGATGGAGATATGAGGGTACTTATAGGAGAGGGAAGGAGATATATCGGGGTACTTATGGGTGAGGGAATGAGATATGAGGGTACCTATGGAAGAGGGATGGAGATATGAGGGTACTTATGGGTGAGGGATGGAGATATGAGGGTACTTATGAGAGAGATGGAGATATGGGGGTACTTATGAGAGAGATGGAGATATGGGGGGTACTTATGGGAGAGGGATTGAGATATGAGGGTACTTATGGGTGAGGGATGGGGATATTGGGGTACTTATGGGAAAGGAACGGATATATGAGGGTACTTACGGGAGAGGGATGGAGATATGAGGTTACTTACGGGAGAGGGATTGTGATGAGTACATCCTGAAGTTCCAATGATTGCTGTTCCAGTCCATACTCTATATTCACCTCGCAGCCCTCTGGGGTCTCATTTGGCCAACAGTTTACTGTTGAAAATAATAATATGTTTGTTATTTAACAGTAGGGTGATTTATATACATAAAACTGGAAACCTAATTAAACATTACTTCCTTCTCACAGCTTCCTGTATATCTAGGTCAGTGGATGTCTCTAGTCTATACAGACCTTTCTGGATACAGCAACAAAGTGTCACAATTCTGTTAATACAGAGTGGAACTCTTTGCTTGGCAAAATAATCAGCTTTCTGGAGTGGTATAAAAAAGGTTGTCCAATTTAAAAATATTCTGAATAATGAGTTTCCACTGCACAAAAAAAGAGAAAAAAACCCCAAAAAACAAAGGAGTAATTAATATGAAAACATTCCTGTCAGATGCTTATTATTTTATATCATACTTTAAAACTCTGGACACTTTTAATCTTTCAAATAATTCAAAAGTTAATGACATAAGGTCATCATAAACGGGAATGGACCTTTTTCTCTTTCAAAAATTACTGGTTTGGGGATTGAAATGATGGAAGTTATCTTGTTTAGGTTTTTAATCTACTGCTGTACATGTCTTGCCAATATTGCTTTTGAACATATGAGGTTCCCCTGAACAGGATCTACGGATACTGACTTGACAAGGGCATGTTGGCCTCATCCTGGGACTGGAACCTCCACTTCAGGACGCCCACATCTTGGCCGATAGGGAACGGCTTGTCGGGATTCTTTAGAACCACAGTTGATGTAGAGTTGAACAATTTCTTGTCTATGTTTGGATGAGTCTACAAAACACATACATTCGGTATCATTCAACTTTAATAATTCAAAGCAAAACATTTCTGATGGTCAAACATTTTCTCCTTTTAGTTTATTTTTATGAAAACAAATTTGTTTTAAACCGTAAATTTTGATGATTTTAATAAGTGAAATATTTTGATATTTTTTTGGTTGTTTTGATAGCTGTGTTTAACTATTCCTGATTAAAATGTTTGAAGTTATGGGACACTCTCCTTGTGAAAATCATATATACAGATCTGTCCTGTGAAAGCCTATCTTACCTACATCTGAATGCAGATCTGTCCTGTGAAAGCCTATCTTACCTACATCTGAATGCAGATCTGTCCTGTGAAAGCCTATCTTACCTATATCTGAATGCAGATCTGTCCTATGAAAGGCTATCTTACCTGCATCTGAATGCAGATCTGTCCTGTGAAAGCCTATCTTACCTACATCTGAATGCAGATCTGTCCTGTGAAAGCCTATCTTACCTGCATCTGAATGCCTCGCTTATCGTTGTTCACCATGTTGACCTTGATACGACCATAATCTGAGTCGTTCACCTTGACCTTGCACATTCCATGTATCTCCATGTTGTGTAGACCTCCATCACGGCCGGCTGACACAGAGATCTTTTCTTCTATTGCGATGTGTACACTAAACACAAATCCAACCAATATCAAATATTTAAAAAAAGGTGTTTTTTTTTGTTAATCTTATCAAACCAACCCGAAGTCATTGATAACATTTCAACAAAAATCCAACCAACATCGACTATTTGATAAAACCCCTTTCTTCAAATCAAATTTGATTTTTTTAGTATTTATTATAAAACAAAGTTTCACATCAGATGCAGTCTAATTCAACAGTCCTAGTCAGGTGATGTCACCATTGTCATCAGATGGTTTTGTTAACTCTTCATTAGGATGCTTTCACTCGTGACAGAATCGGACTCCATCGTATCACAGGAATACTTCTCTATGCAGCGATTTCTAATTCAACTAAGTCAGTCCTCATCCCACAGTTGATTTTCAATTCAAATGAATTTTGGAATCAAATAATTTCTTATTCTTGTTAATCAATTTAAAGTTGGACATGTTATTCAACTGAACTATTCCTCATCCCATGATCTGTAATTCAACTGTGTCAATCCCATTCAGTAATTCAACTGTGTCAACCCCATTCAGTAATTCAACTGTGTCAATTCCATGATCTGTAATTCAACTGTGTCAATCCCATGATCTGTAATTCAACTGTGTCAATACCATTCAGTAATTCAACTTTGTCAACCCCATTCAGTAATTCAACTGTGTCAATCCCATTCAGTAATTCAACTGTGTCAATCCCATGATCTGTAATTCAACTGTGTCGATACCATTCAGTAATTCAACTGTGTCAATCCCATTCAGTAATTCAACTGTGTCAATCCCATTCAGTAATTCCTGATTCAACAACAGAGTGATCAGCTGACATTACACTTACCCGTCCTGGTCAACTGCTGGTGTACTGGCCTTGGCCACTGTCGTAGACAAGGATGTTGTTGCCTTGGATACCTCTGTAAATACACAATGGAACCTTCATGACATACACCACCAGCCTTTGGTATATAATATATATAAATATGTTCTAGGAATTTATAAAATAGCATTTCTTACTTTGTACTACAATGTAGTATTTTTCACAGTCATCTTTTTGTCCTTGGGACTTTTAAAACAGTTTAGAATTCAAAACATATACAGACTAGTAATACTTAGCTTTATCATGCTTACATTATTTACTTTCATAATGTATTGAAATTTGAATTCACTCTTAAGTGTGAAACAGTGAAAAATAGATGCAGATGAAAATTTCTCATTTTTCCATTTCTTGGGGCTTTCTTTTGATAAACAATGTGTTTCAGCTAAATTTAACAGGGAAAGCCAAACAGATACATAACCACATGTTTTTGAAAAGTAGTGTGATACAGTGACTTTTTGTACTGTGATATGATACAGTGACTTTCTGAACTGTGATATGATACAGTGACTTTCTGTACTGTGATATGATACAGTGACTTTCTGTACTGTGATATTATACAATATTTCTGTACATTCTGATATACCTGTTTTATATTGTGACAGCCCTAACATAGAGACATGTAGAGTTGGATCAAGTAGAAGATCTGGATTATAGAGGTTTCTGGATATTACAGGTTAAAACCGGTCCTTCTGTACTTACTCTCTCCCTCCGACTCGAGCTGTCCAACAAATGTGTCGACATCCTTCTTCTTACTGCCCAGACGCAGGGCTTTTCCTCCACCACTCGGTCGACTGTAAAACAAAAACCTGATTACAGATGGGGCCAAAGTTTTCTACATATTTGTGTTAACCTTCTTTTTTCCAAACATGTACTATAACTTAACACAATTCCATAAAGGATGGTTCTTTGTTGACAAGTAATCATGTTAACTGTTCAGTTCTTCAATTTCGAAGGTCAAACCGTTTTGACTCTGCACGCGCAGTATTGATCATATACGTACCTGAACCAAAACTAATTATGAATCATGGTGTTTAAATTTTATTTCTTTGCTTATTTACTCATTCACCCCTGAAATTTCATAATGAACTATTCCAATATTTGAATTGGAAGAGTTCAAATGTGTCTTCAAGGATGAATGAATTAATGTGGGACCCCCTGCAGAATCAGGGGTTCTACGAAAAGAACATTGCAACAACTGAGATCTTTCTTGTTTCCTGTCTTTCCTTTCTAATTTCTTTCTTATCTACTTTTTTCTTCCCGACGGTGTCTCCCTAGGGACCCCTCCTGGCTGTTGGGAGGACATTAAACCCCAATAAACAAAACAACTAAGCGCTAAATATTGACTGTGCTAATTCAGTTTCTGTGTGTAGTTTTCTATTGCTTATTCTGTGGGTGTGCTAACTCATGTTAACCTGGTAAAATTTGATAAAATAAGCACATACACAGTATTAGATTTTGTGACTTTTTCTAAAATCTGATTTTTGTGGATCTGAATTTTAGCTCCAAACAGGTCTCTAGAAGAATCAATTGTAAATGAGTTTTTATCTCACGAATCTTCAGACACATTTTTCACAAGCAGTTTAAATTAAAGTCTTTGTAATTCATGAGAATAATTAGATTTCTTTATACAATACTGAGAACAAAACCCTGGAGTCATCGTACCTGGCGGAGGCTGTGTAAGAGGGCTTAGGTGTGTCAACAGGTGTGTCCATCACTGTACTTTGGGACGATGAAGAGTAGGAGGAATTTCCAAACCCCCCACCAAATGCGGAATTGCGACCTCCACCTTTCTGTGCATCGCGGCGCTGTACCTGAAGTTCCTTTGCTCGCTTTTTCATGAGATCCTTGGCTTCTCTTTCTTGTGTCTATAATGTGAAAAATACACTCACATATTCTTTGACTAAATAGAGTAATTGTTGTTTCCAATTTCAGCTCTCAGAAGTTTAAGTATTACTAGATTGGCATATTTTTTTTATTTTGCAAAATATTGTTAGAAAGGTTAAAATTTCAGTATCTCTAGAAATTCTAAGAAGCCACTCAAAAATGTATGAATCTAGGACTTGAAACTCCCATGTAGATTTATCACTATCACAGTCTAAAGAACTTGGAATCATGCAAATGAAAAAGAAGTTGTCTTTAAATTGTTGAAGATTTCTAAATGTCTGGAGAGCAAGCTTTTCTACTTTAGTGAAGTATGGATGACACTGTGCTAATTTTTTGGAAGCTCTGCCCTAACCTTATAAGGAATGAAACACTGTATTGGATGATTTGCCTACCTCTCTGACAGACTTTGCTACTGCTTCCTCATGTGAGTCCATCTCTGTGAAGGTGCGAATCTGTGCCAGGTTAACGTTTTCACGATACCCTAGAGCAACAACCTCGTCAAACGCAAAGATGAGCGGGAAGGCCTGATCTACAATGTCCGTCTCCTCCATGTTTCTGCAGTACTCTGGTATCTTTAAAAGAAAACAGGGCTTGTCACAGGATCACAACCTCTGACACCAGGTCACAGGATCACAACCTCTGACACCAGGTCACAGGATCACAACCTCTGACACCAGGTCACGGTGAAAGGAGCTCATGAACATTAACTCATTCACCCCTGAAGACACATTTGAGCCCTTCCAAATCAAAGCTTGGAATAGTGCATTATGAAATTTCTGGGGTCAATGAGTTAAAGATTATGAGCTACATTTCTGAGTGACATCTTAACCAATTATCTGGGAAAATAACTTGACAGATTTCCAAATTTAGGAAAAACGATTTATTTCCATCTATCTACAGGTTTCCTTTCCTGTTTTTTATTCAGTTTAACAGTTAACCATGCTGTGTTTACAATTTTGAAGTTTATTTGAGCAATACTGACGCTGAGGTTGATTTTCCGAAACTAATAAACACAACTGTATGATATATATTGCAATGGTGATACCAATGAATACATTATCATATCTTGAAAGATATGCATTAAATTTTGAGATAATCATATTAAAACATCATTAAATTGACATTAACTGTCCTCAAGTGCAATTTAATGAGAGAATAGCTGATAGAAAGAAGATACAATGTCTACCTAAAGAATTGCTTTAAATTTTGAGAAATCCATAATCCATTTACTTACCACCCGGGCAAAGAGCCGGAGAGTTTCCAGATCCTCGAGGATGTTACTGGCCTTGGTGGTGATCAGAACCACATAGAGTTTCTCAAGGGGCTGATACACATAGCGCACACTCTCCGTCTCCACAAAGGTGTGCTGCTTGCCTGTGTTCATGAGTTTAGGGAAGGCCGCCAACAAGCCTTCTATACGAGAGCGGGTCATCTCAACAAACTGTCGGGAGATGATCGCTGCAAAGAGAACCACGAAAACATTACACACATATATACTTCAGGAGGAATTTAGTAAGTTTCCTCAGTAAGGTTTATGTTCTAGAAACAGCCAAGGTCAAATTAAGACAACCTTTACCATCATTAAGTGATACTGTTAGTGTAGTGATACTGTCAGTGTAGTGATACTGTTAGTGTAGTGATACTGTAAGTGTAGTGATACTGTAATTATACTGATACTGTAAGTATATTGATACTGTAAGTGTAGTGATACTGTAATTATACTGATACTGTAAGTATAGCGATACTGTTAGTGTAGTGATACTGTAATTATAGTGATACTGTAAGTATAGTGATACTGTTAATATAGAGGTTCTCCTATAGTGAGTGAAGACAACCTTTACCTCATTAAGTGATACTGTAAGTGTAGTGATACTGTTAATATAGAGGTTCTCCTATAGCGAGTTGTTATCGTGTTCATCGTGTACAAAATGAGTTTAAAATTGTATAAAATACATGCACAATGTTTACAGAGTGTCTTATTACAAATGCATAATTACTACAAGAATGTTAACATTATGTCAAGACTTTATGTATGATTCCTGCTGTTTCCACCTGTGAAGGTAAAGACTTTTACAATGCATTATTTTTAAGCAAGATGTCACAAAGCATAGCGACATGGTTTTAAACCTGTTTTTATCAGTAACCCCCATGGGCGGTATAATAAAAGATTAATTGATCATATAGTAGCTACATTGAGTTTCTGTTTAAATATAATGAGCTTCTAAAAATCTTGTAAACATTTTTACATCTTTTTTTCCATTTCAGACAAATAAACTCAGCAGGAAAATCACACAAATTATGCTCTATTTTGTTCTGTATCTTTCATTCTATTTTTCTTCAGATGAATTTTCTTTTTAATAAGTTTTAAACTGGAGAAAATAACATTGACAATTTATATCTTTTATGAGTTTTTTTTTTGCACATTATTTTAATACAAATGTAAATTTATTCTATGTTTAAATATCAAAATTACCGAAAGAAAAGACTTTTAGCAATCGGACTCAAAAGATCATTGTGTGCAGCCAAGGGCCACCAGATCTTCAGCTTTGGTCAATGACAGTTACAGGCACGTTAGACTTGGGCTAGTTTGGTTAAGTTTTCGGGGAGCACATTTTAAGCAGGAATATAGACCAATGAGAAATATTTCACAGAAATTAAACGATATTCATACAGAACATTTGTAGGTAAGAAATGAAGTATCACATCTTTTTAGCACATGTTTTGCATGTTTTTCTTCACACAATAAACTTATGCTTTTTTTTTTTACATGTTGTAGCTTCCCAACATTGACTTACCTTTCCCCGTCTTGTTGCACACCGCTGCTGCCAGCAGCACCTATTTAACACAGAAACAGAAACATTTTCATCAGAAAAAGATGTTCTATTGCCAATTCAATCTTAAATTATCTGAAATAGTGGACTATCTCCTTTTGATTTTTTTTTTATGGGAGCAGAATATGCCATGACAAAATTAAAGCACAATCCGGAAAGCTATTTGGTTGGTTTTACATTTAAATTCCCGGGATGACAGAGGAGCTACATCCACTGCAGAGACTTGATTTTACCATTAAGCTGCAGCGTGATTCCTTTGATCTTCAAATTCATCCAAGACATCAGAGAAGTCCACAAGATGCCATGTAAAGGCCTTTGATTTGTTTTGAGATGATTTATAATGTGTTTAGTTGGGATGTGGCATATAGTACATCATTATGATGAAGTCAAGTGAGTGAGAAATGAATTTATTTACATGATATATATTGAACCTAGTCAGATCATAATAATAATAGTATAGTAAGAGGCGGACATTACATGCATATCACATTTTGCAAATTGGACATAAATATATATATATATTATCACAGATGTTATTTTTGTCATAGAACTAGTCATCAGTCAGTGTTAAAAACTGGATTGGATTCAGTTAATTTAGACCTTTACCTGGGATGATCCATAAAGCCACATTGTCCTGTTTAAATATCACAAAATTATAGCTGCTAAAATATAAATAAGTTTGAACAATCCAAGTTGACATTGACAAAAATCATGACAAACAGCTGTCAAGTCATTGATACGGTACAACAACAGCTTATTATGCTATATTTGCAAATAGCATATCAATCAAGTAATATATGAGGGATTGGTGCCCAAAATCGATCAATGATTTACATATTTTAGTACTCAAATTTTGTATTCATTCAATCTGAATTGTTGGTAAGCAGAGTTCGAATGATGACTAGTCAGAATTTTGGAGCCTGCGATAATAGTAGTCAAATTTAGCAGAAATAAGGGTGTTGTGGAACTGGACTAGTGATGCCAGTGAGCAGATAGTTCAGTTGGTTGGATCGTCGTTCTGGAGATTCCGGGTTTTAATCCCGGTCTGGCCAGGAATAAAACAGGTGTCAAAAGCCAACTGACCCCTACTACCAACTTGTCACATGTACTACACTGAACACAGCCTGATTTCATTGCATGTCTTGTTATTTCAACTAGAAACACCCCAACACATTCGCCCAAAGCACGAAGCATTCATAGTAGACCATCAGCAGTGGTGCGTCGTATTTAAATACATATAAGTTAAATCAAAGGCTTACGATCTGGTGTGTTCATCAAAAAGTTTGTGCCAATAGTGGGAAGAGGGGGGGTGTACACCGGTATGCACGACAGAAAATTCAACTACAACATGCCAAATACAGAAATTGCACGATATTCTAACAAAGTGTTATGGTTAAAGCTTTACCATGATTGTCACCAGTTGGTTTATCTGATGCCGAATTCGGCGTAAACGTGTTGCTGGACGTTGTTCTTCTATTGAGTACACGAATGTCAGTACGGTGTTTTCAGCCACGTCAATCTGGTTTCATATTAATCCGCAAATCCTTCTTATTTTTGTGACTGTTTGGACGACTTTTCGTTTATCTTTAAAGTTTTTAACGAAAATTAGTTATTTGAGGTGTAATGTTCAAGTATAGTATTGTAATTATTAGAACACATTAATTAAACAACACTTTACCCTATCTTTATTTTCTTTCGCGGATTAAAGTAGTTCGTCGCCGGAAGTTTAATTTTCTCCGTTACTGATAGATGTGTTGGAAATGAAAACATTTGTTGTTATTAAATACTTACAATAAAAACGTTAAATATTTACTATTTATATCGTTCTTATTGATCATTTTCACTATTGCGAAGACAATTACAATTTATTTGTATTAATAATCACCCTTTTCCTCGCACTTGCAATCACGTGACTATATAGAAAATGGTGGTTTCCGATTTCCTGATCAACAATAAAAGAAAAGAACAGAAGTTGTAAACATTACCATTTTGGAGAACTACTGGCTATAACAAAGATTCTATTGACGATAACACTTCGACCAAACGGTGAGGATAATTATATATGTTTTCTGATTATTATTGACCTAATCTGGTCGCAAGTTTTTGAACACGCCTAAAAATTGGATTCTGACAGGTCACAGAGTGCCCTGTTGCAGATGCTGAATGACTCCATCTTCTCAAAAGATGCAGGATGTTATCTCAATATCACAATAAACATATAAAATAGGAAATTATCTGATTTGTGAGATATTTTTCATGACTAATATGTTTTATTTACCCGTTTGAATATAAACGTGCCAGACTCCGAATCTATTATGCTTCATGTTGGAGCGGACCCTGTCGGAGTTTGTTAATTTCCGTTTTAAATAGTAAACCGCAACCGTCATCTTGAATGGACCAAAGCAGTCCCTCTTATATTGCGTTTCTCACAGAATCGATGACATTACCAACAGTCTCACATCTCAAGTCAAAGATTCATCGACTTTCTTCATCAAGAAAGAGCGGCTGTAATCCATTCAAGGTGTACATGTAGAACACTTAAAACACAATCAAAACTCAAAGACATCCTTTCTAATCAGTTAAACATTATTCCTCTCCTGACGTCAATTATAGTTTGCAAGTAAATATAAATCAAAGTGACTTATAAACCCTTTGGGTCAGGTGCTAGATTTTTTTTATGAAAAATGTGAATTATCTTGAAAGTATGATATAATTATGTATATGCACGTGTCACTATAATAAAATACATTGTATTGTATTCTTTACATTATATGGTTAAGGATACCTCACAGTTCTCCCTATTAACCAGGGCACAGAGTGAAAACTTGTATTTATCACAGACCTTAAGCATCCGAGTCCTATGTATATACCCACTGCTACAGTGTAGTACGTTGACAGTTATAATGGTGTATACATATTGATTAGTCTCAATCTGTATTTCCAACAGCTGATTTGAAGTGCCATACTAGTGTAATACTAAATCACAAAAGTTATAAGGCGCAACCTGGACAATATTAAATGCCATTCTAGGTAGCTTATAGATCGAGTTGAAAATCAAGGGTGGAATGTCTTCTTCAAGCAGTCAACCACTGCTTGTAGTGGGGTTCTACATTCTCTGTACAAGCTCAATATATAAGCTATACTATAAACAAGTCTCTCCTCTATTAATCATTAATTTCACAAGCATTCAGTCTTATAAATCTTGTTTTATTTATGAGTTGCATTACACAGCCCTAAAAATACTTCAGATAAAAAAATGTGAATGTAAATTTAATAGATATAAAGTTTGAATATTACTAATGACCAGCTGCTTACAAGTTAAATTGAATACTTTATTTAATACAATATAACACACCCTGCAGGTTGGGGTTTGAGAAAAGAAAGATGAAAATCGGCTAGTTTCATATAGTTGGGTTTTTAATTCTTGAAATTGAGTATTACCAAAATTTAATATCATAAAAAAGAATGATGAAACAAAATGTGAACAATATTCATTTATTGCAGGTGTGAGATACTAACATGTACGGGTAACGTGTCGGCACACAGAGTCATGTAGCTACGGTGTGGATGGGCTGTTTGGCATGGCAACATGTACAAGGTAAGGAACACACTAGAGTGATCATTGCTGGCACCTACACAAGATGTGAATACTCACTGGGTATCCAGTGTGAATTATTATTATTTCCAAATAACATACATGTTAACATACATGTATAAATACTAACTACACCAAGCACAATGTTCTCGTGTTCTCCAAAGGATCTCAGGAGAGCAGGCCGGGTGTACATGTTCTGTAATGTAGATGGGTACACATTCATGCCATTTAAACGAATATTCTCAGCTGCATATCACTATGATGTGTCACAGCAAAAAACAGTAAAATAAGGGGGGGGGGGGGGGGGGAAACATGCACACAACTTGCCACAATCTTTTTGTTTGCAAATAATTTCATATTGATCAGTTTTATTGCATTTACAGAAGTATAAATATCTGATATTAATTAGCATTACATACACTAGATCTAAAGAAACATTGTGTACCTAAATTAAACCTGGTCTCCATAATCCTGTGTGAATAAGCTAAGGATGTAATTTGTAAGGTTTAGAATTTATTAGGCTTCACTCTTTGACATTTTGTCAATGTTGAAAACATGGTGTCATTGTTTCTTTCCAGTTTTCTACATGTGCATGTTTTGGAAAAAAACCTTGCAATATTGGTGTGCTTTTATTCTTCATGCTATAGCCAGCTGTACATGTATACCCATATGCAGATGTTTGCACTTTGTTGACAGAATATTAAAAGTTAATTTCACTACCCAAATCGTCTTCACAATGTTTCTTCATGATGTTAAAGTTAAAATAGTATGAATCATAAACAAAGATTGTGTAAATTCCATTCAGTATTGTTGGTTCCATGTGATTGGCTAACTATTAATAAAGGTTGAGGGATTTTCCTCTAGATCTATTTATATATACATGTTTGACCAAATGCACAATTCTGTTTCAGAATGTATTTTTTCATGTGGTTTTTGTTGCATCTAAATGTAGTGTGCTCTTATTTATACTTGTAATGGAATATATTTATATATATCAGTGTTGTCAAATTACCAATGGAATATATTTATATATATCAGTGTTGTCAAATTACCAACATGGCCTGCGCGCCATTCTACAGTACTTGTAATCAACTGAAGTCTATCGTTACCAGTGAGGCATTGTGTAGTTATTGACCAGTGCAGATACTGCTGCGGGATGTCAACACACAAACAGACCCATTTAGTACTAGAGTAATACTCAACACATATATATAACAGTGGGCAATGACACATGATTGGTTTTAACTCGTCAGATTACCACAAATTTAACAAAAGGCAATGGAATGAAATTTGTTTATATATATATTACTTCTGCTCTGAAAAATATGACTGGGCACTTATTAGGTACTTATATAAAATCCAGGCACTCTCAAAATACAACTGAGAAGTATGGCACCAAGTACATGTGTACTGATTCTAATTAACCAATAACAGGGAAAAGAAAATTATTCTAGTGACATCCACAAGGTTGAAGGTGTAAATAATAATTACACCCACAAGGTTAAAGGTGTAAATAATAATTACACCCACAAGATAACAGACGTCAATACTTATTACTGACACTGATACCTATTATACATCGTTTGTTTTGTTTATAATTGTGCACTCAGATGTGCGTCAGCTAATATTGCCATATCACAGCGTCCGTTGTCCGTCCTTCAACAATTTCTTTTCTGAAGGTGGTGTGGATTCAAAATTGTGCAAATGGATGGCGAGGCCAATTTTGCTATATTGCTTTAAGCGACTTCTTTTTAAGAACAAAGGTATGAATATCAACCATATTTGGTTGGAAGCATTCTCAGGTGGTGATGATTCAAAATAGTACTAGTTAAAGGGATGACCCCATGGTCTTGAGGCCTAGGGTGGGTCCAAAAAAAATGATTAACTTTAACATTATGGAGATCCCCAACCTTGGAACCATACTTGTTTGATAGGCATGAAGAGATAAACAAAATTATATATTAGAATTGACTCTTGGGTCTGGCCCCATACCTAGGGACCTACTTCTTGAGTCTTAATGTTGAAATGGTTGAAATCCCCAACCCAAAGCCATTTAAACCATATTAAAGGGCATAAAGATCCAAGTGGGCCTCTTGTTTTATTGTCCACACGTGGTCAGATGATGGTGTGGTCATGGTCCACAGTCCACACACTAAATATATATTTATACTAAGTATAGTGCATCACTGCATACATAAATATACAGAAAAAAATAGGACAAGTGATTTAGCTCTCACAAAAGGGTCATTTCCTGTGTTAAATACTGAAGCTAGAGCCTTGTTAGTCTAATGGAAAGTTAAAAATATCAAGTCATATTACATGTACGGTATAGAGGTTCAAAACATTAAACTGGTGGCAGTATTTCAAGAATCTCATTGGGAATTGTTAAGGCCATGACCAGTTAAGTTGAGCTTTGAGTAATGTAGTCATGTCCTTTAGGACAGGCTACAGGTGCTTCTGTTTACAGGATAGCCGACATTACCAGTCCGACAGAATAAATTCTTCTTTCTCTACAGCAATATACAAAATACATCTGGGAAATAGACTGTACAAGCCTGTTTATATAACGTGTAAATACCTCTATTTTATACCAAGAGTTTGTCTTCTGTTTCCATTGTTTATAAGGAGCCATGTAAATACTAAATTTTTCACGCTGAGGTGTCCCAGCTGTCAAGTTTCTTGATTATAATATAAAGACGTTTTATTGTTAAACCTTTCCTACAATGTCTGGTGTAATTCTATTTGATATAAAGATGTTTTATTGTCAAACCTTTCCTACAATGTAGGACCTGAAAATTAAGGAATAAATAGTGACTTTTGATTGAGGGATTTCATTTTAGTTTTCCATGTTTATTGCTTGTTGGAGTTTTGATTTTTCCAATAAAAGTGAACACATTTCTACGGAATATAAGGAAGTAGTCCGGTATATGTAGGCAATAACGTTAATTTGAATATTCAATTTATAGTATAACAGTCAGACTTTTGTAAATAAGACATCATGTTAATTATCACCAACACTGCCAAGTACTCCTGCCCAAGTAAACATTGGGAAGATGTTGGAGGTATAAAGTAGTGAACAGTCCTTGGGTTGATGTCTGAATGTTTTCATTCATGGCTCTAGGAAAACATTGAAATGTGTCCATTCACTGATCTGAGCTCCGATTTATTGGGCCTGTGTGATTTGCTGTTGTAACTGCATCAAAATGTCTGTAACACATTCTCCTACACTTCCACTGGTGTTTTAATGGACTACTCCAGATAATGTAATTTGGTTGAGCCCACTGTGCTAAACAGGGTGTTATTGATCCAGGGTCCTGAAGATAAAAGGTTTATTGTGATTCAACATGCTGACTGATAAAGGGCTGCTGATCATGACTCACCCTAGTGGCAGTAGCAGCCAGAAGCCTGTATCTCACAGCAATGACCAGAGGACGCAGACAGGCTCACAGACCCATAGACTGTTATACTGTTATATAGCTTATATCAGTGACCACTGAAAGGGATATCAGACAATGTATCTGTAACACCTCACAGGGAGGACCAAATGACCACTGGGATGACCCGTAGGCTTTATATATCTGGTTAGTGACTAGTAATGGGAATATATTGGTCACTTCAGTAATACCTTTGCACGGTTACAGTGGCTGGACAACACACTGTCTCCGAGACTTACATCACTGGGACCGGTTACAGTGGCTGGACGTGACACTGTCTCCGAGCTAGGCTTACATCACTGGGCACGGTTACAGTGGCTGGACGTGACACTGTCTCCGAGGCTTACATCACTAGGCACGGTTACAGTGGCTGGAAGAGACACTGTCTCCGAGGCTTACATCACTGGGCACGGTTACAGTGGCTGGAGCACACACTGTCTCCGAGGCTTACATCACTGGGCACGGTTACAGTGGCTGGAGCACACACTGTCTCCGAGGCTTACATCACTGGGCACGGTTACAGTGGCTGGGCAACACACTGTCTCCGAGGCTTACATCCCTGGGCACGGTTACAGTGGCTGGACGTGACACTGTCTCCGAGGCTTACATCAATGGGCACGGTTACAGTGGCTGGACCCAAGTAGATACTGTATACTGGAATGACACTGAACACATTAATATTGGCAGAAAACAGGAAATTGGATACCAACTATATTGGCCTTGGGATGATGATCAGTATGAAGAAAGTGAACAGAACAACACCAACATTTGACAAGAAATGATTGGCGTTAGTCTAAGCAATAACAAGCTTTGGTCAGAATGACCAGGATATATGTTTGAATATTGACCAGTATATGCATAACACAAGGCCTGATTGGAACAGTGGTTGGTGGTAGATCAGCACGAGATCTTGGCAGTGTCATGAATGTACATGTTTTAAGAAAACTACCAACTTCAGACCTAGACCCGAATGATCTGTGAAAGTATTGGTGCCAAAGTTTGGCCTGACATGGTCAGTGTAATACAGAGTGACCAGTGTTGGCTGTATTTATTAACTGGTGATCAGGTGGCTGTGAAGGGACAACAACAGTAGACAGAAACCCCCGGACTCTCACTATACAGATCTAGTTTAGTGGAGATGGACATTTCTTTAGTTTGGATTTTTTGTTAGTAAGTGAATTTTACAATTATAGCCATTCACTTTATGCCTTAATTATATATAAAGACTGATCCTAAACAAAGAGTTTCAATAAGTTCATAGTGGTTACAATGTAAAAACAACCACTATGCTTCCACTGACCTTGTGATCACAATACTATCACCTCAGATTGTTCGGTGTATAGATTGAGAAGTGGTGTTAGATTTTCCAGCAAAGTGTTTTATCCCCAAGGGATCACCTATATACATGAAGTTGTGGCTAGATTGTGAGGTAGGGTTGTGGTCGATGCTGATACTGTTTTACATCCATTGTAAAAAACTAAAATTGTGTTACACACTAGGACTGTTTGAGACACAAAAGTGGATGTGAATTATTTATAGAGATTTAGCTGAGAGTGTACATGTGTACAG